AAAAAAAAGGAAAAAAGAAAAACGTAGTTAATCTAGTTTGGTAATGCTGAATGGTGGAGTAAGTGGAAGGCGCTATAAGATAACTATTCGGGCTTTGGTGTCACCCACATTGCTGTCAGGCAAAATTGAAGGCGCACTTGCCTGAGACGATGATGCTAACACTGCCATCTTAACTCCGAGAGAAGCAGTCGAAATTAAATTATTCATCACACATCTTTCGCACATTCGCTCACCTTGGCGAGTTTTTTAAAGTCGGATTGGAATACGGTAGAAGGATTCGGAGGTATCGAATTTTTAAAAATTGTAACTAATGGTTATGTTTTCCCTCCATTCGTTCAAATAATCCGTGCAAGCTGAAATTATGCACACCCCGGTGAAACTTTCAAACCACGCATCTCGTTTTTGCTGTGTTTTGAAATCTCCGCTCCTACTTCATTTTCTGAAAGGAGAAGCAAATCTACATAATTCCTTAAAGTTTTTTTCAGATTTTTTTCTCACAGAGAAGAGAAAGCACGGCTTTTATTTAAGGATTGCTGTCGAGTGGTCCTCCATTAAAAAATAAAGTATGACAGGAAATCTGCAACGTCGCATTCCGAGACACAAGGTTCGGGAGTTTCACCGTCAATATGCATATTGAGGCACCAATACAGGAAGTACGAGTATACTACCGCGGTGAAGAATAATGCCGTATGAACCTTCAGGCGTTACCAAATTTTCTTTGATAAAACATAAACTCTCTGGTGAACATATTAATATTTTTCTTCCAATTTTTCAGACAATTTTGTTCGAAATTTCACATAAAGTCCCTGAAAATTTCAGGGGGAAATATTCCTTTTTTTCCCCTTAAAAATAAACATTTTATTGAAGGAAATTTGGCAACTCTCGAATGTTCATACGGCGTTCTTCCTTACCACGGCAGCATACCTAGCTCCACTAATCGAGCACAAAGTTTGAGGAATAACCAAAAGGGGTTAAAATGTTATTTTATTGATGTTACGGTACTGCGACTGAAACAAGGTTTCTAAAACAACCCATGCCGATGTGTTGCTTTTATACGCAATGACGTCAATTTGTTCTACAGTCCGAGTTTTGCATCTCACAGATGTTTGGAAGAAGGCGTGAGGTAGGCTGGTTCAGTTGTTCTCAAAAGGGAACAAGTCCATTTTTGCATGAGCCTCGGCTTGCATAAAAAGACATGCTGACTAAAACTCATCGAGGAATGGACTTGTTCCCTTTTGAAAACAACTGATTCCAATGTCGGCTACGTGAGTAGGACGACGATGTGTAGTTTCTTCGCTAAGTCGATTAACTACATAAAAAAAGAGATCGTCAGTCCAAGTGCGCTTGAAAATAAAACCTAAGTTCGTGCCCACTTTCGAATCGATGAAATCCTTGTGGCCACTACCTACTTGATCTTGTTTACTTGCCTGACAAAGTCGCAAGATCGAGATTAGTTGCTTACACATACTGCAGGCCATGCCCGATACATACCTTCTTTATAACTAATCGAATATTAAATTAATCAATCTTATAAGAAAATTGTTCCTATAGTAAGCAAGTATTTCTGGCTGAAATTATTCGCATTGAAAAATAATATGTAAAAATAAAAAATAAAAAAATTAAATAGATAAAAAATACATCGTCTTCCTCCGGCAAAAGTATCACAAGCGCCATGTGACGTTTAACAATTTCCGCCGCCGTTTAATTTTTTTACAGAGAAATTGCTCGACGAAGCTGTCGGAAAATTTCACTGAATTTTCTTTGTGTTGCCGATAAGATTCAGTGGAATTTCTAAACAGATTCAACAATTTCTCTATGAAAAAATAAAATGGCAGAGGAAATTTTGAAACGTCGCATGGTGCTTGTGATACTTTGGCCGGAAGGTGACGACATGTTAATGCATCAGAGTAACGCGAAAATTTAATTTGTCATTTACTCATTCGAATATGAAGAGCTAAGTAAAAGTTTAGAGACACTAATTAAACTTCATTTTGCAATTAGGAACCAAATTTCTAACTCACCAGTAAAAGCACTTATCAGCATAGGGAAAGTAATGTTACATACGTTGCTTCTGAAGTGAGCTGGAACTCACAGTTCCTAATTGAAAAATTTATTAACGGATTATTTAATTCTTAGATGCTCAAGCCGGGTCAAACTGACCCGAAGCTTGCGAAGAACACGTGCTCCGCAGGTTGTAAGGAGCCAGCACATACAACCTTTAGATATACGTCTAAACACATCGTAAAAAAAAACCAGACATCGAACTGAAAAAAAAGCCAGGGTCAGGGATTTTTTTGAAAATTACCTCCAGAAAATCCAAGTCAGTTAAAATTGACCAGACTGTCAATTCTGAAGTTATGGGGCCGTCTAAGTCTGAGGAAGTCTACAAACACATCCTAAAAAAACCATCCATCAAATTAACAAAATAAGAAAAAAATCTAGAGTCAACGCACAACCGAAAATAGGAAAGAGGTATACCTATTCGGGCTTCTCTGAGCGAAACTTCATTATCACTTCTCAGCATCATACGACGGAGAATTGAGCGTTCACGCTTCGTTCCATCGCGCCTTCAATTTTGCAGCTGCAATACGGACATCCATCAAGTACGAATAGTTGTATCTCTGCGCCGTCATCAACGCGCGGCCTTTCCCTTGCCTTACTTCCGTAATGGCTTATTTTCGTTTGCCCTATGAAACATCTTCAAACTTAACATTTCATATTTCTTGAAAACTAACTCAAAAATTTATATTTCGCCGAGGTTGTACGAAAAAATATTTTCATTTTTACCTCCGTGCAGGACTTTTCTGAATCATGTGAGCCAATTATTTGAATTGGGCGCGCTTTCATTTGATCGTTTCTAAGTTGTCCGCTGACTGTCTGAGAGCAGCACTGGCAGGTGCAAAAAAAGACTGGGTAAATTTGCACGAATTTCATCATCGATTCAATTTCGCTGTTTGTTTATCACATTTTGCTTTTCCGCGAGATCCTTTTTCACTCCCAATCTTCATCAGCAGATAAAATTTTCCCTTGCCGTACCGTCTACCGTAACAGTGTGCACTTTCAACGTTCTTCAGAGTTAGCAATGTTTCTAAACAATGTGTTTTTCTCGCTGACTCCGCAAACTTTTTTTCCTAATCCGCATAATATCGACTTCCACACCTAACTAGTTAACCTCAATTAATGGAAAGTGCAAGGTGATATAAGTTTCCGTGTGTTTACTGTGTTTTCGAAATTCGAACTCCTCCTCTCGATGGTGGAAGTTTATCAATGGTGACTTGATCGTGGATTATCGAGTGTGTTTCTTTACCACTATGCAGTCAGCAAATAAGTGCACTGTATTCGGTCATTATCAATGGATCTCACAAGACTGCCCTCCATTATTCATGAAGTTTTCATCTTACTTTGGATCTTTAAGTACTTAATTTTAAGGAGGTCCACCCATGAATTCAGCTTCACCATCAGGTTAATTGATTATGCACTTAAGTATTACTGAAAGAAGTCTTAGCGTTTCCCCTTTCATTGTCACTCCTTGGTCACATTCCGATACTTCATGAGGATTTCGTTGTTAGATTTGTGAACGTATCATGGGATGATGGACGATGAACATCCTTTAAAAGTTTCCGTTGAAACTGGATAGTCAGGTTGATGGAATCCAAACTTAAATTTTGGAGGGAAACAAACGTATTAAGTTCAGACATGCCGCCGTATATTGACGTGGAAGTCCGCAATCAAATATCTTATTTGCGGTGTCTGAAAGTCTCCTCCTCTATGTTATTTGATTTGAAGGAGAACAAATTGACATCATTTCTTGAAGTGTATGCAGAATTTTCTTCGCATAAAGAAGATAATTCACGGCAGTTTCATGGTATTGCTGTTGAGTAGTTTTCTATTTAAAAAATAAAGAATGACAGGAAGTCAGCAATGCCGCAAACCGAGTTATGTGATTCCTGACTTACTCCGTTGATATGTATCATTTGTTGACAAGTTTCATTTCGATATAGTCCTAGTTAAAAAAGTTTGTACACTCAAAGAGAGGGACAGACAATCACCTATCTCCAGTTTTGCATTTAAAGTCAACACTGTTAAGTATCAAGATGATGGATTGTTTATTGCACTCTTAAAGTGTAGAGACTTATTTGTCGTGGATGCTAGGTGATGTGCAAAGTTCATGCACAAAAAATTAGCCAATCCCTTGCGGTTGAGATAGAAGGTTCATTGCCTTGGTCTTCCCACCTAGTCCAAAGGAGAAAATTAGGTAAATCAGAAGACTTCCTTTTGTTTAGAATTTGGTAAAGAAATTTAGCATAAACCCTAGAATTGTAAAGTGAGAAGCTTTGAAATTTTATCAGCATTAAGTACGCACTACGATTAGAATTGAGGCATGCATTAATAATCATGATCAAAATTAGGAGTTTGTTAAATACAAGGAAGCTAGCTGGAACAGGCTGTACCTATTCTAAACTGGAGTTGACTCTGTTACTAGTTGTGGTGAATTTTAAGATTGAGAGCAATTTTCATGGTAAATGTCTTTCTTGCTGAAGTATCTCTGCAATTTGAAGTCTGGGTAAAAAGAGTCAACTCTATCAGAACTGTGTAAGCGCTGAGAAAAAGCATTTTTTCTCTTTATCTATGTCTTATGGGTTGTTCGGATCGTAAAACTTCATTGGCTAATAGTCAGAGTCTTCTGATCATGCGGGCACCTTACTTGTGGTTGCTTGACACCGAAGCAAAGTTTGCAGACACATTCCTAATGAGCACACACCCAACCAGTGTATCTGCAGTCACCCAACCAGTAGGTGGCAAATGTTCCAAATATGAATGCACAATGTCCGCAGGGGTGTCTCCCATTTTTACAAGGGATATTTTTACCACTTTCAACAGGACTGTTTTGCTAGCTAATAAAAAATCGCTGGAACCCCCCTATATCAAATTCAGTATCATTTGATGTATAAGCATGATCATAAAATTTTACCAAATGTCTCCAATTTCTTTTGTTACAGAGTCAACAATGTCTTGTGATCAAGAGAAAGTATTGGCCAGTGACATTACCTCTCTTCTTGATCAGCAGTTTATCACCCTCACTGGTAAGATCAACACATACATACTTTACTACTGGAGTGGTGGTTCACTCCATAATGGGTTTTGGGCAAATTTTAAAACTTTTAACAAACCCCCCTTTCCCTGGGGGATGGTAAAGAGGGGGTCGGTTGCAGTTTTTAAGAGTTAGCACAGTAAAGATCATGGTATCATGGATTATGGATCAGAGTAGCATCATACTATATTGGCCAGATAGTATGACATAGGCTGCCTAACGGCTCTTTTCCTTTGGTTTACTTGATGCGGAATGAAATTTTTTCAATGGAAAAACTTTGTCAGATGCTACTTTAAAATTATAAAATTGAAAACTTCACCGCCTATTTTTTTTTTTTTTTTTTTCAGTAACCAATAAGTAATGCAATTCAAGCAGGTGTTTTTTTTTTTAGACCTTAATTGCCATTGCACCTACTGGTTAAGTAATTACTTAGCGACAACAAGAAGGTGTAAGGTTCATTTTTGAGCATTTAAACCAACACGAACTGATTGCAGTAGACGCACGGGTCGTAAGACAGTGAGTTGGAATTTTTTAGCCAACATGCATTAAAATCAGTCTAAAGCTGAAAATTTCAATACAGAGGGAAAATGCTCATATGTGTACAATTTTCCCTCAAAGAGATACGCTGTTTGGTGCACCACTTGTAACGACTATTCAGGAAGGCAACCGCAGATGCGTTTCGGTCTTATTGGGCCAATCCTCAGTGCAGCGCAATCTCCTAAATTTTCTGCTACCAAGCTCGGAGAGGTTGTGAAAACCAGCCCGAGACTTGGGCGAGCGGTTGCTGGCGGCAAGTAAACTTACGCCATCTAGTGAACGATTATCCAAAGAGCTCCCCATAAGCCTTGGCAAGGCAGTTTTACACAAATTGATTGCGGTAGACGCGCGGTTCGTAAGACTATAAGTTGGAAATTTGTAGCCAACGTGCGTTAAAAATCAGCATGAAGCTGAAAATCTCAGTCTCTCTGTATTGAGATTTTCATTTTTATGCTGATTTTTAACGCACATTGGCTAAAAAATTCCAACTTACTGTCATTTAAACCCGTTTAATTTTACTGCAGATGCTGAATCTGTTTAGCGACTTCTACAAATGCTCTATTATTGCAATGTGTATCAAGTATCTATTAATTAAAGGGTTGAATCACATTTAATTAATAAACAGGATTGCTGCATTGCACAGTTTGTGTAATAATGCACCATTTACAAACTTTGAATACATCTCACACAAGATAAAGTTTCCAGTCATAAGCCCTCATCCACATAGGTCTCTCTGTTCAGATGAGAAATCTCCATTAAAAAGACACAAAGAAAACTTTTTTAATAACTGAAGTTAGATCAATCTACACAGGTCAATCATTGCATATATTTTTGAAATCCGCTCCCCTGCCTGGCCGTAACTCGGCCGCAGCCAATGTGAAATCACATCCGCTTGTCCCATAAGAAATACATCGCAGACAGCCAATTCTACGTCACAGTGCAGTTAAGTTCCAAAATTTGTCTTCTGTAATGACTGACTTGTGTAGATTAGCCTTGATCTCAAGATTAGCGAGCATAAATCTGTCACAAAGTACCCTGTTGCAATCATCTTGGGCTACTTACTTTATTTTACTTTTAAGTTCTGAAGAATTTGAGGACAAATATAATTTGGTGAGTAGGAATTATGTTCTGAGATTATTCCTCTGTTGAAAACTGTCTGATGTCTGCTTTGATTTCAGGTGGCCGATCTCGAGATGGTTATCCTATAATAACCTTTCCTGCAAATCCAAATTTCGTCAACCTCAGTAATGCAGATTACCAGAAGTTAATTATTTACATCACATCTGTACCTTCGTAAGGATTTATCCTCTTCTTTTTAATCTCTTTGCGGAATTTTTGGAATTTAATGAAATCACCTATGTTGGATCCTAAGCGAAGAATTGTAGATAATCATACCCAGTAGATATGAGCCACAAGTCAACAAAGATGAATAAAAATAGAGAGTGAGAAAAGTGTGTGAACTGTCAGTCTCTCAACCTGGTCCCAAAAAATGGAAAACAAACATTCATTATCTGTTTATCATGAATATTGTCTCTTATCATAGCCCCTGTAAGTGGGCTTTTCTTTCCACACGTGCCAAAGCAGCGAATATTTCCCAATTTTTCAATGAGCCAGAATATTTTTTTTCGTGTATTATTTTGTGAATTTGAAAGTACCTAAACAAAATGTAAAAATTGCCTCTAAAGAAATAACAAATTTAAGTAGTTATGTGATTTACCACTCACCATATATTTTTAAGTAAGACTTTTTGGTTAAAGTTTAAAAGTTCAGTGTCGTAGTAAAATACTCTAAAGTTGGTTCTTTAACCCAAACAAAATTGAAAAAGGGTCTCCATACCCCACCCATCAGTTAATATATTACAATACCTATTCATGGTAAAGTGAGAGTTTCCTTGAAGTCAGCTTCTTTCTATACAATTTGGCAATGTACACATCAGCACTTCCTATCTGAAAGTGAACTTCCTTGTTTTCATTGATGACATTATCTGCTGAATGGAGGGAGAGGAGAAGTATGCTGAGTTGTCAAGTCGTCATTCAAAAAATCTGTCATAAATTGTTGTTTGGTTTAAGCACCCGCTGTAATTTAATCCACAATCAGTGTATCAAAGTTGAACTCTTTTAAAGCTCACTTTTGAAATAAAGATAACCCCTCTAAATTGGAGGCAAGAATAGATTGCCTCTCTATGACAAGTTACTTGTCAAACTTTTTAGAAAGATACATTTAAGTATTTAATTCCTTGTATAAATTATGTTCCCCTCAACGGAACTCCCCATTCAATTTTGTTTTGAAGCTAAACATGATGAGGAATCATTTAAATGCAGTTTTTAAATTTTAGTTATTATCTCATACTGGGTTTCAATTTCCTTACTTCCTGTAATGTGCAATTACAAAGGATTCAAACCAGAGTTTCTTAAATGTTCTTGTATATTTGGCAAGACAAAATAAGAGAATATTTTTTGAGGTAACTGTGGGAACAAGAGGACTGCGTTTAGCAAAAAGGAACCAAACCACATCAGTTATTGCCAAATTCAACTGGGTACTTAATTTAATTTTTAACAAGAGAACGTTAGTGTGGATAGTTTTGAAAATTTTAAAGAATTTGCTCAGTACCATGCAGAAACTGCACTGAAATTTGCACAAAAATTCACACAACCAGTTTCATATACAAAATTGCCCAGTTAAATTTGGCAACAGCTGATATGGCTTGGTTCTTTTCTGCTTAATGCAGTCCAATTTTTAAAAAAAAATTTACTTGTGTTTCTCTCCCACCATAAAGTAGCAATCAATGAAGCAGTCAAGAAAAGAGCAGTTAAAAACCCCGTAGCAATTTCTGGAACCTGCTCCATCTTCCAGTAGTTCTGCATCAAAACATATCAAAATGTTATGACTGTGTTGCCTTGTTGTGCAAAACGAATTTTTGACTAAATCAGCCCAGCTCAGTAACAATCAATAGCACTCAATCAAAATGGGAATGTTTTGCACTGTTTTGATAAAGATACAATTGTTACACCGAATTAAATATTACTCATTAAGTTGTTTGTTTTGGTGAAAATAAGATTTTTTTAGCAGTCTTGCAGCAGTGTGATTCCACACTGTTTCGGATGACTGAACAAGTTTACTCTGCCATGTGTTGCCCATGTCAGTGCTTCATAAATTACTTTGCTCCCATTATTACACTTAGCCCTTCTTCAAAATGAAGGAGTCTGCAGTACAAAGTGTGAGTGCATAATTTGACACCTGCACCTGTAGGGAGGGTGTGTAGATGCATCTGGATAGTACACTGCAGATCCTGGTAATTTTTCCAACTTTTTTTTTTATAATTGACAAATGTTTCTCTTTTGAAACATTTTCATGATTCATTTGATGATTTTTTGGAGGGTGGAAGGGGGGGGGGAGGTTTAAAGTCAAAACCCAAATTTTCATTGTTAGAACCCATCACTAACTTGATGCCTCTTAATCAGAAACACAATAATCCTCACGGCTATCTTCAGAGATAGGTATTTTTTCCTATGAAACATGTGTGAGGGTAAGCTATTTACAACAATTTCTCACTCAATTTCAGGATGCAGGAAGCTGATATGGGATTTGCCATTGTTGTGGACAGACGCAATGATAAATGGACCTCTGTGAAAGCAGTTCTCTCCAAAATATCGGTTAGTAAAAGCCTCAATCCGTTCTTAACTTTCACTCACATGACGAAAGCACCTATTGAAGGATTTTTGATCGTGTATAGTACATTCAGTTTTGCCTCCATTTCTCTCTACTGTTATGTGAAGCTTTACATTGTCCTAGCTTTTATTCCAAAAATGTATCCATATCTTCCTGGGGTAAGAGAATTTGCCCATGTGCTCTCGCTCTCTACACTGGCAAGTAACATTCCCTCTTTTCGAATATCACATCTTGGAAAAACATTGAGCGTTGTACTTTGTTTTTATTTTAATGTATTTCTTTTTTTTAATCGGCTTTTTTTATTTTGATCTCAACAGGCATTCTTCCCAGGACTGATCCATTCAGTGTACGTTCTTCGCCTTGAAGGAATTTTTCAAAAGACTTTTTCAAAAATTAGTAACAAATTTTCAAGAGATGAATTCAAATTTCAAGTAAGTATTATTTAAGCTCCATACGTAGGTATTGTCAGAGTGAAATTTCTAGATGATGTTTACAGGCAGACTTTAATACAAAATGTCTGTCTCATTTTTGTATGTAATGTGCACTGGCTCGTCGATTAAAGGTAACAAACCGGTCCTTTCAGAGTGATGGACTGGGGGTTTTGCAAGGAAAGTGGGAGATTTAAGAGGATAAGACTTGCAAGTGTATGATCAACCGTGACTTGCAATAAAGTAAGTTGTTGCAATGCAACAAAAGTACATATTGATGGAAAAGAAATGATATGATAAATATCAATCATAGAATGATAAACAATGTTACAATATTACAAGATCAGTGGTTGTAACTTGTTATTATCCCAGCAATGAGAAGTAAAGGAGAAGCTGGGATTCAATTTGTCATCGGATTCTATGATTTTTTGCTTGCTGTGTTATCATTTTCGAGTTTGTTTTTATTCTGATCACAAAAGCTCAACATTTTGAGTAAGGAGATTTTAATTTATCCCATCATCTATTTATCATGTGATTTCATACCTCTTTCTTCCTAGGTAATCGTTTGTAGCTGTCTAGAAGAATTATATGAGCACATAGAACCATGTGAGCTCACGCCAGACCTTGGTGGAGACCTAGAATATCACCATGAACAATGGCTCCAGCAAAGAGTGGTATGTATCACTGAAAATAAGAATCCATTTAAATGTAGAAAAATTTTTTTACTTTTTGAAGAAATTTGTATCAGTCGGGTTGTAAACTACCTTAAAGAAGAAGGATTGAGTGGAATGGGCGAGGAAACTTTTTATAATATCAAGAAACTTCTGAGCAACTCCCCAAGTCTGAGAATCCTTGATATTCTCTTTACCTGATCGAGCAAAAGTAGAAAATCAAGTGAAATTGAATTCAGTTGCTATGCTGTTATCCTTTATGATATGGTGAGTGTAGATCCACTCAATGTTTAAAATAGTGTATCCAAAAGCTAAAATTTCTTCTTTTCTGTATTCTTTTCAAGAGCGGAAAATGCAGAAACCTTGCAGCAGCATGGGCTGAATTTTTTAATTTCTATTTTACTCCAGCTAACTTTTATTCCATCTGCAAAGATTCCAGGTTTTGCAATATGAATAAATCTTGAACCTTACATCATCCAAAAGGGAGATATATGTATTTTTCCTTTTTTGCAAAACAACAAAATTACAGATTTATTAACTTTCTTCCTTCTGTCTAGGAATTGGAGCACTTTGCAATTAAAACCAAAGCAGTATCGGACAGTTTAGGTGCTTTTACCAGGAGTATTAAAGAGGCTTGCGAGGAAAATGAGGTAAATGAAGAAATGCTCCTTTCTCAAGAGACTGAATATGCAACTTTGAAGGATGAGATCCTGCGTGCTGCACAAGAAGGAGAAGCACTTCTAAGCGGCATCAAAAAACGAGAAAACAGCCATTGTCATGAACCATCATCATTTTCAAATAGGGCAGCCATCGAAAGGAAGTTGGTACAGCTTGAGGAGACTGAGCGAACTTTCGATGAATTTTGGGGCTATCATGCATCAAGACTAAAGCAGTGTCTGGAGCTGAAAGCTTTTGAAAATGATTTTCGACAGATGCAGGTATGTTTTTTTTTTTTTTTTTTTTTTTTTTTTTTNTTTTTTTTTTTTTTTTTTTTTTTTTTTTTTTTTTTTTTTTTTTTTTTTTTTTTTTTTTTTTTTTTTTGCTGGACCTACCTCTTTAAGTGAGATAATTAATTTTCTCTCATTGTTTCTCAAAATTATTGAAAGTTTCTGTGCATGATCTTCCTCTTTAAAACTGAAATAAGAATTATACGCATAGATTTCTTAGCAAAAAAATGTTATATTGAACTTCCTCTCAATACTAGTTTTGAATTTATTATTACCTCTAATAAAGCCTTGGCTTTGTTTCTTAATTTGTTCAACATCTTTGATAAAATTTGATATGTAAGCTATGAATTCGCAGGGATGCAGAAACTTCCGCACACGGTTCAGGCCGGCACTTTGAAATGGGAGAAACCATGTGAGGTCAAGAACTATTATTTCCTGAGCCTTAAATTTTTCAAGTTGATACCAATTATCAAAATGTAAATTAGAAAGCTGATTTTTCTCAAGTTCATTCAATTAGAAAATTACATATTTTGTTTCTCTCTTTTTTTTTCGCAGGCAAGACTGGATGAGAATTTGAAAATCCTCACTGAGTCAACGGATATCGGAGAAACAGTGAATCACGTTCTCTCTCTCATCAAGGACTTCGATGACTTTCAGCAAATATGCTTTGTAAGCCTTATTTGGATCATTAGGATATCTTTAGTTCCTGTTATTCTATCTGTTGTATTGCAATAATTCTCGGCAGGTCTTGGAATTTTTGGTTAAAGGAGCTTGTAAAATTGTAGTATGCATTGCAAATACCCTAGATAAGATGGATTTCATCTTACCGTAAGGCGAACCTAAACCTAAACCTAACCTAATGCAAGATAAGATGGATTTCATCTTATTTTAGACAACAGTAGTTGAAACTCAAAGATTGCAGCAACATAGATTTTTGAACCTATCAGTATTTTTGTATTTTTTTGTGTAAAGGAGAATATCCATATGGGCCGTTTTTGACCCACTCTAACTGAATTTCCTCAACTCTACAATTAAAATCTACAATGCAAATCTCGGCTGGGTGTAACAGATTTTTTCTCAGTGTAAAGTGTAATTCTCAACGTAAGGTGGGGAGGGCATAAGAAGGGGGAGTTATCAGGGTTTTTCATGAAAAATGCTTTGCAGCAGCAGTAAGTAATGAGGCTTGTTTTTTAATTGAATGTCATCAAATTTTTTTGTGCTCTCAAGTTTTTCTGAATGAAAGTTTTCAGCCGCTCGTATCAGAACTGGTTTTAATTTTTATTTCAGGATGATATTGAGCGTTGTCAGTACACAATTAGTAGAGGCAGAGGCTTGCGTATTGCCAGCGTCGAAGCAAACTGTGATGAACTTCAAAGATTGGTCAAAACGCTAGATGACCGTCTTCACCATCGACGCGAACTGCTTTACAAAGCCAAAGAGTTAATGGTGATAATAGAGCAGGTATGTTTGAATTAAGTAATTCTTAGGTTAAGAAGTTTTGTAGATTTTGTATTTTTTTCTAATAATTAATTTTAACATATTTTTATTCATTTAAGTACTTCCCTACTTTTCTTGTGCTCCAAAGAATTGGATATAAATTTATGATTGACTTTGTAAGTCTTGTGTAGTTACTGCTAAACATCATCTGACAATGGAATATCAATTTTAATAATTGAATGCAGCACTTAGCTTGTTGGTTGTAATTCTATCAAATATCTGAAATCATCCAACCAACCTCAGTTTTCTTATTTTTTCAGCCAGTTGTCTGTTGCCCTCTGTAGTTATTTTCTCTATGTCAAGGTAGAGATAGATTTTTTTAGGTATTAAGATGTTTTTAATGCAAAGTTTTCATACTACTAATACTTTTCTAACCATTTTTTGAACTATCAAATTATTTCTTTAAACATCTCAATTCTTCTCAGTTACTCATGTCGTTATGTTTGTGTTTTTTTGTTTTTTTTTAGGCTAATTCTTGGTGCTCTCAAGGTGTATCGTTACTTGCTGCGCAGCAATTGGATGAATGTTCTCGCAGCCCAGAATCGGCGGAGAATTGTCTGGCTGCACTAGAAGAATTTATGAACAGTGGAAAAAAGTTTTGCTCAAGTGATTCACAGGATTCTACTCTGGCGTTTGAATTATACGTCACACCAGAAACCAAGCCTTTAGTCAATCAGGTAAACCTCCAATTTTTCATTACATCAAAAAAAAAAAAAAAAAAAAAAAAAAAAAAAAATAAATAAAATGAACATGAAAAATAAAAACTCATCCTCCTCCCCCCCTCTCTCTCTCTCTGCAGGTGATTACAAGGTTGCCTGAAGAATCTCACTCTATAGTATAAAATCATAAGCACACCGTGTCACGCTGAGGGTGTCATGCTAAGGGTGTAACGCTCAGTTTCTCCTCCACTCCCCGCTCCCCTCCCGCGCGCACGCTCACATGCCTCTCGCCCTCTCCAAACTGGGTTTTCCCTAACTCTCAATGATCTTTTGATGATCTCACGATATCTGCTTATTAGAGGCGCGAAGCGCCTCTGGGGGGTTGGACCGCGGAGCGGCCAGGGGGCGCAGCCCCCTAGTTGAATAAAACAAGTGGTTATATTTTAAGAGGGTAACTTCTAAACAGAATTACTTAAATATTTTTAATCATTTGCACTCAACTCAGATTCCTTCTATTAATGTCCAGTTGTAGATAATCTTTTTTAATGAAACTCTGGAATAATCAGCATTGATAATATCAGGAAAAATCCGCTTGCAATTACAATATTGCGGAAAAAATGTCTCTAAATATGCCTGTTTTGTAAAAGTAAAATGAAAGATTAAATTTTTATAGGCTAAAATCTTTCTAGTTTTTCAACAACTCTTTCCAATTTAAATTTTTTTTCACCTGTTGTTGAAATAATTTAAGTGAAATTTTTATCAGTATTTTTTTTCTTGTTTCACAGGTTGTTCAAAGGATAACTGATGTCACAATGATGTGTGAAAAGAAGCTAGCAAGTTTGAAGAAGCTCATTATTCGCCCTCCAAAACCTGTTCAGCATGTTATTCCGGAACCAGTAATAACTTCTCATAAATTACAAAATCGGCTCAGCCTTAACGAAAAGAGACTCAGTCTCAACGAAAAGGTACATCTAGTATACAAAAAAAAATTAATTTATAAATAGTCTCCCCGCTCTCATATGGATCGTAAAAAATAAGTTATCTTGGAAGTCTGCAGTTTTCTCATGACCTTTCTTGAATCCTATTTTTTTATGCATTTATTTGAATGTACTTCTTCTCTGAAATTAAATTTAAGTTTGATTGAGGTGAAGCAGATGGTTTATCCCTTTCAGGAGGATATTCCGAGTTATGAGTTGTGTCTCCTCTGTGTCAAAGTAATAATTAAAACAAAGATGGTATTAACTATCTACACTTCAGTTTTTGTAGAACTATTCTGTTGATAAGCACTGCAAAAGTACTTCACTGCAAATTTTTTGTTTCCAGTATAAAATTATTGAAATAATTTCCTCTTGTTTTTAGTTGGATAATGGTGATAATACAATAAGTGGAACAGAAGTAGATGGATCTCTGAGAACGATGCAGGGTCACGTACTAAATGAGTTAATAAACACTGAACGTGTGTACGTCCGAGAACTAGGGCAAATTGTCCAGGTAAGTTGAATGTCAGTTTAATACACTAGATCCTGTTTAATTACAAAATAGAAAATAAATAGTGAACAAAACAAGAAAATCATTTATTCTTTCTCTCAGTCTACATACCTTGAATTTTGGTTTAAAAGCCCCCAAATAGCGAGCTAAAATCTGAAAAAATACTCCTTCTTCCCCCTCCTTTTCCCTATCAGTGTTAAAATCCTAATATTAAGCCTTAAAATAGAATATACCCTAAGATAAAAATTAATTTCAAATGATTTGTGTAAAGCCATATTAAAGGCAGATTGGGAAGTAAAACATCTGGTTTTCCAAACCTTTGGTGGAGCTATACTTGCAGGAAGGGGGGGGGGCTCTTATACATGAGGAAAAATCCCAAGAGGGAAAAATTCCCCTCTTAATCCATAGAATAGGCTCCCTTATCTTAGTACATGAACGTTGACTTCCGGATATTTTAGTGTGTTACATTTGTGCCATGTCCTCTTACTGTCCAGTCTTTTCTTCTTCTTTTTGTAATAATAATTTTTTCTATCTTTCCAGGGCTACATTCATGCAATGTATGTGGATGATATGACAAGTTTAGTTCCTGTTGCTTTAGAAGGGAAAGAAAAAATTTTATTTGGAAATTTAGAAGAAATTTATCAGTTTCACTCAAATACATTTCTCCAGGATCTAGAGAATTGTCTCTCGAACCCTGAATTGATTGCAGTTTGCTTTACGCATAGGGTAAGTTTTTTACATCCTGTATTTGTCTTTGAGGATTATCAGATGGTGAAAACATCTGCTGCAGAATGTATGTAAATCCATCTTTGCTCATGACCGCTTTCTTCAAAGGATGTCATATCCTTTATTAATTGTGCTCATCCATCAGCCGAGTAGTGAATGTAATTAATCCAAAAATGAACTTTTAAAAAATAGAATGATACTTGTAATGAGTCACCATTGTTCTTTTCGGTCATGCCTTATACATAGAATAATGCACAGAATTGAGCTCAATGATTTGCTGTCACAAAAATATTTTAATACTTTTAAAACTTCATTGATCTTCCATCCATTTATCCCAAGACTTTTATATTTTTCGGGCTTAAAAAGCTTTCTAGAGTTCTCCACAATTAATTTTGAAGGTTAACTTTTCCTTCATAATTGCTTAAATGTGAATTATTATTCATTTTATGTCTATATTCATTTAATTTTTCTCATTCTTTTTTTTAAATTTTTTTGCAGCAAGATGTATTCGATAAATTGTACAGTTTTTATTGTCAGAACTCAGTACGTTCTGAACAGTTGCGGTGTGTCATTGGTGAATCAAATGCCTTTTTCCTAGAATGTCAACGCAGATTAGGTCATAGACTTCCGCTGGCAGCGTATCTTCTGAAACCTATCCAAAGGATAACCAAGTATCAGTTACTTTTGAAGGTAAGGATCCAGAGGTATCAAAATGGTGTGAAATATACTTATGTTTTCAAATAAATCAGCAATCTGTGTTGGTCACCACTAGAGCCTTAAGATAAATCCAAAGGCTTTTTTACTCAATATCTTGTTTGCCCCCTTTTATTTCTTGCTAAAAGGAAATGATTGCTCTCAAACTGACAATTTGTAGGTACTTTTGTTCTTTTATCGAGGAATTTTTTATAAAAACTTAATCCCTTCTTACAAACTAATTAATTACTGTTCAAGAGTGCCTCTAGAGCTTTCCTTAACTCATTTGCACTTACCTAGTTTTTTAGTGTACTTTTTGAAGGTAATATGCCATTGTTTATAAGTTTTTGAAGTATTTTTGTAGTACTAATCCATGTGTTTTTTTATTCCATGTTTCTTGTAGGATTTGCTCAGGTATAGTCAAAATGAAAGAGGTCGTGCGGAGTTGCAGCAAGCCCTCGAATGTATGTTAGATGTTTTGAGGTGTGTCAATGATAGTATGCACCAAATAGCAATCACCGGTTTTTATGTGAGTTATTAAAATATTTTTCACTCCTGTAATCAATGTGTATTCTTAATTTATCAGAAAACTTAATTTAAAACATAGAAGTAAATTATGCAGGGAAATCTGCCTTGTTGCTATTGCAGATATGTAGATATGTTTTTTTTTTTTTTTCTAGCTCTACCAATAAAGTGCAGTAATACAGGCAACTTGTCATTGACACCTAGTCTAATGGTTTTCTTTTTCATATATTTTTTTGTAATGATGAGCAGAAATTTAACAACGTCACCATTGAGGCTTGCATTTTTCTAGTTTTACCATTACTATATCTCTTCTCGTGCAAAGAGCTTGATGCAAAAACGGCTTTTTTCGCCCCCCTCTGGAAGTTCTTCATACTTTGTCTATTGATTACTCATACTTGAGCGCTTCTTTTCCAAAATTTTCAGACTCCCAAAAAATTTTGGGGGGGAGCTAGGGGGGGTGGAAGTCAAAACCTGTGAACCTCGATATCTCTTGAACAAAGAAAGATATCGAGGTCCGGTTTAGACGAAAAATCGTCTAAAATTGCATACTTTAAGATTCTAAAGGTCGAAATCCCGATATTACATTTTTAAGTCAACATATGTGCTTTTTTCCAGTTTTTAGGTCTAGAAAATTTCTTTTAAACGAAAAATTTACAAAGATCTCAATTTTTTATTTGAACCAAAACCAGTTTTTTAAATTGTTCGTCTTTTTCCGCATCCAACGAGTGGTCCATTAAGCTGGGGAACCAAACGGTTCCGGAGTTATGATCGATTGAAGTTTCCGCTCAACGCGCGCCGACCGATTTTCGCGCGCAAAAAAGTCGGATTTGACTGTTATTAGATCAGATTGAATGTTCAAACTGAGCAAAATGCTTTATTAGGGACTTTTGAGGGTCGCTGAGTTCAGAAATTACAGATACTTCCAAATAATTTACGTTTTTAAAATTACAGCTCCGCAGCGCTATTTTAGAGGCCCACTGAGCGCCGACCGGTCGCTCAGTGGTCCTGTCCGAAGCTGCAATTTTAAAAACGTAAATTATTTGGAAGTATCTATAATTTCTGAACTCAGCGACCCTCAAAAATCCCTAATAAAGCATTTTGCTCAGTTTGAACATTCAATCTGATCTAATAACAGTCAAATCCGACTTTTTTGCGCGCGAAAATCGGTCGGCGCGCGTTGAGCGGAAACTTCAATCGATCATAACTCCGGAACCGTTTGGTTCCCCAGCTTAATGGACCACTCGTTGGATGCGGAAAAAGACGAACAATTTAAAAAACTGGTTTTGGTTCAAATAAAAAATTGAGATCTTTGTAAATTTTTCGTTTAAAAGAAATTTTCTAGACCTAAAAACTGGAAAAAAGCACATATGTTGACTTAAAAATGTAATATCGGGATTTCGACCTTTAGAATCTTAAAGTATGCAATTTTAGACGATTTTTCGTCCAAACCGGACCTCGATATCTTTCTTTGTTCAAGAGATATCGAGGTTCACAGGTTTTGACTTCCACCCCCCCTAGCTCCCCCCCAAAATTTTTTGGGAGTCTGAAAATTTTGGAAAAGAAGCGCTCAAGTATGAGTAATCAATAGACAAAGTATGAAGAACTTCCAGAGGGGGGGCGAAAAAAGTCGTTTTTGCATCAAGCTCTTTTGTCTCTTTTTAAATCTTGAGAGTGAGGCAATCCAAAAAGTGTTTTATCCGTCTACCTTGTGTTATTATTTCCTTGTTTCATGTTTCAGGGTAATATACTGGAACTTGGTAATCTATTGTTGCAAGGATCATTCTCAGTCTCAACAGAAAATAAAAAAGATCGGCTCAAGGAACTGCGACTGAAGCCCATGCAGCGGCATTTGTTTTTGTATGAAAATGCTATTTTGTTTTGCAAAAAAACCACATCAGACAACAAAGACATGTATCATTTCAAAAGATTGTTAAAGGTAAATTTCTTTGTTTTTATTAGTTTTTCATAGCTTCAATGTGTAACTACACACTAAGATAAAAAGAACTTTCGTGTAAAAAGTTGAAAAGAATGGAAAAATTGTATGAGCCTCTTGGTAGTTTTTATATGAAATCAAAATACTTATTGATTCATATCTTTCAAATTTTCTCAGCCTTCATTAAGTTTATACTCAACTCTCAATGGCGTTTCTTATTTTCAGTGTTATTTTCTCAAACCTCATATTATAATGGTAAAATTAGACAACGCTCTCTCAGGATCCCCCAAAATTTCAGAAAGAAAAAATTTTCACTTTGGAGGATCCTTTTTTGCAAAAAAAAAAAAAAAAATAAAATCGGATTTTTAAAAATTCTAGAGCCTTGTTCTAGTGATTGCTTAATACCTTTAATGTTTTCATGAATTAAATGTTTCTTTCCAGATGTCTCAAATAGGTCTCACAGAAACCGTGAAGGGCGACCCTCGGAAGTTTGAGCTTTGGCTTCAAGCCAGGCAAGAAGTTTATACCATCCAGGCAGCCAATGTTGAGCAAAAATCAGCATGGGTTAAACAGATCCAAAAACTTCTCTTCGACCAGTTATTTGCAATCAAAGGAGAGAAGAACCGACAGTATTCTGTTGCATCTGGGCCAGCGCAACACATGTAAGTTCTATTTTATGAAAAATTACGTGCAGGGTGCACCCCAAGTAGCATTTTTCAACGAAAAAATTGCGATATGTTGCGATTTTATCAGCGACAAAATCGCTAGAATCATCAACATCTGAGTGATTTTCCTCAATCTTGTTGCAATAAAATCACGATTTTATTGCCTGGCAATTTATAGCAATGTATGGCGATTTAATCTCGATTTAATTGACGAAAATTGATCGCGATTTTATTGAAAAAAATAATTGCAATGCATAGCGATTTAAGCGCTCTAAATCGCGAATTTTTATTCGATAATATTGTGATAAATTGCCATTGATGTAATCAAGTTAATCAAGCGATAAAATCTCTATTTGTCACGATCACTGCTACTTGGGAAGCCCTCCACTTAGAATTGGCCTCACATTAAGTACATACATACTTACATTAAAGTCGCTTTTACAAAGTGCCCGAGCACTTTCACCTAATTCTATATAAAATAAATAATTAATTGCCATTCTTATCTATCAACGCAGAGGTCATCTGGTGAATTGCATCTCGTAATTTCATCTTGAGTGCCACCTATCTACAATTTTGTTGGGCGTCTCCTTCCAGAAGGCACCCAATCTCCCACCTTCCCAGGCAATCTGTCATCCGCCATTCATTGAACATGACCATACCAGACAAGCTGTTTGGTCATAATTTCATGCACAATGTCCGGCTCAGCGTTAATCATCTCACGCACTCTTTTGTTCCTTACATGATCCCTTCTCACATTGAATATAATCTATACTATAAGCTCCAAGACCTCCTAATTTTGCGAAACTGGTGACGCTTAGTTCCAGCGTTCTACCGGGCCGATTTTCATGATTTTTGCAGCTATTGACGGGCAATTGTCTTTAAATAAGCCAACTCTTTTCAGATTTTGAAAATATGGCCCAGGTTTTTTTATATTACGTGGTAAAGTTCCGAATTCTCCCATATAAACAATGTAAATTTATGTGTTTTGTCATAGTTCGTTTGAGCATTCTACTGGGCCGATTTCCATGATTTTTGCGTAAATCGACAGGTAATAGGCTCTAGATGAGCCCGCTCTAATCAGATTTTGGAAAAAGGACCCAGGTTTTTTTAAAATCACGTTATTAAAGTGAGTGAATTTACAGAGTGCTCCGGGACTGCTACCGCTATGCGCGGGAGGATGCGCAGTGGTCGAGGAGGTTGCCAGGGGGCGTAGCCCCCTAGTATAAATAAATTGGTCAATGGGGTGGCCTCCGTGTAAGCAAAGGAAGCTCTAAATCCTCTACTTTAATGGGCAATGTTAATGAAGAATAAATCTCATATGTAATTAGTTATGGAGGAATTTAAATAGTTTAAACTTTCAGATTAAAACAAATTTGAATAGTAACGCATCGTCAAAATGGGAGAAATAATTTTAAAAATGTATCCGTAGGGGTAGCCACAACATTTTCACTTTCACCTTTTTTGGTCTAAGTTTTTCTATTTTTTATTTTTGTGTGTCCTTTTGTTTCAGACCCGTAAGGCAATCTGTATCTCTTGACAGTGGCGACAACTGTGCTCTTCTAGGTATCAATAGTAATAAAAACCATGTCAATGACAATAATGTAGGTGATGATGAAAATGCTTGGTCATCGGATGGTAGCATCAGTGATAATGATGAATCTTTCGCTGGCCCCCGAAACAATGTAAGTAACACCTATGTATTTTTAATTCTCCAAATGAGTCAAAATTCTTCCAGTCAATCCAACTGATCTCAAAGCTTAATTTGTCCCTTCGCTACCTGCCTCTATTATATTGTCTGAATGAAAAAAATAGATGTAACTAAATTGAAATCTCTGAAATAATTTGTGTGTTTATTTGGAAGTAGTTCATTTTGTGCAGACTTGTGTTATTTGAACTTGTAATGTTGAATCAGTCTGCCTCAGAAGGGCAATAAAACCCTAATTTTATGACTAGAATTTGAGGTCTTAGCAAGGAGCTCTAAACAAAATTAAATCAGGAAGCCAATTTTTGTGTTTTTTTTTTAAAATATTATATTTGGATAATCTATTCCTCTTGTTTAAAACATTTTAATTTTTTTCCCTCTCTCTTTTTGTCATTTAATGGATTCCATAGATATTGATATCCATATCCATTGATAGTAAAATGAAGCTTTTCTCTATCACTGCTCATAAAACTGGCATTTGAATCAAAATCATATTTTCTTTGACATGGCTCTGCTTTTCAAACTGTCTTGTCCTTTAATCATTTTTTCTGAATATTTTGTAAACTTGCTCTTCTTTTTCTTTCATTTCTGTAGGCACTAAGTGGACGTTTTATGGCTTTAGCTGATTACTGTGCTATAGGACCCTCTGCTATCTCGTTGAAAGAGGGCGATTGTGTCGAGATTTTGAAAGTTGGCTCTGCCGGCTGGCTATATGTAAAGTCTATAGGTAAGCCCGTGAACTTTTCCCTTTTTGAATGAATTTGCGTGAAAAATTTCCAATCCTGATTTTTTTTAAATTTATGTGTGAGGGGGTAAAGTATGATTGGTTTATACTTTCATAAAAACTGCTTTGCTAGGTTGTAATTTATTTAACTTATTTTAAGGATTTCTAGGAAATGATGAGATAATGAAACAGGGTTGTGTAAATAACCAATCTGAAATCTGGCATGAGTATGCAATCTGAGTGCGGTAACATACATTTATGAATATCGACGGTGTAAGTCGGCAATCACATAACTCGGTTTGCGACGTCCCAGACTTCCTATCATACTTCATTTTTTAAACGGAAAACTATTCAGCGGCAATTCTTTTATACTGCCGTGATTTTTCTTCTCTGTGCGAAGAAAATTCTGTAAAAACTTTAGGAATCATGTCAATTTGTTCTCTTCTAAAAAAATAACATAGAGGCAGAGATTTTCAGACACCGCAAAGGAGTTATGCGACTGCCGACTTACATCGTCGATATTCATTTTGTGACAAATGTAGTGAAAAATTCTTAATAATTTGGTACATATAGAGATGTGAATTTTGTGCAACTATTTGTTCAAAATTTGTTCTTTGACTTCGCAATTAAAGATGCTTGCATCTGTTAGCAGTGCAAGGTGGCATGCTTGCAATCTCATGTGAATCTTGTTTCGATAATATTGGTACTTTCAACTACATATCATTTTACGCAACAGTCTTTTTAAGTCAGCCTGAAGATTCCAAGCTAAAGTGAGTTTTATTCTATCTAAAGGACCCCTGTACACCATAAACCTTGAGTATTTATGAACTGAAACCCTTTCATTTGTCTTTCAGGGTCACAAATAGAAGGATGGGCTCCATCCTCTTATCTGGAACAGTGTGGCAGGAAATCTTCTCGAAGCTGCCAGTCAGTGAGTAGTCAAGTCTCAAGTTCGACTGACTAACAGGAAATTTACCAATACCTGGTGTAAAAACCAGCACCGCCAGACATTGCGGTAATGGATGTTTCATCCTCTCGTCATCCAGTTAATTTTGCAGTTTGTGATATGAAAGTTTTTGTTCCTTTTCTTTTCCTATTATTATGCTTAGTTTTTTAATGAGCCTATATTGTTGTTAATTTGTTGCCAGACTTACAAATGCGAGGTCAGAGGGAAAAATCTTCTCGGTCGGACAGAGTGAGTTCATTACTTGACTTACTGCCTTATTGATCACAGCGTCAGTTTTCTTTGTGTCCACCTCAGGTCACTATGGTCAATTGGTCATAGTATCTGACCTATCCTGTAAAGTGAACCAAGCAATAACATTGACATTCAGAGGAAACTCTACAGATCTACCATGGAACTATTGTGACTTTTACTTATATTGTTTTAAGTGCGCAGTCCTATTTTTTTGCTCGTTAAAACAATGAAAAAATTTCCGCATGTACGTCAGAACTGCTTATATTCAAACGTGTATGCAGCAAATACTGGTGTATTGATACCGGTGGTCCTGAAGCAATGCAACAATAAAGCATATTTTCGTTGATGATTGGTCGAGCCAAACTGTTGCGGTTGAATAGCTGCAAGCAACGGGTTGATGAACATTTGAGGTTAGACTTTCGAAATTGATGCGGGTTGGATGCCATTATCTAGATCAGGTCTTTTCTTAATCCTACTTTTTGTAGGGTTTACTTTTGGCTCCAACGTTTGCAAGAATTCCACCTTCTATCTGTCTGGTGAGTCTTGATATGGTTCCAAAAAAGTATGATTGCGTCAAAGCAAAATACAAAAACGCATCAACCATTTTGGTTCGACCGATTATCAACGAAAATACATACGCTTATAGCTATGCAGGCATGATACAAAATTTATGGTCAGGCGGTAAAGAATAGGATATTTTTGTGAATACAGGGAGAACTGCTTATTCAGAAAAATTTGGCCGGTCCAGAACCATTTTGATGTAAGTGATTTTTACTGCATTTTTGAAGGGCTCAGTAGGTGGAAGGCATTTATGTAACTCTTGCATTGCTCTTAAGATCGTGGTTCACGTCCTCCATATTTATTCATTTCACCACTTTTCTTCTAGTCTAGTCAAAGCGAATGTTTAAAACTGAACTGTTGATTGCGTTGTAGTCATAGAGGGGTTGCGAAGAGGTCATATTTTAAGCTATAGATGTATGCTTTTTACAAGCTGGACATTAATGGTTGGTTTTTCCTCTGAACTCAAAAAGTATGAAAAACCTTGCAAGAGCTTGATTATGTTAAGTTGTATGAGGTCTTTTCGAAAATTTAATTTTGATGAATTTTTGCTCAAATCGCTGTGATGAATTATCAAAGAGCTGAATTCTCTCTCCTCATTTTACCATTAAATTATTATTATGATAATCCATTGAATATTTCCGTTTAAAATATCGTAAATTTAAAGATTTCCCGCCCCAAGTGGTCACAATAATGTGTAATGTTGAGGGAAAAAAAGTACCCATTATTTTTGTTGTTAAATAACCGAGGTTGCTTTAAATGAAAAGAACGCTGTCCTTCTGAGAAAATTTACCTCGAGTTTTTATATTTGTTAAGTCAGCTTTTTTCCTTTTTTGCTCTAACTGTTACTTTTCTTTGTGGGAAGAAAAAGCCATTAAGGTTATAAAAACCATAAGAAATTATAAAGTCAATGATGTAGAATCATAGTCGCTAATTTTGTTGAGTCAATATGATGGTGAAATTTCAATTATTGAAAATTTAAGCCGTGCTGCATTGAATGGCTGTGAATATAACTGAATCCATTAATAAACAGCAAATATCTGTTGCCTGTTTAATTTTTCCCCCTTTCAGTGGAGAAAGAGTGAATATTGACTTTTGAGAAAACATACCAAAGGAATAGTTATTTAATTTTGATTCCAAATAATTTCTAGTACATACATACCTTAGCATTTCAGTATGTAGACTATTGGCGTGAACTCTTACTGCAAACTACAGTGTGAACGAACATTTTGTCACTGACCACTCGCTAATTTTGTAAAATATTGTCAAATTTATGTTAATTAGCTGACTGTTCCAATTTTTAAATGTACGTACATTTAAATTCTCAGTGGTTTCCTAGTCCAGAATTTAATGTTTTAATTGGGCTGTTTTCCCCCGTACGCCAGTTAAATCTTTCATGTATCATTCAGTTTCTTTCCACGTGTTTTTCTTCCTCTTTACTTCATGGAGCAAAAGAGCATTACACTAAAGTCTGAAAAGAATATTATTTCATTTGTTTTGTTGCACATTTTTGTTTTTAGTTTATAGCTTAGCTGCTTTTTCTTTTCTTTGTAAGGATTGTGTTCCTTTGAGTTCTGTATTCATAACTCGGGAGCAGGTATCCTTGAGGTCTCTCCGTTGAAATGTGTACTAGATTTTCTCTTTTTATCCTTTCTTAGACCTAATTTAAGTAGGTTATTAGGAATAATCCAACCCTTGAAAAAAACATTATAAAGAAGCTCATCTATCTGAGATATCAATCAGTTCTTCCCTCCTGAACACAACTCTGAAATTAAACTTAATGAAGAATACAGGACTCAGTACTAGAAATGTCATTCTTCTTTGCAGTAGCTCAATCAACAACCATTAAGACAAGGAATTTATTTTTACTGTGTCCTTATCTTTAGCTAGCTCAGTGTGCATAGTTTCCCAACAACTCAACATCGCTATAGATTTTATATGGCCTTATACTATCACCTTTTTGACAATTAAAGTTTATTACAAGAAACCTGGTTCAAAATTCACAATAACATGTATTTATATTGTACCTTTTTTTTTTACTTAAGATTATTAGTAAGATGTGCTCACAAGCAAGAGTTGGTTCCATCAATTTATCTAATATTTTACTCTTTTTTGGGGTTGGTGTGGGATTTATTATCACAATGGACCATAGTATCGATGCACATTTACCACCTGTGGTGAAGTGGTTACCTAAAAGGAATAGCACCAAAGATTATTATTTTCTACGTTTTCGTTCTCTTCCTAGATTTTTTAACTATCACTAGCTGGGTCTTGTTGAGAGTTCGTAAGGATAGTGCATAAATTTGATTAGTCACAGAAATAGCACCCCAAATGTATTTGATGATGGTACTTATTACCAACTCTAGGGGATAGTTGTGGTTCTTGTTAGCCTAAAAACTTTTAGAAATGCCAAAAATTCTCATTAATATAGAATTTTGAAGTGTAAGAACAGAAGCAAGGAATTTTTAAGAAACTTTCGAAGTACAGAAAGCAGAATCAGTCGTCCAACGTTTTCCCATGGCTGGTCTTTAATTATGTGTGACTACTGATGAGTTTTTGTGCCATCAATCATTGAATTGTAGCCATGTAGTTTTGAGATTATCGAATCAATGTAACTTCTTTTCCTATGTATTTCAATTGATCACTCTAATAGTCAGAAAGTCTGTTCCATGTAAGTGTATCTCTCATATTTCCCAAGTAATAAAATTTGAAATTAAGAAAAGAAAAAAAGGCCCATGCTAATAAATTATGAGTCCAAGAAGATTTAGCTAATTTTTTTGCTTTGGATCGGTTCTATTTTGAGATTTTTCTGGGGTGTAAATTCCTATGACCTTTTTCTAATCAGTGGAACTCATTTGTATGGTTCTAAGAGGCTCTATGGAATGTCTTCCAATACACGTGTGTGCTTCATCAATTCAGATGAAATTATTTATCTGTGAGGGATTTTTTGTTCTCTTTTTTTTTCTTCTCTCCCTTTCTAGTCCATCATCTAGCAGGTGATCGTTACTCTAAAACTTAGCACATGAAATTTACTTTTGTCAAGATCTTCGTTGATTTACGCATCTAAGTATTTGCAGGTCATTCTTTGTCATAAATAAAAAAAGGAAGGCTTTTAACTAGGTATTAAATAAACAAAGCATAGTTGAAGTAGTATAATAGTGAAAGAAAAATTTTAAAATTTTGTCTGTTATTTTCTGTGAAAAGAGACCACCCAGCCCTATGTGTGGATAAATTATGCTTGTCTTTATTGTCTAAGATCTCAGAAAATTCAGATTTTAAAATGTTGATTGATTTGTTGTTTTTTTTCCTGATGAAAATTGGAACTTATTGCAGGCTCTGTCCTCTTTTTTTAATGCAGAAGCTTTAGAGTAACTTTGGCAAGTTGTTAAAACAGAATATTGACAGTGAAACTACCAGACCATGTATCTTGTTTTCTGTGTTTAAAAATCTCTACTCCCATTTTATTCTTTTGAAGGAGATCAAATCACATTCATCTCTTAAAATGATCACAGAGTTTTCTTTGCACAGAGAAAAAAATACAGAAGTTTTCAAGAATTGATGTTGAGTAGTTTTCTGTTTAAAAAATGAAGTATGACAGGAAGTCTACAAGGTCGCAAACCGAGATACTCGGTCTTGTAGTTTCACCGTCAATATATTAGTACTCATTCATTATAGTTAGAAACAAACCATCAATCATATTATTTTGGTAAAAATATAATTCGAATAAATAGTCTGTATTATACAGTAATTCCTGAAAGAAAACCTTTGGAAGTATTCTTATCATGTTGATAGTGATTCTAAGAAATCATTTATCTTGATTGTGCTTTTTAAAAATAACTGCCAATAGTATATTTTTCTCCAGATTTCGGAATTCGACCTGAATTTCTTCAATTAAATATCCATTGAATATTTTTGTGAGGGCGGAAAAAAAATCTTATTAAATTTAACACAGTAATAATAATCAGTTGTTATTGAGAATTGTGAAGTACAACTGGCGGTTTGCACCATTACATCCTAAGTCTTGAAATTCCCCAATTCCACCTTTGATTAACGGTAAAACTTGCTCAGTTTTCACCTCATAAATTATGCGAAAAATTTCTCTGAAAGCAGAGAACTTTTTCAAACTTGCGGTTTTATATTTGCAATTATCAACATTCATCAGTATTTTGGCTTCAGTCCCAGAGTCTCAGTTTCTGCATTTGAACGAATTGTATTCAACTAGTCAAATAAAATTGCTAACAGTATTTTCTTTTTCTTTTTTACTTTTATCTGTTAATTTTGTATTTGTACGTGTTGAATTTTTGTCAATTTTACCTGTTTATTCACCAGCAATTTTTGATTAGGTATCGTAAATCTCACTGTTGAAACGTGAATGGACATGCCTGAAAATACCAATTATGGAAAAAAGTGTAGAGATTTATTTCATCATCGATTTCCTTTGCCCATCAAGCTTAATTGAACGAATCACAATTTTATCTTATAAATATTGGGGTTGCCACAGTCAGAGAATATTAAGAAATTTCAGGGCAAAATTACGAAAGTGTCAGGGAAATATTATTATGTATCTCGACTTATTTGCTCTTGAGAATGTTCGACTTTCTTAACAACAAATCTTGTGTGATCAGGTTTGGAAATGATAGTTTTTATGTTTTTCAACCATCCTACATATCCTCAAATGATAGCGAACTTTATCAATATTTGTCTGGGAAATTTTAGGAAATTTCATCTCCTAAATTTTTTGGCAACCCTGTGATCCTTATGTATGCTGTAATCCTTTAAAAAGATGAAGTCAGTGATGTTCGGGAGATTCTTGTCTCTTATCACTGGTTTGTCCATCATAACTTTCAAATCCTAGAAATTCAATATTTCTCAAAATTTCACTGTATCTTTCTGAAAATCGAACTTGAAGTATTCATTCAAACCATACTAAAAAATGAAACCCAAAATTAGTTTACCTTAACTCTTTTGAAATAAATTTTCACTAAAAACATTTTACTGTAGTTTGAAAGTTTCTGGCCTTAAGCTGTTTTGCCCGAACAGGATTCAATTGTTTCTAATGAACCTGAATTTGTTTGTAGCAAGCAATTTGTAATATGCCTTTAGTATTCGCTTTTTAAATTTAATTTCCCCAAGGGGTTAGTCCTTTTTTTATTTGTCCATAGGGTATATTAAAAATTTCATAGAGTTATTTTTTTATCACTCTCATTTGTCTTCAAATCATATTTTTGACCCGATGTAGATAAGTATCCATATTCCAATTCAAGTGGCCTGTCAGGCTTCCAACACACCTTAAAATTTTACTATTTTTGTATCATGTAATTTCATGTTCCAATGATTTTACCTCTCATAACAAGTTTTATATAAATAAATAACATGTTTGTAGCTCCTGAAACGTGTAGTTTTTTTCCGCATTAAAACTTGTAGTTGATTTCATTTCCAAGCAGTCATTTTAATCTTTAAAGAGATAAGTTTACAATTATTCCTTCACTGGGAAAATGTATCTGGAGAAATACTTTAATACAAGTGCTGCATTTATAATCCATTGAATAATGAAATTAGGAGAAAACCTCTACTTCGATTGATAGTGAGTTTTCAAACTTCCATCTCGAATTTTAAATATTTTAAAAGAAACTTTATATCACCTTTTCTTTTCTTTATATTTGCATGGAAAATAATACCCTTAATTCAGGAAAGAAAGTGAAAGGTTAAAGGAAGAAACAGTGATATAATAAAAATAAAATATTCACCCAGCATGTACAATTACCTACTTTCTCTTTCCGGAATCCAAATACATATGACAGAAAATATTCACTGTCGTTGGTCATTCAGATGTCAGTCATGGAGTCTTCTCTGAAAGGTTGACACATTAAAGAGAGAGGTAAAAAGAAAAGAAAAAAAGAAGATGCACGATTGGTCCCAATACTTCAAATTTCCACTTCCATGCTGTTCATTTTCTGCTATAATTCCAGTTTAGTGGGAAAAAAAATGAATGTTCAAAATCGCTCTCAAATATAGTAGTACATTTTAATCTTATCAATCCTCTCAAGAATCATAGGATGTTTAAAAATGGAAGTGGAAGGGGCATTGAAAATATCAGAATAAACTTTTACTTTCATCAACAAGTATGTTTGAACACCAGGCAAATTCCGTGATCTATCACTCTTATCTTCAATGCAACGCTGACCTTAGTAGCTGTGGGTCAGTGATGATCATAAGAGCAGTGGCCTCCAAAATATGTCTGCTCTGGGCTCTGGTTCTGGTAGGATAATTTACCATTAACAGGAACAGTATTTTTTAAGTACACCTGATGACACTTTAGACTTTTAATTTCACAGTCGCAGCATCTGTTATGTTGTTTTTTTGTTTTCCACGTGTCTTTGTATATAAAAGATATTTGGGTACATCATTCAAACCGGGTAGTTACTCACTTTTATATTACGTACCTAAACCAATTTTTTTTCCTGTTCGGTATGATATGTTGAGTGTAGAGTAAGTTTAATTGAAAAAAAATTTTGAACTTGAGTACCTATCTTCCTCAAACCATTAATGTAATATCCACCCTAAAAGTTGCGTCATGTTCTCCCACTAACGACGCATCAATACCCCCCCCCCTCCCCCTCAATCCTGTAAAGCTGTAAAACTTTCCGTTCAAATTACTCTTTTAACCGTCGTCCTTTTTTCCGTACAACTTTAGATTGAAGTAAGTTTGTTGGAAAAGATAAATGTAAGTATTGTAAGTGCAAAAACTATCAAAATCATTCCTCTCTTTCTTCTTATCAGTGTTATCAGTGCAGTGGGTACAGCGACCTCATCAAAATAATAACATAACCTCAAATACCAGCCAACGTGTTACGTGTTATCAACTGAGTGCAAAGTGAGTGCAGGTGTTCTAAAAACAAAAGATGTCAATGCTAGCCAACAGTTAGCCGTGGTCATCTCATTTTTGTGTGCAAAATTGGCTTTTTTACCACTCTTTCAGTACCTCTCTTTCTTTCATAATCGTAGTGTGATCTCATAGTTTTTGAGTGAATACTTAAGTACCTGAATACCTTGTTGATACAGATTTTATTCCCTTTGCAATAGTATTATAGCACATGTTTTTGGCAGGTCTAAAATTCTGTGGCTCAATTCCTAAAAGAACTATTTCCAACAGTCTGACTGTTTTCCGCAAAATCTCCATGGCAGAAGAAAGTCCACTTCTGGTGTCTACTATTGACAAAATCAGAGTCATCACGCTTAATCGGCCAAAGAAAAATAATGCAATTTCTCAGCAAGTAAGCACATACTTTCATCATTCTTTAAAATATCTAAGTACACTTAATTCACAGAACAGTTACAGCGCCTCCTTTATTCTCTTACCCATGAACTTTTTCAGTATATACCCAGTGTTTTCCTGAAGTAACGGTTTCATCAACGACACGATTTGCAGTCTGCTGATCAAGAAGTAATGCTGTACATAGCTGTTATAGAAAATACAGATTTATTACAAATTAATCTTTGTCATTACTTCTCTATCCAAATTTGAATAGTTTTCAAAGAAGGGAGTATTTAATGGGATTTTTGTGCTGAAATTTAAAATCAGCATAAAGGACCATTGACAAAGAATGTATTAAGTTTTTTGAGGTTTTACCAAATCTAGTAATTAGAATGTGGAAAACAGCCACGAAGCCCTCCCTCCCTCTTGCTTTTGGTTTTTAATTTTTTAGAGAAGTCTGCTCTGTGAAAATCATCTGAAACATCAAGGAATTTTAAGTAATTTTGAAATTATAATTTTTTTAGAAAGAAGAATAAAATTACTTAATAATCACTTTAATACTGTGCCATCTTTATTTTGATTTGTTTCATTGTCATGAAAATTTCCTGCTGCATTGTATGAAAAACACAAATTTCTACTTTGTTCCAGATGTACTTAGATATCACGAAAACACTCAATGAAGCCGCTAGTGATGCAGGGATCATGATGTGTGTTGTAACGAGTAATGGTCGATTCTTTTCAAGCGGGACTGATCTTCAAAACTCATTGGATGGCGATCTTGAAACCATAATTAAAGTTGCCAATCAAACGCTCTTGTACGTAAGTCGAGCCCTAATTAGATATTTATTCAATCTCCTCTTTTTTAGTCCATTTAATGTGTAGAGCAAACATTATTTCAGAAAATAATTTAGCTTGAAGCGGTATACTTACAAACAATACATTGAGAATTTTATGTAAGTAAAAATCATATGGGATTTTACTGTGAGTTTATTTTACAAGTTCCTGAGGACTAATATATTGGCGATGCTTTGATTCCGGTGGAAGCTTTTGACATCCTGAAACTTGTAAAATTTTTAAATGTCTACCTATTTTACCCTCTATTGTCAAAGATACCTTTAAGTAGACTGTAATTCATTCCATTGCTTCTTAATGTTTGCTGAGTCGGACTCTAGAACTCCGTTTTTTTGAGATCTACTAAGGCGATTTTGTTGCAAACTACAAGTCACTCAAAAAGGAACAACTGAGAGGTCTAGAGGGCAAACCAAAACTGCACTACATAGAATGTGCTCATGCTTCATGAAAAAGTAGGTAAGGTAAATAGACTGTGCTGCTGAACTTCAGTTTTAAAACTGTAATCAATGAAGTAATTTTTGTGGCATAGTTTTATCCTCATTACCTATTAATGAGCTCTCTCTCATTCTGTTTCAGGGAATTTGTAAATGCATTTATTCTTTTTCCAAAACTACTCGTTGCCATCGTAAATGGGCCTGCTATGGGAATTTCATGCACGATTTTAGGACTTTTTGATATAGTTTATGCATCTGAGAAAGTAAGTACCTCTCTCGTAATTAGTTTTAGTGCTGCAACTCAGTCTCAATGTTCAGAGAAACTTTTTATTGGGAATTAATGCACAGCCTCGAGGAGCTTAACCAGTGTCACCATTCTTATTTTGAGGCCATTCAATGATTGAAATAACCAATTATTGACAGTGAAACTGCAGGAGCGCATGCCTTGCTTATTGGAAGCCACTACATGCTTCAATGATGGCAAGGCAAAAAAAATGACCTTTGAAAAGTATTGAATTTTAAAAGATATGAAAATTTCAAAACTTTTTAACACAAACGGCTCCTGGAAAGTGCCTAGTAACAAAATAATGTTCAAAATCTTCAACTAAGCAGCATTCATGGACCATTCTTAAATTAAACCATGTACTTACTGTGTGGAGGGAGGATATCTAGACTAGGCTGAGGAGAAGAGAAGAGGAGGGTTGACACCGCATTACCTCATGCAAAATCAGTGCAAATAAGTGAGCCTCAAAAAAAAAACAGTTTTGATAAAAGTAGTAGCAAAAAAGCTGAATTTTCATCTTTTTTTATTTAAAAAAAAATGGGTTTAGGAGAAAAAGATAAAGAATTTTTTAAGGAGTATGCAGACCTGCGCGATGGGTGTGTGACAAGATTCCGAGAGGAGGTCTTAAATTCGGAATCTCAGAGAGAAGTAATTTAGGAGTGCTATCTTGTACACAGAATCAATTAAATTCATTTTATTTTGCCAGCTTGGATAAGCACTTCTATCAATTCCCTTCTCTACTAATTTTTGAAAATCCTTCACATTCCACAATAAATTATGGAATAAAAATTTGAGCATAACACCTTCTTTTGTCCTGATGCATTTCTCAATGCTTTTTCTACATAAAAACCACCTTTCCACGCTATCAGTCTTGGTCTCTAGTTTTAATAATGACCTTTACATAAGATTTATTTTCCCTCAGGCAACTTTTAACACACCATTTTCAAAGCTCGGATTGACCGCAGAGGGATGCTCTTCCTACACCTTCCCCAGGATAATGGGATATACAAAGGTATGTTATCATTTTTTATTGTTGTTAGGCATTTTTTTTTTGTCCGAAGATACAATTCGGCTGAAATAATGTAATAGCAGACCCATCCCAGAGGGAAAAGAAGTAGCTCGTTAACATACGCAATGGCCTGAGCAGGGGAGGTTTTCAGTTTTCATGTCACTCTTGCAGACAAATTATAATTTTATCCATAAAATTTCTGGATCACTCTGACACATCTTCGCCAAACATCTGAAGGGGGTACCAGAATTTAAATATTTTTATTGTGCTACCTACTGTCCTAAAAAGAGGGCAAGAAAAAAAAGAGGGAATAACTCCCTTTTTAAAAACTGTTGTTCGAGTGACAATCTGTTATGTCTCTTTTATTATGATTGATTAGTTCATATTTTTTGTTTTGTTTTTTTACAGGCAGCAGAGATGTTATATTTAAATCGTGTATTAACTGCCCCTGAAGCAAAATCATGTGGCCTCGTTGCAGATGTCTATAAGGAGGATGAGCTAGATTCCATCATTTGGCCGAGGCTTCGGCAGGTCTCTTCAGACTTCAATGAAAAAGTAAGTTTCCTTGTTTTTCCTATTATTCTTCTCTCTAAGCATTTGAATCATATCTTGTTAAAAAATGACAATAGCTGCAATAAGACATTTGCAACAAGTATACCTAACTGATATTCTTTCTAAAGGATTCAGAATAATTAACAATAGACAGAGTCAGTAGATTTTCATCCATGATAGAGTCAAAGTTCTTGTACTGCAGGCTGCGTGGATGACAAAGTTTATTTAATTAGCCCCTACTTGATGAAGTGCTGCATCAATAAACAAAGAGCATTCATCATTATGGGCTGATATCAATGTTTGAAAAGTTGGAACTTCATGGGCTCACTACAATGCCACATCACTGTGGCAGACTCTCGTCCACTTACAAGCCTATTTACTTGCTCATACTTATTTCTCCTCTGCACAACGTTTTCCAGTTAATCAATGACTTTTTAGAAGATAGCAAAACAACAATCTTCATCAATGAGCGATATTTGAAAAACAACACTTTTGTAGTAGAGTTGTTGGAAGAGACAGCCTTGAATAAAAGTTTTACAATGTGTGTCCAGGAAGTTTATGATTTATAATTTTTTTTTAGTCTATAATATACTCGAAACAATTGGTTCGACGATGGGACAAAGAGGATCTCCTTGCCGCTAACAAAGCAGAAGTTGAAAGACTCGGGGAGCGCTGGGCTTCGGAGGATGTTATGGAAGCTCTCATTAAGTTTATGAATAGAAAACATCGCAGTAAAATGTAATGACAATCGTCTTCAGGAATTTCTAGGAGATTCATTCCTTGCCACCATCATGCATTTAATTGTCATGGCGTCCATGGCACTAAGAAACCCGTCCATACGTAATACTCATTAGTTTTTCTACCTCTGGAAACAGATTTTGTGAGCCACTAAGTGCAGGTATATTTTATCTAAACTAATCAGAAATGCATGAGCCGAACCCTCATGAGATTTTAGCCTTCAGAACTGGGTAAAATTTTATCCTTACTTCTGCCAATGAGACTTTTATCCATCTGAACTTTCATGTGAGGCTACAATGCTAACAATGCACAAATGCAAAGTATGGCAGGCAATTTTAAATTTTGAAATCTGTAGTGATAATTATTTTTTGCTAGAAACTGGGAAATTAAAAGGCAAATTATCAATGATTTGGGGAATTTTGGGGAACTACATATTTTGAGGATTTTGGGAATTTGTACCGTGACTAAAAGCTCCCCATGATTGCTGAAAACAAATTACGGTTTGAAGTCTTTGCAACCCTGGCCTAACTTTTCCGGTTTGCTTGTTTTACCGTGTTCTTAAAACGAAAGGTAATTTTGATTAAGGGTCAAATTGTAAACAGTTGTAGTCTCTGATGTATTTATAACTGGTGTTGGTAGAACTACTTACTGTGCATTAAATGGTCGATTGTACCTTTCTAATGCGCAATTTTTTTATCAAATCGAAGGAGCTATCACAATGGTAGTATTGTGCCTTGTTATAATTCGTTGTCGATTAAGGTTTTTCTTTCTCTTTCTTTTGTTTTTTTAATGCATCACATTAGGCATATGCATAAGTAATAAATATGTATGCCATATCAAAAGACTGATCGCTGCGTTATCAATTTTTTTTTTTATATAAAAACTTTTAATCTACTTCTCTGAGTAGTAAAGGAAGGAGTAGCAGGACGAAAGTAAATTAAGCTGTCTTGATTGCAAGTATTTTTATACGTCAAAAATTCTTGTATTTGGATGTGTGAAAATTGCGGGAGCTTTCAAGAAGTTTCTCGTGTCTCGTCACTGTCAGGTTGAAACCTTTTTCTTTTACATGCTGTATGTACTAAAGAATACTAATTGCAGTTAGATTGGTGGCAATTTTTTCCTAGAACCAAAGGATTCAATTATATTCTTGCAACAAGTAATTTTCTATGATGTGAACCCAAAGTTGCCCAAGAGAAGGTGCAATCTATGATCATAAATAAGTCCAACCCATTGAGAAAATTACTTTAAGTAATTAGTTTATTCCACGTACATATCAACAAAAACAAACGCGTGTATGATTAACTTAAGAATAGTAATAATATGTATAAATCACAAAAAGAATTTAATAAAAATATACAGTTTACTTCTGCAGGTAGTCTCTCCAAAGAATTAAATGTTTTGATCTAGTTCATTTGATATTGATCCTATGTCTGTTGAATATACTACGTTACAAAATCACAAGTAACAAACATTGTACAGTTTGGTATATAGGGGTATATATGTGTCTATTTTATCTTATCCCATTATATTACAACTGTTTGCATTCCATTTGATAATTTCCATGATAATATTTGCGTGTGTAGCCTTCAGTATGGAAGACAAGTCACTTAGAACTACCAAATTAAAAGAAAAACCAATAACTAATTTTAAGATAATGTAATAGCTCAAGGCGTACACACTTTTGATATATTCATGTCTTTTTGATGTGACATTGAAACGTTCAAACAAAATGATAAGAATGGTTTTTCAAATCAAAGGAGATAGAATTTTTCTTCTTTTATCTATTGATCTTTTGAAATGTGCTCACAATAGTGATAATATGATTGTGTGCCATTTTGAAAAAGCTTTCTCGCCCTAGGTTGGTGAAAACATTATGGAACCTTTTCCGCCAAAATCTAATTTCTTCTGTAGCCAATAACTAATTTTTATTTCACTTCTTCAACCAAGCATCGTCCTTCTAAACCCAGTTTTACTTTGTATTATGCATCTGTATCGACAGTTTCATGAATGTCATACAACCATTTCATTTTTGACATTCTCTGCACATGAAGAAACGTAATATTACTTTACTTGGAGCTTATTTCTATGCTTCATAGTCAAGCTAGAGATTCTCAATTGAAAAAGAAGAACCATAAATGTTAGAATATTCTTGAAATTATCTGCATGCGTTGATCAATCATGCATATGACACACATAAGTGGCACAAAATTGTTGCAAGGGCCTATAGTCAGCCTCAATAAAGCGTTTAAACTGTGCACAAAGATTTGTTCCTCCTATTTCTTGTCATGAATTCGACAAAAAGCGTTGTCCTTGATGACTCCTTCAGCCCTAGATGATGAGATCACCGGAAAGTTATCATTATTGCTCAGTCGGAATGCTTTGACACCAATTACATTAGCCATGCAATTCCATTCTCTCATCAAGTGTGCTTTTAGCAGCATGGTCATCAAGCCTGTCACAATCCAATACGAAAGATCTCCCTGATCTATTAGTGTCACAGTGTTCTTTATCGATTTGTCCTTTATTTCAGTGTTCTCGTCACGCATTCACTTTGTCGTGTAGATTGACTGAAACAGAAATGAGAAGGATGATACTCAGATAGAGGTTATCAGAGATATCTGTAAAGGGGAATCAATTCTACTCATGTGTCATTTTTGGAATGTGTGAAAGAAGTTTTTTCCTCGTGAATATAATTGTTCCTTTAGCGCTACCTATATGAAAAAAGAACACTTGGATGAAGTTCGCTTGATGGTGCTATCTAAGTTGCAGTAGTTAGTTGTACATAGTTTAAAGCCTGAAGTGCTGCTTTGTTATTTTGATCATATTTACTGCCAACAAATGTAAAACTGAAACTCTGTCAAGTAGGTATAACTACCTTACAATTGACACTCTCTAATTAGTTTGAAAGATGCGCCAGATAGTAAGCGCTTTCTATGTTCAACTCACTTGAATTCTAGAATAGTAGAGTGTTTCAGTAGGTAGTTTAGCCGCAAAGCTGGCAATTCGAAGATGGTGAAAGGCACTTTTTAAATTTTTAAAACAGTTAAAAATGGTGAATAATACCAGACCAATTACAGGAGATAACTAACAACCGTCCCACAGTTTATTTTGCTGAAAATAGTGTAGTTTTCTTGAATTCAACCGTGAAATAAGGAAGTGTAAGTCACTCCTTTTATTTGAACAGTTCTTAACGTTTTTTCTTTCTTTGGAGTATGCAAAAGTTCATCTTATTTGCTGTTACGTTACCTTAAAATGCCTAAATCACAACCCAGGGAAACATTCTTCTTTAAAGATTTTCATCTCTTTGATTGTAATAAGGAATTACAATTGTTAACGTAAAACCCCACTGACCACTGAGAGCTTTCAGCCCCCCGCCCCCTCTTATATTTTTACCTCGTAAATGGAAGGTAGATAGCTCAATATTATTGTTATTCGATTGAATGAGTCATTTGTCCCGTGTGTCCTCACTCAGGAAGTTTGAACATTTTGCTCTTTTGTTCAAGCTTTTTAACTTAACAAAATGAATAGATATCTATCAGTCTGCTGTGCTCTACATTCAGTAGAACTTCATTGAGAGCCACATGTATCATGATGGTTACCATGCGAACTTACCATAATAAGTATATTGACGAGGCGACAAATATGAAGAAGACACAACCTATTCCAACCATTGCAAACATCCAGAGATTCAAATCGTCATCTTCTGTGTAAAAGAAAGAGATAGAGTTTGTTAGTCAGATGACAGCAGGGAAAAAGGAACTCATCGCATAAGAACTCTCTAAGTATAAGAACTCGTGATAATTTTGCCTCGCAGTTACAGATAATTTTTATGAATTGACACGATTGGATGCGTTGACTTAAGTTTTTCAAAGTAAAATAAAGTCCTGCCTCTGAAATTTAAAGAAAGGAACTTTAACCTAGAGGGCTCTTTATAGAAGGGCCTTGCTACATTTCCAATTCCACGCGCTTTTCACTCAGATTTCTCGCTTGCTGCACACTCCTCTCATGAGCACGTGCAGAGAGTTGCCGCTCGTGGAATGGTTCCGCGATATTTTAATTTTCCCGCGTTAACTTTCAAGTCGCTATATTACGCGATGAAGAAGGGTATGTAGTTGATGAATAAAAACTATGCCGCCACGCTGAGGACAAACGCCGTATGAACCTTAGGTTCGTACAACATTTTCTTTGATTAAACGCAAATTTTCTGAGAAATGTTCCAGTATTTTCCCTCGCAATTTTTCAAAGAAGTTAGTCCGCAATATGATTTAAATCATCTGAAACCTTTGAAGAAAAATATTCATAACTTTCCTTTAATATGGTATATTATCCAGAGACATTTGACAATATTCGATTAATGCGACAGTTTTCCTTAACCTGGCTGTGCTAGTTTGTCAATGTATCGATAATTTTTAAAATGTGTGGAATAGGATAGCAACAAGTCAATGAGTCATATGGGCTAAAATAAGCCTAAGGAAATGAGAATTCGAAAGTGACTTTTATGTTTCTAGCTGTGTGTTTAAGTCTCCGTGGAAGTCCTTCCCAGACTCCCCATTTAGAATGCAGTCAATCGGTGGATGCAACTTAATTAACTTCCGTGTGGGGTTGGGTTGCGTCGACGAATTTGAAGGCGAACTAGCAGCGATTCTGTCTCAGAGCGATACGGTGCGGCGCTCAAACCGTTATTACACTGAATGTAGCACCGTCATCCGCATTTCGCGATGAAGGAGGATTTGTAATTCAGGGTTACTTTTTTTTTTCTCCCCTTCTAATTTTTCTTTTTATTCAGGCACGGAATAAATGACAATTTTTCTAGGCAACATGGAAATTGTCGTATTCGGATAATTTGCAGGTTTAAACTTTTTACGAACAATTGGTTGCTTCAAAGTTTGCATGGCTGTTTTTAAATCAATTCAACCTTTTTCTTTTCAAGAAGTCAGGAATACCGGTATTCCTGACTGGTATAGCGGCCAATACCCATCTTTCCTTATTACTCTTAAATACGTCAGTTTAAATTGAGAACTACAATTTTCAAAAACAAATCGGTCTGGAATATTCACAAGTCTCCCAGAAAATTCGATTTTCACCAGAAGAAAAATGATGACGTCCGCACTGAGAAAAAGCTATGGTTTATAAACCTATTAGTGGTAAATATGGAACACCTATAATAGTCGTAAATAAACTAATGATTCTCGGTCTGTGAACCATACTAAGGTCTCTGTACCTAATTAAGGTACAGAGACCATAACTAAGGTATATGTGCTATTATTATATGTAGAGGTACTACTATTAGTGGTGTTCCATATTTACCTCTAATAGGTTTATAAGCCGTAGTTTTTTCTCAGTGCGAATGAAGGCTCAAACTCCGTCCGATCTGAGCACAAAACCGCTATCCAGATTATACAAGAAACCGCGAATTTCACACATTTTCACTGTGCGATGCACAATATTCTGTAAAGGGGCCGTTCAAAATGCTGATGAATTTGCATTGAGCACTTGTGTACTTACTGGGAAGATAACGCCAGGCGCGGACTTCGGCAAAGTGATCGGCGCAACTGGCCGTTTGGATGAACGTGCCTGCGTCTCCTGTGCAGACACAACGACCATCGATGAGCTCACAACCTGCAGTCGGTTTCACCTTATTATCACAGCCTCCTGAAAAACACGCAAATTAGTTCAATGAATTTAGCCGTCTCCTTGCATGACTTCCTGTTATACTTTATTTTTTCTTTGGAAAAATAGTCAACGTACACTACACTGGAAAAAACCCATTGGATCTAGAGACCAGACTCTTAAAAACATCGACAAGAAAAAATAATCTTGATTCAATCGGATTTTTGCTTAAATCAAGAACCAAGCCTCTTAATTTGAGCGGATTTCCTCTTGATTTAAGTAAAAATCTGATTGAATCAAGAGTATTTTTTCTTGTCAATGTTTTCAAGAGTCTGGACTCTAGATCCCATGTGTTTTTTTTCCTAAGTGCAATTCCGTGCATTTCCACATCTTGTTTCGGAGTTGATTTCTAGCCCTACGGTGTGATTCGTTTTCCTCGTAAAATTTTAAAGAGGAATCATGTTAATACAAGGTTTTATAATTCATACTTTTTCTAGTGGCCCATTTGCATGGGCAAGGTTGTCACAGTCAGGGAATACCGAGAAATGTCAGGGAAAATGACGAGAATGGACCACTAGACAAGGTACGAATTTAAGCATTTCGATACATGTTTCTTAACCAAAATTTCACGTAAAACACGATGCGCGCAACAAAAATTACCGAAATCAACTCCTTACAATGATATCAAATGATTCCTGTTGCGTGAATTCAAACCACCCGCTCATTAAAACTCAATGCTCTACGTGATTCACATCGCGCGTTGAACATTATCATGACAGTCTTTGCGATATAAAAATCTGGCAACCTCAATTTTGACGCTTGGGCTCAGCTATAGCAAATTGCTTATAATTTGAACAACACATGGTGGGTTATGAACAGTGATCGATTGAGAGGCTAGCTGAAACTGTTGTGGTGCGCGATTTGACTCACGTAGAGCTTTGAGTTTCTTGTGAGCGGGCAGCTCAAAATACGCGTAACCAATGTGAAATACAAAGGTTGATATCTTCATCAGGAGCTGGTTTCAGTAATTTTCGTTGCACGAATCGTGTTCTACGTGAAATTCTGGTTAGGAAACATGTATCAGATTGCTTAAATTCGTACCTTGTCTAGTGGTCCATTTCCGGGAAAAGTTGTCAAATCACCTTTATTTACTTTCTAGAATGTGTTTGAGGTTTCGAACAAAAAATTTTACGACCATAATTTTGAAAACTATTTTCAATTATGTATTCTTAATTACCTGTCATATCTTCAATTGTCAGGGAATTTTACCGAAACGTGTCTCGGAAATGTTAGGGAATTTCATTTTCTAAATTCTGTGGCAACCCTACACGGGCCACCTGGCAAGACGGTTAAAGGACATTTCGTCAACGATTTTTTGTCCGCGCACCTGTTTTTTCCATTAATTTACGTCCACGCGTTTTTTCGGCATGGGAGTTTTGGTTCACGTGCCAGTTGAGACCCAAAGTTAATTGGCCCACATGTAAATACAAATGACAATTGCTCACGACGTTTTCGGAAAGAAATATGTCTTGGAAGAATGAGGGTTTGCTTGTTTTTTTGTTTTGTCTGTTTGGTCCAACGGACAATAATGCATAGTTGAGAGTTTTGGTAAAAATGGGGGAGCGTCAATTCCATGAGACAAAATTCTCTAAAACTCTCTACACCTCTTTGGTGTAACAGGACTTAATTATCTTTCAAGAAATTCCCACCTTGTTTTACGTGAAGCGGATAAACCTCTGTATTTGCCTTTATTTTGCGAGGAAAGATCTGTACTTTTAAAGGATGCCTGTCATTCTTGATACGTTCAATTTCGTATAATACTGTGCAACACTTCTGTTGTGAAATAGTTGCTTCAGGCGCCGCCGCACGGCGGGCGTGCGGTGCGGCCAGCGCGGAACGCGCATTGGCGCCTACAAACCTAAGTGGATACTTCAAGCATTGTGCAATGCGTGAAGTATCCACTTAGGTTTGTAGGCGCCAGTGAGCCTCTCGCGCTGGAAGCAGCTCACCGCTCTGCTCTGTTAGGCTTTAATATTTATACTCGCATAGTGAGCGTTTTTTAACCCATAATTTCGAAACGTTTGCACACTCTGCATTGATTATTCTCATTTAAATTGATGGGGGAAAAATATGTATCCATTTATCAAAGGAGAATAATAATATAATGTGTGTTTTTTAAATATTGGTGGTTCCGTGTCAAATTTAATGATTTCAAAAGCACTTTAATTTTTTCTTTTACATTTTGTGTTTTTATTGTCCTGCAGCGAGGTGTACGCGCTACGAAACGCTCAAAATTTGACGTATGTGACTCTAGAAGATCGATGTACAAATGGGTTAAAACTAAAGATTGCGTGCTTCTTGGTTTTTTCTCATCTTTTATTCATTTTTGCAGTTTCTGTCGGCACAACTGCGGCTCATTGAGATTAATGTGGCTTGGAAAAGGTTTTACAAATATTTGTCACGTTTTAAAAATATAAATGTTTTCAAAATGAAGTAATAATTTCGTAAAAGAAAGAAGAAAAATAAAAAGTACCTTTACATGCATAAGGTATATTTTACATTGAATATTTTAAGGATAGAAATAAAACCAAATGTTCACCAATGACAATTTAAAAAGATGATTCAAAAGGAGAAAGTAATAACATTTCATTTAGAAAATGAGCAACCATAACAACACCTCCTTCTCTCTCAATTTCTCATTTCCATATTGTCAATATAATTTTACATATCGACTAAAATATAACGCTTGGAGCAAATCACTGTTGCTTATTTTACGTGTGAGCGTGAAATACTGGACAAAAAAGGTGCGTGGAGAAAATATTGTGGACAAAATGTCCTGAAACCGGCAAGACAACTTTGTACTAAGATTAAGCGGAAACTACCGAGATTCATCGTGACTTTGACTCACCAACAACGATGAGTCCGTCGGAGCGTCGACAGACAACTTGTCCGTCGAGGGTTATCGACCAGTCCATCGTGAAACAGGGCTCCAGGGAGCAGTCGCGAGTCTCCCACAGGGGTTCCGGACAGGACTTGGTCACGCTCATGTTGTGGGGTTGCAGCACCGCCCGTGACCTTGTTTGATAGCCTGCCAACACCAAGTCATTTCTTCAATGCAATAATGGTCTTTCTTAGGGTCGTATTCATTATGTAGTTCCTTAAACCTATAATGTTCTTAAGATGGCTTTATGTCTAGGGCGAGACTTTCGAACCATGTATCTTGGTTTGCGACGATACAGACTTCCTGTAATATTTTAAACCGAAAACTACTGAACATCAATTTTTTAAAATTATCATGCATTACATTGTACCTTTTGTTTGCATTTTTTTTTTTTTTTTTNTTTTTTTTTTTTTTTTTTTTTTTTTTTTTTTTTTTGTATTTTTTGCAGCGGCAAGAAATGGAGATGTTGCATGTGTGAGGAATTTGCGATTTGACTGTTGATTATTATGTAAAAGTTCGTGAGAAACACGATGGTGCCACTGGTTTTCTCTGAAATCAACTCCTAAGCTCAAAAAAAGCTCTCAAGTTGAGGCCAAAGGGTTGACAAGTTGACAGGGCTGCCACTTCATTTGGGGACACTCCAAAACTGAAAACTACATTTTACAATTATAAACTACTATCTGAATATTTTAGAAACGAAGTTTTTGCCATTGGTTTCCCTATGCAGATACATGCTTTTATGGATGGACCAGAAATAATTCTAGTGCTGATAGCAGGAGTTGGAATTTTAGAAGAAGAATTTTAAGTAGTGCTTTTCAGGATTTACTTTTTTCCCAAATTGCATTTTTAAAACCAGTGTTTATCTGTGGTTTGGTTAGACGCTTTGGGCTGTTTTCCGCCTCAAAAATTTTGTGGACTACTTCTCTACTCTCAGATGTCCGTAACTTAGTTTTGAGTTTTTGTTGAGTCCCCTTTTTCCGGACAGTCATGTCCAACCTAAAAAATCCATTTCCCGAGCCCGATCACACGTCACCTTCGCGGCCAAAGTATCACAAGCGTCATGTGACGTTTAAAAATGTCCGCCGCCATTTTATTTGTTTACAGAGAAATTGTTCAACGAAGCTGTCCGAAATTTTCCGTGAAATTCCTTGTGCTGCTGATAAAATTCAGTAAAATTTTCAAACACATTCAACCAATAATTTCTGTGAAAGAAAATAAAATGGCGGTGGAAATTTTTAAACGTCGCATGTCGCTTGTGATACATTGGCCGAAAGGTGACGACATTTCTTTCGGAGCGAGGCGGGTACCTGTAGTGTCCTTGCTGCAGTCGCCGTGGCAGTGAGACCAGCGCGACCACTGCGAGAGCTGGCAGTCGGTCTGACAGGGGATGTAGCAGGACTCCCAGGTGGCCGGCTTCTGGGCAGTCTTGGAGTTGGCCGTGCAGTGATACGGCTCCACCACGGCCCCGTCCTTCTCACGGATGCACGTCACGTTTCGGCTCGTGAACCCGTAACCGCAGACTGCTCCCTGAAAAATTCAACCCAGATTAGCAGAGTATATAAACGTCCCGAACTTACTTGTTAATAAGAGGCTACGCCCCCAAGCCGCTACGCGGCATAACCCCCAGTAGCGCTCCGCGCCCTCCGAGGCCCGCTTTGAAGATTCCCGTGAGTTAATCTGTATCGACGCGACGGTGAAACTATCAGATCACGTATTTCGATTTGCGACGTTGCAGACTTCCTGGTAGATATTTAGAACGAACTGTAGTGTAAAACTCAAAATTTACATTATTTAAATGGGAGAATTCACAATTTTATCTCGTTAGATACAAAAATCTTGATCATATTTCCAAAATTTGATTAGAGCGTTCATCCAAGGGCCTGCCGATAGTCGCATAAATCATGGAAATTGGCCCAGCAGAGCGGTAGAGCTGCGACAAAATCGTAAAAATGTGGGGGGTCAGAGAACTTATAATAATGATTGCATCTATGAATTGATTAATGCAATTTAATAATTCCAAAATGGAGGAATGGACAAAATCCCTACACGGAGAAGAAAAACTTCGTGCGTGGGACCCGAAGTTGAGGTCATATGGATCTCTGAAGTTTTCGGATTACGTATCTAAAATCTTGAGGTCTAGCTGCCGAAGTTCGGGTCAGACATCTGAAGTACTTCGATATATACCGAGGGGTTCGGGTCACACATCTGAAGTTCTTCGGTACATGCCGAAGTGCCCCGATGTCTGACCCGAACCTCGGCAGCTCGACCTCAAGTTTTCGGATGCGTGATCAGAAAAGTTCAGAGATCCATACGACCTCAACTTCGGGTCCCATGCACGAAGTTTCTCCGTGTAATTACTCATCAACATACCGATAAATTTCGACGCCCCCGTTGCATTACCATCAAGTACTTATTTTGCAATACACCAAACCAACAATAGCCACATGGTTTATTTATATTAAAAAATAGTCAAAAAATGAAACAAGTTTCAAAAAATTCTAAGAATATCAAAATACAATTCCAACAGTTCGCATTTTTGAAGTTTTCGGAATATCTGTCGCTCAATCGACCGTTGAATCGTGTTTATGGTACTGTTGATCGCCCTTAAAAATCTCATTTTTTCATCGAGAGAAGCGAATATTGTCTCGGAATCATTCCACGTATATTATACTTACGTGTAGTTGGCAGGCCGACCATTTGCTAGCGTGCCAGCTGTAGCAAGGGACCGCGGGACACGGTTTCCACTGTTCCTCTGGGGCTGGGCATTTTCGACCCGTTTGACTCGGTCTCGTGCTTCCAATGTACGCGTAACGGCTCACCTCTATTAAAACAGATCCATTCATCAGAACGCATCTTGTATAAACTGTTGTGAAAAAGTTGTTTCAGGCGCCGCCGCACGGCGGGCGGGCGGCCAGCGCGGAACACGCATTGGCGCCTACAAACCTAAGTGGATACTTCAAGCATTGTGCAATGCGTGGAGTATCCACTTAGGTTTGTAGGCGCCAGTGAGCCTCTCGCGCTGGCAGCAGCACACCGCTCTGCTCTGTTAGGCTTTAATATTTATACTCGCATAGTCAGCGTTTTTTAACTCATGATTTTGAAATGTTAGCACACTCTGCATTGATTATTCTCATTTAAATTGACGGGGGAAAAATATGTATCAATTTATCAAAGGAGAATAATAATATAATGTGTGTTTTTTGAATTCTGGTGGTTCCGTGTCAAATTTAATGATTTCCAAAGCATTTTAATTTTTTCTTTTACATTTTGTGCTTTTATTGTGCTGCAGCGAGGTGTACGCGCAACTAAACGCTCAAAATTTGACGTATTTGACTCTAAAAGGTTGATGTACAAATGGGTTAAAACTAAAGATTGCGTGCTTCTTGGTTTTTCCCCCTCTTTTATTCATTTTTGCAGTTTCTGTCGGCACAACTGCGGCTCATTGAGATCAATGTCGCTTGGAAAAGGTTTTACAAATATTTGTCACGTTTTAAAAATATAAATATTTTCAAGATGAAGTAATAATTTCGTAAAGAAAAAATTAAAAAAATAAAAAAAAGTACTTATACATATGTAAGGTATATTGTACACCGAATATTTTAAGGATAGAAATAAAACCAAATATTCACCAATGACAATTTAAAAAGAGGATTCAAAAGGAGAAAGTAATAACATTTCATTTAGAAAATGAGCAACCATAACAACACCTCTCTCTCAATTTCTCATTTCCATATTGTCAATATAATTTCACATACCGACTAAAATATAACGCTTGGACCAAGTCACTGTTACTTATTTTACGTGTGGGCATAAACTACTGGACGAAAGAGGTGCGCGGACAAAAAATCGTTGACAAAATGTCCTGAATCCTCTTTAAAAAAAAACATGCCTTATCACATTCTTACCTGTATCATTGCACGTGCATTTTTCCTTGCTCCATGGTGACCAACCCAAAAATTCGCAGTCAACAGGACAGTCGATGAAACATAACGTCTCCAGAGGTCGTGGTTTTGTTGAACTGCTGCACCAGCTGTGAACAGAAAGAAAATTGTTTCTCTCGGTTCCATGATCGACGAACTCAACCTGCTCCTGGAATTATTTCACTTATAACATCAGAAATCAGGAACTCGTGACCTCCTCCATTTGCGGATGCATACTGCTTGTGCATCCAAAAAGCAATTGCCAAGCATGAACGAACCTGTCCCTTTATGGTTAATCCACGCGCCACTACACGTCGACAGACAATTTCTTTTCGCATTCCTTAATGCATCACTTTGTGAGAGGTAATGCTCACATTCGATCGACTTTTAACAGAATCAGTGTAAAGTTGGTTCTCCTTCTCCAATCTCCACTCATTTCTTACTTTTTTAACGGGCAATTCAGCCAAAAAGTAATGTTTCTGAAATGTTGTTTGCCCTGTGAATTATCTTTGGATTATGAAGGATACACCCGTTCATTTTCAAGTTCGAAATCAAATCTGTGAAAATTTCTAATATCTCCTTTTCAAGCTCAATGAAGATACCGCCCTCTGAATAAAAATGCGATGGATGACGGCGCCAACCGTATTTTCAAGGAATGGTATTTAACTTCGTTGACAAAAACTAGAGAATGATTTGATTGCATTTAGCAAGAGGGAAACAGCGCAATTACAGTTTTGTAAAAATGTTGCTTCTTTCTAATTATCTTAAAATTCTCCCAGGATAGCAAACAGTTTTTGCTCCTTACCAAAAATTACTAATTTTATTATTGTGTAAATTTTAATACTGTACGTATACTGAGTAATTTTAAAAGAAAAGAAGGAGTTGCACGATTTTGAAAACACTGCAATTGCGCTGGTTCCTTCTTGCAAAATGCGATCCAATTTGGGTCCATAGAAATTCTGCATTTTGACAGATTTTATTTGTTCCCTCAATTTAATAGTGTGCTTAGTAAAATTTTGAAAAAACGTAGAATAATTTAGGAAATTTACCTGTCAGCAACCGGTCGGCCGTCGCTACGCTGGCAGAAGGCCGTCTTGGTTTTCCTACCCTCGCCGCAAGGGCTGCCACCGAGAGGGATGCAGGAGCTGACGCCTCCGTCGACGACCCATCTGTAGGTGAAGCACGTGACGTTGAACTGGCAGATTTGCGTCTGGATTGAGTGCGGGCAAGGGGCGCCCGTGTTGCTGGCCGCTCGCAGTTGGGTGCGCGTTCGTCTTTGTTCTTCGTTTGCGGGACATCCCTGCCGAAAAAAGATTTACAGATGAGTTTCACTCTTCATTGGCTACGTCGCACAATGGATCGAGTCAATAGGAGAGGTCGGACAAAATTCGGAAACTCTTAAGGCTTATAACACCGTTCACAGACAATTTTGGGGTTTTAAAAGTGGTTCCATTGGTTTCTTCGTGAAATTTCCTTCTCGAAAGACCCCTTGAAATTTAAAATATGACGAATTGGACGTCAAAATTTGCTGTTTTAGCAATAAGTTTCATGTCCGACCTTTCTGATTGGATCAATCTACCACGCGTCGTTTCAGTCGGTGGTTCGAAGTGAAATCCCTTGATTTTTTTTAAAACTTCTGGATATTTAATATCCAGTTTTGCTCAAATATCCCGGAAAAACCCCTAGATTTTGTGAAATTTTTTTGAAAAATGTGTGAAGATTCATCGTAAAATAACCGAAACAAACATAACGAACGTCGCTCATTGACTCGAAGTGTAAGGGAGTTATCATCGCGATTTGTATTTCTGACCATTGGCGGATCCAGCAAATTGGCAACATTGTATTTGCTCCATTTAAACCTATGGAAATTTATAGATTCTTGGAGGGGCCGCAAGTGCTCCGACAAGAATCGACCTTTTAGCATAGCTTTAAAAAGAGAAAATCCGGTGTTGCCAAATTGCTGGATCCGCCTCTGTTTCTGACACATTGAGTCAACGAGCGACGTCAGTAGTTAGGTAGCAGGTAGTTTCAGTTATGAATTGTCAGTCAACCCGCACCAATTTTATGTCATTGTACTCAATAGAAATGCTGCTTTACGTCATGGATCAATGTTCTGCATTAACCACCTAACGAGAATTATTGCTGATCAAAGACACAAATCGCATAGTAGCGCAACTTAGTGGCAACTAGATCACAAAAAATCACCTTAAAAGTCGTATATTTGTTAATTTTGGTGAAATATATGGTTACCTTAGAGCAAGGTGACCACTCGGACCAGGGCCCGAGGACACAGTCTCCTGGACAGGCCGTGTGACACGCTGAGAAATCTGCAGGCTGCTCTGTCCAATCGCAGTAAGCGTCGTTAACCTCGGCACCCGTTCTCACGTCAGTACACCTGCAGAACAGACCATGAAACATGTTTTACGTCCGATTGAAATTTGAGTTTGACCCGGGGTCTTCGCAAGTTCACGGTGGTAGAGTCAAGGTGGGTAATCGATGCAATTTCTGACTCATCCGTTTACCAGTCGTGCAATCTCGTCATGGCCGGATTTAAACATAGGCCGTCTAGGCCAAAATGTGTTCGGTACGTAATTTACGAACGGCATGACAACCCCCCCCCCCCCCCCCTCCCCGGCGACAAGTTGTGGGGCTACAAAATCTTGACGGTCCATCAGGTGTGTGACAGTTAAGCAAATCCGGCCATGAATCTCGTGTCATCAAGCACCCACTTTGGCAATGTGAAAACAGTTCACCGTCATATTTACCTAGATAAAATTGCGTTGCTATCTAGATAAAAAGCCCATGTACTTGAAACCATTTTTTTTCAAAAACTTGAAAAATGGATCCTAAGTACACTATCGTATATGTGTACAAAACCTCATATTAACTGGCCACCTTTTAGAGCCAGAAGTTCATTTTTAGGCTGACAGGATCCTAGATTTACAGGTGTATCCAAAAATAGGGCTTTCATTTCTAAAGTAGTTTTTTTAGGGGGGGGGGGTTAGAAAATGGCCTCGACACACACTTACCGAACCCTTCTGAACTGGTCTCCAGTTCCGCAGCCCTGTTTCTGATTGGCCGAAATGAGGGAGCACTCAGTCCATCCGCTCGCATGCCACTTGAAGAATTCGCAACTTTCGCCGCAAACTTTGGTTTGCACTAAGCTTCCGCATTCTCGCCCTCCGTTCAAAGGTGGTTGAAGCACCTGAAAAGTAAGACAGGTATATTCGTAAGATTTGTGTATCCTCAAAACCGAGAGTTTGGGCAATCATATACTGTGCATTTTAAGCCTGAAAGAATCACTAAGAGACGTGCGGGAACGATGTAACCCGCTTGTAAATAAACAGTAAAACTTACTTAGATTTTATGCAATTTTTTTAATCGTCTTAAACGACCAAAATCCTTAGATAGTGTGTTACTAGTAGTGTGTTAATAGTAGTAACAAGTTGAAAACGCCGACTCGGCGAGTTCAGCTAATCGCGTCAAAAACAGTGCAGTCGCTGCGGAAGGCATATTAGCGCCTACGAGTCTGCAGGAATACTTCACGCATTGCGCCAAACGCCATGCGGTCGGCGCGAACGCATAGCGCCTACAAGACTGTATGAATACTTCACGCATAGCGCCAAACACCATGCGGTCGGCGCGAACGCATAGCGCCTACAAGACTGTATGAATACTTCATGCATTGCGCCAATCACAGTGCGGTCGCGGCGTGAGCGCACATTAGCGTTTCAAAAACTGTAGGAATATTCACGTATTGCGCGTTCACTACGGTGCGCGCTTTAATCGTTGAAAATCCGTAATTTCTCGTTGCAGCCCTGTATGGCACCTTAGTTTATTGAGTCATTGATTTCGGACTTCGTCCGTCGTTTTCTGATCACTTATCTTTATAACGCGAGCATAAATCGGCCGGTCCCTTGAGTTTTTGTTTTGTAGAACGATTACTGTACTATTATTTTCTTCCTCCTCATAATCTCATCCATTTGTTAACGCATGAGAAGCAATCAGATAATACAAATGTGAATGTGTGAATAATTGTTTTACGGGTTCAGCTGTATAGGAAAATAAAAAAATGCTTTAACGCAAAAAGAGATACCGTCCGCCTAAGCTCCTCTTTCTTTTTTATTCTTTGCTAATTAGCTCAAACTCAATGATTTCATTGACACTTGAGATTTAATTATTTTCCAAGATTATTCCGTGGGAAGAAAAATGTTGATATTTACCTGTTTAGTTCTGTTTTGCATTCCGGGGCCACACAGAGAACTACAATGTCCCCAAGGGCTCCATTCGCTTGTCACGCAGTCTACCGGACACTCAATGAGGCACGGTTCTTCCTCCAAACCTGTGCTTCCTCCACACAGACTGGAAATTGGAAAAGTTCTAACATTAATTTCGGTGCATAGAGTTGTAAACTTGTGGAAATTCTATTCTCAATTTGATCGCGGTAGAATTAGGTTTTTTCGCAAACAGGAAGGCTGCGCTTACAAAAGTGCACTGTGAGTATACTAAATTCTCACCAATGAATTGAATTTGGATAGGTATTTTGAATTTGTTTACCGTGTACGTCGTCGGTAAAATTTTGATGTGGAAACATGCATGATGAAGTGGTTTCATCCTAAATTTCATGTTCCTCTCCACGATTTGTTTGAAAAAGTGTAGAGTATGAATTGTGTGTCCAATATGCTTCCCTCATCAATATTCGTCTCCTAGTCCTTTTGAAACTTTTTTATTAAGTTTTATTCATGTCATTAATTTCCCCTTTAATGCCACAATTTTTTTTTAAGTTTGAGGCAGCCACGGGTACCGATCACCACGAATCTTCGAGATTTTTAAACTGAAGAAAGTAATATTTTCTTCACATGATATGTTTTGACCACTAATTATATTTCTGATTTACGAATTTCAAAGCTTTGCTCCAATTCTTACTGTACCTTGGGTCCACTAAGTTATCATCCTTATCGTAACAGCCGACGGCTCTGTAACGGGTACCGGCTCCACATAGTTGAGTGCTGTTACTCAAACATACCGACCAGTTTGACACCGGACGTGGGTTGTACTCCGCGCAGGGACAGGTGGACGTTTCCACCAAACTCATCTCTAAACATGCCGGGTGGTTTACTGAAGATCCTGAAAATGTCAGAAATTTTCTTAAGAGGTTGGAGATCTTGCCAAACTTTATGTAGGACCTATCAGTCACTTCCAAAGGCTGTTGTTGAAAATATGCTTTTGCAAAAAATGGGTCACTAAACTACATGTTTTTAATTTAATATTCTGGAAATACAGAAATATTATATGGTAATATTATATGGAATTATATGGTGATTTATTGCGTTTTTTTGGAGACAAAGTCCCGGACAGCCCCGCCTTTAAAAAGTCCACAGACTCGAAGGCATTTCAAATTCGCCAGAATGACGTTAAAATGATGGAAGTGATGTACGACGGCCGACGGCAGTCAAATCACTATTTCCTCTATTTTTCATCGATGTTAGTTAATGTAATACGCATTCCAATGTGGAATTGTTGCATGTTATTGACCGATAATATGAATGAGATTCCATTCTTTGATTCCATAGATATAGTTTCGATTCTCTCATTGTTTTTATATACTAGGAATAGAAAGAGATTTAGGCAACGGAAGTCGCAAAAACTCGTGCTCGCATCCGATTGGTGCCGAATGACATCATTCGGTTCTGTGCGAAACCAGGGAGTTTTAAAGTTGCGGAAAATTTGCGCCTTTTGAATTGCGTATTCCTAGGTACTCTATAGTATTCCTCGGTTTTTGAGTTAATTTTTCGCGTTTTTAAAATGCGCATTGTGTTCCAAGTGTCATTCACCTTCAAAAAAATGTATTCGCAAGTGAAAATTATTTCATGGTTTAGTAACCCATTATTACCAGATTATTAATTTTGAAGAATTACTTTGAACATACCTATGAGTTGGCGTGTACGAGAGCGCGTGCCAGTGCAAGGCTGGGAACATGAGCTCCAATGGGACCACTCGTTGAGTTGACAAGGGCTCTGACAATCCACGTGGCATCGCTCTGCACTAACGGGAACGTGTAGTTTGGTGGCCAGGCAGTGTCGTAGCTCCACGTGCTCGGTACTATTCATCTCACTACACCAGATATCTAATTTGAAACAACCATTGAAATCCATTAGATCAAATGCGTGAGTGCAGTTCTTGAACGTTGACCAAAAATAATCGGTCAGTGGATCAGTTGCTATCGATAAAGAATTATAATAAAAGTATACAAGAAAAGGCGGGGACGAGGCTGAAAATACAAACAATAATTACGAATCACGGGACGTTTCGACCGGTCTCCCGGTCATTATCAGCCGTCAAAAAGAATTAAAACATCTATAAAACAAAACCTAAAAACAATGTTATACTGGCCCCCGGTCAGGGTGGCTAGGAAAAAGCGCGCTAAAGAATTATATATCGATGATTGTATTTTAATTTTTGGAAATAATGGAGAATTTGTTCGGAAAATTTTTATCGCAGCACCTGAGAGTGCTTAATGAGCTGTGGTTGCAGTATTTTTCATGATTTTTTTCTGGTATGGGAAATAGTTGAAAAAAGATTTAAAAGTAAGAAAATCTGTAGCTCTGTGACGTCATCAGGCGGCATTTATTCCCGTTTAAACCATGTATTCCAGCAAATTAGATAGTTTGGTCTTATGTCCTCTAATAATTCTTCATTTTAGAAACCTAGGATATCCTCAGGCTCAGTTCACCCGGCAGTTTCTTCCCAAGCATGAAATTCACAAAATTTCAGACACTTGAAAATAGTTCTCCATTCAAGATCACGCGTCCAGTATTGACAGATGTATTGCTCTTCGAAAAATACGGTGGTTGACAGGAGGTGATCTAGATTACAATAGAAAACCACATTTGTCTCTTCAAAATTTTACGCAGAGGACAATTCACGCTACGACAAGTTCGGATATTAGGTCATGAACGAGATATTAAAAAATATTTTCAACTTACATCAAATGGAAGTTAGATTATACAAATATCGTCATGTGTATTTTCTCCATTGAACCAATGTTGATTATAAACACTAATAACTTATCTAGGGGTTGATTTACAGAATTCCCGTCGTGCAAATTCGTTTTTCTCGTGGATTTTAAAGAGAACATATGTTTTATACTGCTTTAATTCATACCCTGTTTAGAGGCCCATTAGTTAAGCAAACTGAGTTAAGAATGGAACGCTTTCAATTCTTTGAGTTACGTACCCCGAGTTCGTAGTCCGTGACCGCAATGCTGTCCCTCTGGCAGTTGGCACTGACTCCACTGCCCCTCGTTCCATTTGTACGTGACGCAAGACTTAGGGGTCATGTTGCACGCTCGGACCTCCTCCAGGGGACCACATTTTATACTCGTCTTGGACACTCGTTCCCTCCGTTGAGTACCGATCATCAGATCGGCTCCTGAAATAATTCAGCGCATCAGCACCTACGCTCCCGTCCATAGGAAAAACGCCGTAACTCCAATCGATACTTTACAATTCTCTCCCATACATACGGTTCTATTACGAAAAAACCTGATCGCCATGATGCTTAATTTTCTAAATTTGAATTTTCAATGCTATGTCATAGTTATTTTAGAATTAAGAAGGATAGGATGTATGGTCATTGGTTTTTTGATAATAAAACATTTTGTCAGTGAAAAGCCGACAAAAATCTGGAATGGAGTTACTGTGTTTTTGCTGAAGACGGCAGTATGTCCCAGTCTCTCCATACAGTGGTTGTCTGAGAGTTGATAAAAGTGAATGAAAACAGTTGGAGACAACTATTCTCGACTAACTTTTGTGGTGCGTGTATATACTTAAAATCAAATTCAACTTTAACTGGCACATCGCTCGATTCATAGATGCATTCTCATGTATTAGTAATGATGCTAAAAATCGTCATGTTACGTCGCGTTATCGCGTCGCACCGTTTTTCTTTGAGAGAAAGATAAAGATAAAGCAGTGCGCCTTCATTTTTTGTATAGGCAACACGGACATTCATGAAGCACGAATAGTTGCATCCAGGCGTTGTCTCTGGGTCTCTTACCTTCGCTTTGCTGTAGCAAAAATTTTCAAAATAGACCTTTCAATTTTCACTTGAACATTTTTTACAAACATTTTCGAACAAAAATACTTTGACTTGGAACTTTTCTGATAAAGTTTTCAAATGTCTAAAAGGTAATTGACAATGGTCAATTTCCTTACCTGAATCACACTGCTGCGTAGGGCATTCGGTCCATTCTGACCAGGGGCTGAATTCGCAGTCGAGGTCTTCCACGCAGTCCATTTTGCAGTTCTGTTCTTCGTCCGGTTTCCGGAGTCCTTTGCACCTGCATCAATTCCAGTTAACAAAAGTCATTACAAAATACATGGATGATGGTTCATATTCCATTACCTACCCTATGCCGTTTAAATGTCCTCCCAAAATAATTGGCGGATCCAGCAAATTGGCAACATTGTATTTCTCCATTGAAACCCATGGAAATGTATCGATTCTGCGGGGGGGGGGGGGGGGGGGGGGAGGTGCTCCGACAAAAATCGATTATTTAGCATAGGTTTAAATGGAGGAAATCCGGTTTTGCTAAACTGCTGGATCCGCCGCTGCGTAAAATTCATTTTCATGATCACTATCAAAACTATTTGTGAAACGGTGTAAGTCTCATACTTTCATTCACGTCTCACCTTGTCATCGCGTGTTTCCTGTGAAATGCTTTTTCAAGGTCTTGCGATAGACATACAAGTGCTGAAGCGACCATCTCTAAGATTTTTTCAGTACACAATCATCAACTGCAGTGAGTTACTCGCAAAACTAGGTATGTAGCTTTTTTAATGAAAGTGAAAAAGTTCTCGATGGCGATCAAGAGAATGGCTGTGCCCAGAGGGTGAATGCTTACATGTCATCAGCTACGCGGCGTTCCGAGTCCTTTACACACCACACATCCCTGGTTTGTCTACCCAAGCCGCACAGTTTCTCGCACGGACGCCAGCCGCAGTTCTTCTCGCACGGTTTCCATGGCAACGCGAGCCAGCTGTAACCGTGACAGCCGTGCTCGTTGCATTTCTCCACTTGTAGGAGCTCGTCCGGGTCTGGACACTTGTGCCCTCCTGCAAAGTCAACACTCATTTTGTTAGGATCAAAAAATCTAGACGGCATTTTACAATCTGGAGGCTTGGAGGACAAGGCGTGTAAGTGGAGTTATTGCAATTTCGAGAAATACTTGTTTGTAGTTTCAATGTTACATGGATCCTTATGGTAAAAAAAAAGTTCAAACTGACTTGTTGATGCCTAAAAATTGGAATTTGGGAGTGATTTTTTCATCAAGACTAGTTTTACTTGAAATCATTATTATCTCAATTTTTCCAAAAACCGCACTCATGCGCCATGTCCGCCAAGCTCCTCAATTAGGAACCACTAACATCGCAAAGCTAATAAGATTGTGCAATTTTTTATGTCGGGAAAAAACATTGGAATTCAAACAGTTTTGATTCGATGCTAAAAATTGTTTGAACGAAATAAGAAAATACATCGAAGATTTCATTCACTTATCTACTCCAATGATCGATCGATTGTAATTTTTCAAAGGGAATTGGGCTCAGCTATAACTCTACTGTATTCTTAATTTCGATGTTACAAAATTAATTTCATTCAGACCTTATTGTGCAGTCAGAAACTAAATTTTTCGGCGCATTATAAAACCAATACTCCAATACGTGTGCGCTATTTTTCTTGTGCAAATAGGTGATTTTACAGTTAAGCTAGAAAGTATGTAATTTTTTGAAGAGGTCTATTAGTTTACTATGTGCATTTGGTCATTAACGCTAATTATACATGAAATTGATACACAGACATTCGCAACTCTTCCATGAACTTTTGTAATACGGAGTGGAAGAAATCTTGAAAATAATGAATCTTTATTTTGAGGCTTATTTACCAATGCTCTTGAACTTAATTCAATGAAACTTATTCGTTGTATGTTTTGTTGCGGATGTACTTACTTGGTCCGGCGGGTGCTATGATGGTTCTATTCCTCTGTCTTAAGCCAATCTGCGTCTCGGTTGAGCATTCTCGTGAACAGGGACTCCACTGCGACCAACCAGAGACCACGCAATCGAATGCACACGGCAGGATGCATGTCTCCTCTCGGATAGGTTTTTCTTGTTGACATTGCCAATCGGGCAAGGTTTCCTGGGTCTAAAAAAATGTATATGTATATAGAGAAAATTAGCAAAATCAGCAAAATGTTATAGTGAAAAACTTAATATTATTTCTATATCATCATAATCTTACGCGCTCTAACTCTCAATTTTTTTTTATTTTTTTTTTTTATTTTTATTTTTTTGTTAAATCTAAAGATCTTTCGAATCAATCTTCGTATGGGACTATTTGGACTGCATTTTGCAATGAGAAACTGTATTTCTATACATAAAAAGCCCATCTGTAGAGGGGAAACTAATGGCACAAACACCGTTTCTAACATGATTTAGAAATTGTAGCTCCTAATTGTCAAATGTATAGTTCGTTTATGCTAAAAGGAATTACGTTGTGCAAGTATAAATAAAATCAACAGGAGGAATTTAGCTCGCAAGCCCTATGCACATCTTCCATTTTGATTTAATTCACTTCCATTCGAAACAAATCTGCCGCATTTGTCGCTTCTAATGTCAGTAAGTGTAGAGACCACAGTTCACCTTTTAGGAGGACTACGTTCCAATACATTTAACAAATCAAAGCATTTTTCGGGGAATTGACATTGTCATGATGAAAATAGTGATAGCTTAGTTTAGCGGCACAATGAGCATCTCTGAAATTAAGTTAAGGTGAAGAGAAACAAGCAAAGCGCACTCGGGTAAGTGTTGCACGTGACGATTACCGAATGGATTTCATTATAGCGCCTTGATACAACTATTCGAGCTCCACGGATGTCCGTGTTGCATACGCGTTGGATTGAAGGCGTTTTGATTTTCCAGGCACGCACCGCTTTACCGGTGGCGGCGGAAGGCACTACGAGAATCTTTTTCAATGAGTTATTAAGGCGCGCTTGGGTGGCGAGAATGCCCACCATGGGATAAATCAAAGTTCATGTGGGTTTTATTTAACTAAAAGGAACCAGCGCAATTACAGTGTTGTAAAAATGTTGCTTCTCTCTAATTATCGGGAAAATCTCTCAGAATAGCAAATATTTTTTGCTTCTTACCAAAAAATTGTTAATTTTAAAGGAAAATTATTGTGTAAATTTTAACACCGTACATATATTGAGTATTTTTAAGAGGAAAGAAGAAGTTGCAAGTTTTTGAAAACACTGTAATTGGATTGCATTTTGCAAAAAGGAACCGGAAGCTTTGCAATGTTGCTAAGATTGTGCACCTTCTTTTGTCCTGGAAGAAAAACCTGACCATCCACAAACAGTTTCTATTTTACTCGCTAAAAACTGTAAATTTGAGACAAAATTACAATGTACATTTCATATTTGGTCATGGGCTCAGTAATTTTATTGCAAAGGATGAAAATGCACAATCTAAGCATCATCGCAATTCTTCTGGTTCCTTTTTGCAAAATGCAATCCAATTGCGCTGGTTCCTTTTTTACAAAATGCGATCCATGGTCCATTTTTGTAGGTGAATTAAGGGCGGATTATTATTATTCTTGGTTTGCTCCAAGCTTACCTGCATGTGAGAGACGCAAGTGACGGAGCGGATTTTTTTGCCGACTCCGCAGCCGTTGTGACCGGGTCCGAGCTGGCAGCTGCCCCAGGGACCGGCTCTCCACGAGCTGCACTCAGGGCCGGGGCACGGTTGGATCTCCTCCAAGGAGGGGCACTCCATCCCGTCTTCACTCGGGGTCACCAGGATTGGTCGCGATCGTCTTCTGAATCCTGAAAATTCAATCTCCTTTTTTAGCATTTCATGAGTCTCAGAACCGATCATAAATGGAATAGAAATCTACATGGCCATTCTTCTCTTTTGGGGATACTTTAGTTAGCTTAATCTAGTTATGAATTTGATTGACATGAGTCGATCGAAAAATAAAATCGTGAATCGATCGCCATCGATTCGCCATCGACAAATAATTGAAGATCCGGTGTCAATTCGCTCGATATGAATCGATCGAAAAATAATAAAAACGTGAGCCAATGGACGAGATTCAATCGACAAATGGCAAAGTTGCAATGGAAGGTAAAGATATTGGAGGAGCAATTTCTCTCTCGAATTTATGAGTCAACATGATAGTCATTATGTTATTATGATATTAGCACTATGATTAGACGTTGTCTTGAGCTCACCTGTAGAGGGCATGGGCTCGCCCAAAACGGGGCATTTCTCAGGAACGCAGGGGCCCCAATCTCCCCACTGCCCAACAATGCAATCCCGCGGACATGGAACCTCACACCTGTAAGAAAAAGCGCCGTTTACTTTTAAGTTGTGGAACATCACCATTAAGTTTTCACAGACTCGGAAAAATTGCCAATTTTCCAGTCGCTTATAAAACGTTTTTTATTACCCTTTTTATTACCTTCTTGGTACAAACCGCAAAACTAGTGTCCTGGTAATATTTACGGACGCTCCGACTTTTGATTAAAAGAAGGAATCTGTCCTGTTTTGAAATTGAAACTAGACATTTCTCGCCATACCGAAAACACACATGCCAAACAAAAATCGGCAGAACAGGATTGAATCTGCTAAAATTGAATGACCACATGGCTCGTAGTTGAAAACGTCATTGTTTCATGTAAAACATGAAGAACTGTCGTCGATAGTTTGTAGATTAAGGGAAATCTAACCTTACGTAGGCGAATTGGCCTAGTTCCTGAATTTGAAGATCGAATGTGCTGCCATTGCTGAAATACCCCCTCCTTTCCCAGACCCCAGAGTAAAGTGATAAAACGGCGTCTTTACTTGTATGACTTTGCGTGAATGCATCATTGCTGATAAGGACATCGCGTCCTCCGAAACAAATGAGCCGAGATGTGATTCTCCAAAGAGCCTTTTAAAGCAAAAATACTGACGATTTGTTTGTCAACTTAACCGATGATGTCATCGATGTTCATAGTTTTTACTGGCAATTTGCTTCTCTTCACCCTTGTAGATCGGTAGCTCATGACTGATCGAATGCAACTTACCTTTGAACCGTGTGAATATGCTGAACGCCTTTCTGCAGACATTGGATCCGCTCGAGAGGTCTTCTAGTTTCCAAGTCCAAGCAAGTGATATTTCTGTATTGAAGTCCACCGCCGCATTGGACCTCCTCCTTGGTGAAAGGTTGGAGACACGGAGTCCATGGTGAAACTTGCCATTCGTATCTACAACACGAGCAATTTTTAGTACGTGCGATTTGAAAAAAACACAATTTTATTTATTTCAACGAATTATTTTTCCGGGATCCAACGTCCATTTTCAATAATATCAGCCTCGAATAATAATTGAATTTTTTCTCTTGACCGATTATTCCATTTAGAAATTTTTAAAGGTAAAATATGTAACCTAAATTTCTGTTGATTTTGTTTTGATGTGCGCATTGTGCACGATTATTCGATTTATTTATGCATCTAATTAGTCAGAAAATAAAAATAAAAATAAAAATTGAAGAATCGTCAAAAGTGCAAGAAAAGGTGATATGGAAAAATAATGATTACTTACAACCAGCATTTTTTGGTAGCAGTCTTAGACTTTATTCTCTAAGACTTGGGGAAATTGATCGATCTAACACAGTTCAAATGTCTCATTTAAATGTAAATTTTAAAATTTCTCTCATAATGTTCAACATGAGTAAAATTTTACGAGAAAATCAGTACATGCACAGGTAGTACTTTATCACGTATTTTATATTGAGGGTGATTTACACCGTACTATTGGCACTGTATCTGATTTATTTTGTTCAATATTTGGACATGGTTTCTTACTTTCTGGCTTGATCTAAACGAGATTGTACTTACTTCTCGGAGCAATGTGGGAGCTTTTGCTTCTTCACCCTTGTCTCCACAAGATGAGGGCATGGGATACCCTGACCCTCTCGCAGCCGGAGAATCTCACGTTTTCGTTCGTAAGTAACTTCGCCCTCCTGAAGATGTAAATATTACACTTTTAAACAAACCTAATTTTCTTCACAAAATACATTTTTATAACAACTTCAGAAGTTCCAAACTGTTTTTAAAATTATATTCTCGAAATTCTTAAGACTAAAAAGTTTAGAGACTCAGTATTTAAGAACATGCAGGTATTGCAGGTACTTATTAATTGTACAGTGACCAAATGCAGAAGTAGTAGAATATACTGTACAAATGAAGAGGTTTTAATAATCACCTATCCAAAGTGCACCCTTCGATAAAATATAAAGCGAAAAATATAAAATTTTCATTAAATTTTGATCTATTAGAATCAAATCTGCGCCTAGGAGTTAATATATAATCTTCTACTCAGTGGCATCAACTAGGTATTTGATTTTCAATTTTCTAATGACGAGGAAGATGTATATATTTGTTTATTAATCCTCTCCTTTTCCTGGAACCCAGACCCGCTCCTTATAAATTATTTAGGGCTGCTCTAAATCCTTCTCCCTTACCTTATTTATAAGTTCTCTAATACAATTAACCCATAACCCCTTAAAACGTTAAATGGGAATTTTTATAGACCATTCTCTCTCTGCTTAAGGTGGGTTATTTAATACTTTAAAGCTCTCGAAAGCTCCTCACATATATCTGATCCCATTATTGCATCATCTGCTCAATCGGTAATTGTCATCTATTATCTAGATTTATTTGTCACATTAGGATATTTTGAATAATGTGATTTTTCGAATGTTTCTATGTGTATTACCTGTCCGTAGGTTGAAGCACATTTCTGTGTTTTTAGCTCCCAGCTGGACCATTCTCCCACGACGCAATCTTGCGCCATGATGCAAGCTCTCTCCGCTGATGGCATTTGTTGGTCCGTCCCGCACAGCCTAAAATGTGTCGTCAAACGTCAATTTTATTCATGATTTTTGACCGGGGATGAATAACAAGTAATTCAAATAAATATTAATACAGCTCAGACTGTGCGGAAAAAAGGGGAATAAAGATTTTTAGCACCAGAAAAATCGAAAGGCTGAGTCCGAGCCGAACCCAATCTTTTTTGTCACAGTAGCCCTTTTCTGTCAATAATTGCTGTGACTTGAGTCTTTAACTGTTGCCATTTCAGGCGTTGTATGTACACGCAGGTTATCCATACTGAAATTTCGTTGGTTGATTTAGAAAATTTAAGTCACTAATCGAAACGCACGATTAGGAATGGAGCTCGAGCAGAGTCCATTATGATTTATGATGTGGATTATGTTTTACGAAACTATTTCCTCGCGAAATTTTACAGGGAACAGTAATGTTATACTTGGACCGCGTTTAGCAGAGAGGACCCAAGTCACATCAGCTACTGCCAAAATTAACTGGGCAATTCAATTTTAAAAAGTGAACGTCTGTGCGGATTGCCTTGAAAAGTTTAAGGAACTTGTTTTTCGCTATGCAAAAATTTACTAAACTTTGCACAAAAATCCACACAAACGTTTTCATGTAAAACATTGAACTGCCCAATTAAATTTGGCAATAGCTGATGTGGCTTGGTTTCTTTCTGCTTAACGAGGTACATATATAGCTTAAACACACCACGAGATGAATAAAAAGCTGTACAATTTGGGGCAATAATGCCCGAATTTAAATAACAAGTTGAACATTTACTGCTTTAATTGGTCTAATTCTTAATCCACACATTAATAGAATTAAGCAAATGCATGGTTGCCACAATCTGTGAGAATTCCTGTGGTAAACAGTGTTCTTTTTTATTTATACAAGGAAAAAAACGAGGCAATTTCAATGAGGCCCTCTTCGTACTAACGCGACGCGGCATTGATGCAACTATTCGTGTTCTCCGGATGTCCATGTTGCATATCGCAAAATTGAAGGCGCTTTGATTTGGCTAGCCTTTCGCAAACTTCGCTTCGCCACGTCGTCGTCGCGCCGTTTAGTGACCACCTTGTAGTGATTCCACTCATGTTTTTAGCCCTGACGTTGCTTAGAGAATGTGATTTATCATAGAGGCTAACTCCTCCGTAATGTAACGATGGATAACGGGACCTCTCAGCGCTTGTGACGTCACGTGAAAAGATTTCGAACAAATCAATCACACCGCCAATTTTGCTAGGTTTTTCAAATAGTATGTATGTATGTTCTCGAATCGTCAATGCCAGCATTTTTTTTAGAAGATTTATTTGAATTACACGATTTACCGTCGTGGTGGGCGTCAGCAGAACTTATCGGGTAAAATCGCGATTAGAATGGACACAATCGCTGAATGACAACGTATTTGTCCTAGAAACTACGGTGACCTGGCTCGGCTCCCAATGACACCCTGTATTCGTCGCCCTCCTGACGTAAGAGCGTATCTCGATTTTCAGGTGAACCCTGTTCTTTGTATAGCTCCACGCTTTTCGGGGATCATGCGGGAATAGAGATATGCCGTTACGTCGTGCGTCAGAGGAGCGACGGATGTATCGTGAACTGCAGGGAGGCCCACGATGCGTGTACTGAAAAAAGGCGAATGATTGCCTTTTATCCCGCCCTTTTTCCGCCATCTTTTTGAAGTATTTTCAACATTTCTAGTGCCTCGACTAAAAATGTATAGTCCATGGAAAATCACTATCTTGAGAAAGAACCTCAGATTCTATCTTAAATCTGAGGAAAAAACATTAAATTCCATGCAGATATCCTGATTTTAAGGTGCTTGATGGTATTCAACCCAATTACGTTTATCACTCAATATCTCATTAAAAATGCCAAAATCATGATATCGGCGCGGAATTTTAGCGTGTTGTCATTAGGACACAGTGCTGAAACAACATTTAGCACCAAAATATTCATTTTTCTGTGACTTGAAAAACTTCATTGGAGTATCGGAGATTTTTATGACGGATAAAATGTCCCTATTGTTCCGTTATCAAGGAGGTGCACAGGTTGCACGCCTTCTCCACTGCACAACACAGGGTATCAAGTGAAGAGGCAGGTCAGCGCGGTTGAGATCGATGAGTTGCCATTGTTGCCTTTTGCGGATTTTAACCTCAATGTTATCGGTTCCCTTCTGCTGACATTGTGAGTCGAAAACTCTTCTTGGAAGAGTCAGTTCGTCTCTTCGGGAAGGTGGTATGGAGGCATGTTAATGTAGCTTTTGGAAATGGATATTTGCAAATACAAAAATCTGGCTCTATGAACGATTAAAATTACTTTTGATTCAAAACGTCCTTTCTTGTCGTCAAAATTTGGTTTTATCAAAGTTAAACTTGTGCGGATTAAACTTAAAGTCAGTTCTTTTTAGTTGAAAAACGTTATTTTGCTATCGTTTTTTAACTCAAACTTAACGATAATAAAACGACGCTTTTCTAAATCCAAAGAACTGACTTTAAATCGAATCCGCACGGATTTAACTGAAAAAAACCAATTTTTTTCGACAAGAAACGACGTTTGAAGTCAAAATAATATCTCACACTGGGGAAAAAAAACACATTGGATCTAGAGTCCAGACTTTTGAGAACATTGACAAGAAAAAATACTCTTGATTCAATCGGATTTTTGCTTGAATCAAAACGAAATCCGCGTAAATTAAGAGGCTTGGTTCTTGATTTAAGCTAGATTCTGATTGAATCAAGAGTACTTTTTCTTGTCGATGTTTTTAAGAGTCTGAACTCTAGATCCAATGTGTTTTTTTTTTCCAGTGCAAGAAAAAAAAATTCAGTGTAAGACGACGAGTAGCCGAGCTGAAAGAGCTTACCCGAGGTTGACGATGCTTCCAGAGGCGTTGTAGCAGATGAGGTTCCTGTGCTGGGTGCCTACTTGGGGCCAGTGCTTGTAGAAATTGTCGGCGGTTGGAGGGTCGGATAAGACGGGCGAGTCACCAGCCGCCTCGTCGTCACCCCGTTTCGTACTTGTGCACCCGCTCCACTTGTCCACCTTCAGCCGGAAACCAGGAGTTCGCTGGTTGCACGACTTGTCGTCGCCATCGCATGACCGCCACTCGCTCAGCTGCACAGTTTAAAACAGTGTTCATGGTTACTTAGAGTTACTTTTTATCGGTCAAACCAACCAAAAGAACTCGGTTGTCCATCCACATTTGGACGTGTTTCTGCTAACGGAACTGAATCGATGAGAACCAAAACACACCAACTCGAAAAAATGAAAATAATGAAGACACACACAAAATTTTTCACACATCGATGTTTCTCTCTATCTTCTGCTTAGTTGTGTGTTTTACACTTACAGTTTTGTGGGTAAGGAAGGAAACTTTGAAGGATAGAACTTCCATCCCACGGGGGTTTGTTTATTATTTTTGTAACAGCCATTATCATGAAATAATAGTGGAGATAATCGGTATTTTTACTGGAAAAATACAAAATTAGTAAAAATTTGCAACGTCGCTTAGAAAGATGTGTAGTTCTTGCGTTATGCCGTCGATATTTTGGAAATTCTGCCCAATTGAGGGGCCAATTTGCAGCAGGGCAATGTGTAAGTAATATATCGATTTTTAGGTTCGATATTTGTGAATATCGATATTTCAGAGCTCGATGTATATAAGGTCGATTTATTTTTAGAAAAAATCGATGTATCGGATATCGATACCAATCGTAAATATCGGCGACACCAACTCAACTATGTCATAATTTCTCATTAAATTTAAGTCTGCTCGCTTTGACGTAGGAATGTATAATGCTCTGCTCACCAACACCTTCTGTATTTTCATACTTTAAGATGGTTACCTCTGGGCAGGGTTGTCCCCCGTTGGCCGGCGGGATGAGGACGCTGAGAGTGCGGTATTGTATGCCGTCGCAGCAGGGCGTCCAATCACTCGGTTCGGTGACCACGCAGTCCTGCGCCAACGGGATCTCGCAGTCCTCCTCGGTCACCGGCCGCGGGAATTTTTCCAGACAGTTCTCGTCGTCCACCACGGCTGAGATCTGAAACACACAAAGCGCATGAGTCCCTCATCATACATTATCATGTCTTATGAGGAAGGAATAACCACGATTAGACTGCATTTTGCAATTTTGAACTAAAATATCTGGCTCAGTTTAAAAACGATGTATGTGCCACTAGTTTTCCCAAGCACTTAAGTGTTTTTAAGGATGGGCTAGAAATTGCAATTCCTAATCGCAAAATGTAGTCCAATTGTTGTACCCGCGATGAGGGTAGACGACAGATCAGGGAAACAACCACACACCAATGAAAGTGTGACTAACGCAATGTATTATTATGTTTGTTGCAGGAGGACCCCTTAACGAGGAATTGACTTGTCAAAAAGTTGGTCACGCAAAAACAGTGAGTACAATTCTATAGTCTCTCTTATCACTACGTTGTGTTGCGTCGGCTTAATGACGCGGATGGGAAAAGAGCAAGGTCTCGTATTTTAATTAGACTTGTTTGAAGGGCAGTATAATACCAATTTAAGGATATTTTTCGAGTTTTTTAGGGAATTTTGTCTGATTTTAATAACGTTTTCCCTCTTTTAACCTTCAACATTCAATTCAGTGTCGCAACTAACTCATTCATCACTCGTCCACAAGCAGCGTCTTGTCATCGATCAGAGAGGAAGCAGCCCGCTGTCTCAAATCGAATCCAATATCCTTGATCTAATCAAATATCCTTCCAATATCTTCACTCTAAATCCAGTATCGTTCCACTATCTTCCCTCCAATCTCAATATCTTTAATCCGATTCCAATATATTCACAATTAGTTGAAAAAGCTCAAAACTTCCATTTATTACAGTATTAATAGTTAATTAATTACACCAAAATGAAATTTTTTAGTAAATAAATAAAGTTTAAGACAATGTAATCCTTGGTGGGAGAATTACTTTTTTTTTGAGTTAACTAGTTACTTTATTTAAATTTAAGTATCATTCAACTTGAAATAATAAAAAGTATCAGTTTTATTTTACCGCGCCGCGGTCATGTCTGTGTGGCGCGCTACCGCATAATACATAGCTGTCAGCTGTAATGAGCGCAACGAAACGCAGAGCGCCTTCAGTTTTGTGACTATGCAACCAGGACATCCATCGAGTACGAATAGTTGTATTCAAGCCGTCAGGCGTTAGTATCCACGTCGCACTAGTTTGATTAGAATTTGAGAGTGTCCGTTGACTCGGTTAGATAAATTATGTGAATAAATGTTGGGCCGTTTATTCTATTTCTTTCGAACTGAATTATCCCTCATTATTATCAGAATCCGATTACTACCTGACACAAAGAACTGGAGAAACCAGGAGACTGTTAAGTATTCAATTTCGTTTGTAAGTGTAACACAGTTTTTTTTTACCTAAATAAAAAAGTGATTTGAATCGCGAAAATACAGCAAACTGATTGCTTCACAGCTGACTTAGGATCAAAATTTAGAGAAAAGTAACGAATTTGCAATAAATTGTATCGAATTTTATGAATTTTTTTTTTTTTTTTTTTTTTTTTTTTTTTTACTACTTCAAATAGCCCACACGGGCTAATCCCACGCTTTAAGTCCCATCCCCCCTCCGTCCCTACTGAACCAGCCCCAGGCAACCATTGTTTGAGACCATCAAACTCGGGTCGCCTGGCCAGGAATCGAACCCGGGACCTCCCGATTATAGAGCAAGCGCTACAACCACTACACCATAGGAGGCCGACATAGGAATGGAGAACACATTCTCTCCAATGTCTAGCTGCGTTAATTTTGTTGCACGAAGCACCAACACACTCCTTTTGATCATTGACTTTCTGTAAATTTTCACAGAGGTTTTCAGAATGCTCTTCTAGCGTTGCTTTACTATCAAGTGCTTTTTGATATGAATTGTTTGGAAATGTGTATTTAATTCCAAGCAAAAAAATCTTGCAAAAAGATTGATAGAAAATCGAATTTCACGCTCAGTTTTAGCGACGGTCGGGGTATTCGGGTTATTTATTACAGGGTTACTATTCCTATATATTGTAATACTATTAGGGTAAGGGTACTTTCCTTATTCTTTGCATTCAGATCTCATTACTTCCTGAAAGAGATTTTTATTTTCATACTATACTTTATTCAATTTTTATCAACGGATTCTATGCATTCTTGGGCCTTACCATTGAGCTCTCGCCGGACGTGATAACGCAAGAAACGTTCCGTGATCTGACACCGCTACTGTCCACGGAAAGTTGGTTTTCTGACATTTTGCAAGGACTCCAGTCATCCGTTTTCCATGTCAAGTATTCTGAAATAGGAAACATCAAGATTAGCTAATAAATTAATTTCAAAATACAGATTTATTATGTTTTAGTGGGTTTCTAAAATTATTATATCTGTGAAAAAATTATGATACTGGATCTAAAAAATTTGATCGATCGCTCATTTCCCAGAATAGCTTATTGCCAGTTGAAACTTCTATCATAATAATTGACATAGGTTCGTTACAGAGCCTATTTTCTTCGTTACCAGCCCCCCTCCCCCCTCCCCGTGAAAAATACACGCATACAAACACGTATAACTCCATTGCCGCCGTATTATAATTCTCTACGCCAGGTTTTTTTTTTACCTAATTGGAGTCATCAATTAGTGGTGCTCACACTTGCTTTGGCTATTTTACGTGAAATGTTGATTGAAACAAGGCAGAATAAATCGTGGGATCCTTCATAATGGTAGATTCCCTTAATCTCTTCCAGCTACACATTTTTAATGGCCTTTCTGATAGAAGCATTGATTATTTTAGCAGGCCGGCGAAACTGGGCATCATTATTTACAACATATGTGAAATATTTAATGTGCATATCGAAATTCCTATCAGCCTAAGCTCATCACTTTTTGGACTGCGTTAAGAAGAAGGGAACAAAGCCACATCAGTTATTGCCAAATTATTGCCAAAAAAAGTGAATTTTCTGCATAGTACAAATCAAATTCCTTAAAATTCTAAAGTAATCCGCAAAAATGTACTGTTGTAGAATATTAAATTACTTAGTTAAATTTGGCAACAGATGATGTGGCTTGGTTCCTTTCTATACTGGACGCGGTACATTTGGATTACATGTAGCAAAAAGGAACCAGGGTGATAACCTTGTTTTCAAAATTTTTAATTTGAAAATCTCGTTTTGCAACTTCTTTTTTTTCTTCTTAAAATATTAAAATTTACACAAATATTTCCCTTTGAAATTTTTTGGGGAAATGCAAAAACTATTTACAATTTTGGGAGATTTTTTAGATGATAATGAAGAAGCAACACTTGAACAACGCTGTAATTGCGCTGGTTCCTTTTTGCAGGATGCGACCCATTTATCATTACCATAAGCGCTCTGACCCTCAAAATTTTCATTCTTAGTCACTGCTCATTGTTAATGGCGATTTTCATGATTTTTACGGCTATTGATACACTGGGAAAAAAACACATTGGATCTAGAGTCCAGACTCTTAAAAACATCGACAAGAAAAAATACTCTTGATTCAATCAGATTAAAGCTTAAATCAAGAACCAAGCCTCTTAATTTATAAGCGGATTTCCTTTTGATTTAAGCGTAAATCTGATTGAATCAAGAGTCCTTTTTCGCGTCAATGTTTTCAAGAGTCTGGACCCTAGATCCAATGTGTTGTTTTTCCAGAGTAGGAGATAGTCCTTAGATAAGCCAGTTCTGTTGAGCTTAACACACGGGGGCCCGTAAAGCGGCCCTACGCCCTTCAGAGGTTGGGCCGTGTAGCGGCCAGGGGGCGCACCCCCCTAAATTGCTTTTAAATGGAGAGAAAACATTGTTGCCACGTTGGAAGAATCGTCTCCGGTTGAGATTCGGTTGCCGGTGGTTCTGGGTCGTGTGGGCATCGGCTAGGGCGGCGTGTCTCACCTTTGTGATGGTGACAGGCGATGAAGCAGGAGAGAGTCCTCGGGGGCTCGAGCGCCGGGTCGCAAAGTCTGATCTCGGTCGTGGAGGCGGCGACGGAGGCGGCGGTGGATCGATTGCCCCGCTGCTCCACGCACCACACCTCCCGCTCCTTGAGCCCTTGACCGCAGCCCGTCTGCACGTAGCATGCACCCCATTCACCTGCGAACAGACGCGAGCAGCATCTTCATTAGTCGCCCACTTCCGGAATCACGGCCGCAAATAGATGGGATTACCCCTGGATCAACGGGAGAGGAACGCAGGAATGCTCCTCTGAGAGCGACCTAGAATAGGGATCTGTGAAAATCCTCGCCGATTTAAGTGATTGAAGCACGAGAATGCTCTCGTGGGAGCAACCGATGGTGCCGTTTTAGGAACAGTGATAGATGAACATGCACATGGATCAAGGTTATGTGGGAATGCTCCTCAGAGAGCAACTCGTATGGAGGGTAATAGGTGAGTCACTGCGTGGATCGAGAAAATTGAAACGTAGCACAGTGGATCGAGTCAATAAGAGAGGTCGGACTTGAGATTTTTGACAAAAACTGCAAATTTTGATGATTATTTCGTCTCATTTTAAACTTAAAGACGTGCTTCAAGAAGAAAATTTCATGAGAAAACCAATGAAACCACTTTCAAAACCTCCAAGTGTTGTATAAACGGAGTTATAAGCGTTCAAAGTTTCTAAATTTTGTCCGACCTCTCACATTGATTCGGTCCAGTGTGCGTAGGAATGCTTCCTCTGAGAGCAAATATAGGAGTAATGGGTAAGGGGCCGTCCACAAATTACGTAAAGCACCTGGAGAGAGTGGGTCAAGAGGTGCCTTACAGGGGAGAGGGTCAAGCGCAGCCTTACGTAAGCCAAACGCTTATTATTGAGAAGAAGGGAAAATGAGGGAAATTGTTAAAATATAATTTTTTCTGCACTTTTTGAATTTAAAAACTGGTTATTTTTTCAATACAACTGTTATTCTTTATGATCTCCTAATAGCGATTAGTAATGTTTGAAACAATACTGATTTGTTTCAACACCGTTTTTTCATTAAATTATGCATTTAAACGATAGAAGGGAGGGTCTGGCTAGCCTTCCGTAATTATTTAGGGGAGGTCTAGGCTAGCTTTACAAGTGCCTTACGGCGGGGAGGGGGGTGTAAGAATCGGAAAAAGTGCCTCACGTAACTTGTGGACGGCTCCTAATGGATAGAAATTCTCATGAATCAAAGTAAGGAAATCCTAGGAGTGCTCCTCCGAGAGCAACCTGAAGCACCATCATGAAAGGTGGAAAGGATTATTCTCAACATACACATTTTTTTTCTTCTTCTTTTTTTTCAATTGGTCCCAAGAACACAATCTAACATAAATCCACGCTTTACTCATACATAAGTGCTAGGTCAGTTGCACGTAGACACGCTGCCGTGCTGCCAGCGCGGAACGCTCACTGGCGCCTACAAACCTAAAGGGCTACTTCACGCATTGCGTAGTGCTTGAAGTATCCAGTTAGGTTTGTAGGCGTCTACTTCACGCATTGCGTAATGCTTGAAGTATCCAGTTAGGTTTGTAGGCGTCTACTTCACGCATTGCGTAATGCTTGAAGTATCCAATTAGGTTTGTAGGTGTCGGCGCGCGTTTCGAGCTGGCAGCACGCCGCGCTGCAAGTGTTAAAATGGAGGCAATTTGACATGAAATTCGAAATTAGCGACTCAAAAAACATCAGTTACGAAACTATCGTTATCTTTCCGTCATTATCCAACTTATTTCTTCCTATTCATGAGTTTTGGACCATAGTGCGCTGTTTGGTGCAACACTAGTTACAATCATTCAGGAAGGCAACTGCAAACGCGTTTGGGGTCTAATTATTGGACCCATCATCAGCGCAGCGCCGTCTCCTGAATTTTCTGCTACCAAGCTCGGAGAGGTCGTGAAAACCATCCCGAGACTTGGGCTACATCTCCAACTTACTGTATCTGCGACTCGTGCGTCTACCAGTAGCGTGGCGTGAATTGCGATATATCGATTGTTATGCCATTTAAACCTATGGTAAAGAATCGATCATTAAGGTGTTCGCTGCGAATGCCCTGTTTATCGATCCTTTCCCATAGATTTAAATGGCATAACAATCGATTTATCGCAATTCACGCCACGCCGCTGTCGTCTACCCGCCATCAGTTTGTGACAAAGAAAATTTCTCCAGACTCGTGGTGACAATAATGGAAACTTTGGCTTGAGAATCCACTACTTCCATTTTTTAAATGTATATATATTTGTTCGATAACAATTTAAAAGGTTCCTCGAGAGCGACATTTTCTGCATTGTACATTACTGATGACACTAATATGCCAATGGTGGAACCACCGAACCAATAATCCCAGTTGCGGTGTTTAAAAACGTTCAAGGTATTTTTTTTTCTTTTTAAAAAAATAAAACTTATTTCTAGAATTTCCACGCGAAGTGTTCAGGGAATATCATCGAGGAAACGGAGGAAAATCAAACTGAACTAGGGGGCTTTGCCGAAAAACTTTGCGCCTCAGGTAATATGTTTCACAAGTTACTCTCTTGATTGTGTATGATAGAGTAAGATTTGATTGTATGTACGATGATCAGGCCTTCTCTAGAAAAGTAAAATACAACCGAATACCAAACCGGAAAATCGCCAACTTAGATACGCGGTCTGGCACTTTCTCCCCCAATGCATTGCAAAGCAACGAAACTGGTGTTTAAACTATTTATTTTTCCTATTAGTATCAGTCCTTATAATTGTTTGTCTTTTTCTTAGAATTGCCAATAGGACTCGAAAAAATAGGCCGTTAATTTATTGATGATGATAAAATTTGCACAGGCTTTGCAGTGTCAGCCAGTCCGAATAATCGATCAGGTCAGGACAATAGTATAGACTGCCCATCAATGCAAATTCTGACCTACAAGCCAAGAAAAGCAATGTTATGCCCTCTATTCTTGTTATCTGTTTCTGTTTGTGAAAAAATGGTACACCAAGATGGCTCCATAATTTTCTCTTTTCTATTCCTGTAGAAAGAAGAATCTGTACTTGCTTCTAGCAGTGTAGCTACACTTGTTACAGAGTCGTGTCGTAATGGTTAAATATTTAAAACACGATAAAAGGAAGAGAAAACTTAGGGTCATCATTGATCCAAAAGTTCCGCAACTCTGGCATTGATAATTTCTTAGCTCGATCGTTATGTGATTGTGTAATAATAAACGAAAAATATCACGATCTGCCCAAACTGTAAATCCCTGCATCTAGGTCTAATAGAGGCGAGCTTTTTGAAAAACATGGAGAATTACGTCACGTCGCACAATACGCTATTACACACCGTGTTCCCGTACCTCTTGCACCTGGGTTCTATCAATGATGCATGTAAAATACAACTTGTGCAAAGTGCATTACTTGACTATCGATCGATGAGACCACAGTCGAGAAAAGCGTCGTATGCACCAATGCGTCAGGCGTATAGCGGCTTGAATATTGTGTTTTAAATGGAGCAATATCACCATAGTTATAAGACGTAGAAACCTAACTGTAAAAGTTAGTATCCCGTACATATCCTATTTCCTGAACTGCTTATTATTGATCAATCAAGACACGATTCTATACGGTACGCTCGGTTGACCTTCATACCTAGTATATTTCTAACGAGAAAGTACTTGACAGCTTGATCAGGGATTTAGAGTCTCAAAGGATGCCCAATATCCAACGAACTCTTTTTTTCCTTTCTTTTTTTTTCTTCTATAACTTCTAATACGCTCCTAAATAGAGGACAAATTAAGCTACCACGAGGTATGAATCTTCAGCAACCATACAGAACACGTTCATTATGTCAAACAAGTCCAAAATCAATCAGTAAAATGGGAATTGATTCATTGCGATTTACTTTAAAACAGTCAATTCGAACTCCCCTCTCACTCAAAAACTAAAATCAATGTGGATTAAACTGACTACTGGAAATAAACTAATCATCCGAAAAAGTATTTACATTGGATGCGCTCATAACTTTTCTAAGACAGTCATCTAAGGATCTAGAGCCCCCTTCCCTCAGGATCTTCCCAGCTACTCCCGTGAGCTCAGTGTAGTCGCGATTCCTGAAAGTTGGTTACACTGTTTCATCTTCCATTTAAATCCATTAAAAATATCGATTTTAGGTGAGGCAAGCTGCCTCGCCAAGAATCGATTGTTTTACATACATTTAAATGGAGGAAAAATTGTGTTGCCATCTTTCAAGAATCGACACTGGTTCAGTGTATCAAAGTAGGCGTCAAGGAGGAAAAAATCGAAGATCTACAGGAGGCAATCTTCGATTTAATTTTCTTGTGTGTACTTCAGAGATGCAACCCAAGAGATTCCTCTTGGGTGGACACGGTTCCCTCAGCATGACGATTCTGTCAACGCTCTTGTATACTTTAGACTCGAGAAAAAAAGGACATGGTAATATCTGAATGCCGCGGTAATGCAAATAAACCAATGAGATCATAAATCATAGAACTGGGTGGATATTGTTGAAGGCCATGGAATTTTCATGCAATGTATCTTTATATTTCTCTCTTGCAGAGAATAAATCCTCGGTGACTTACTTGTTTTCCATTTGTATTTGAGTGTGCTTAGATACTTTGGTTCATGGACGGCCTTGGTTTCATATAAACTTAACAATGAGACTATTTGTACACTTAATAGGAAGAGATCCATTTCAAATTTGCGACGGTATCGTTTACTGTACTGCTCTCGTATCACTTCATCCTGCAAACAGACAAAATAAACATGGCCTGGTTAAACATAACACATCTTTCACTCTAAGTAACATCTTAAGAAACTCTATATCCAATCTTCTACTCAAACGCCAGCTTTTTTCAGTCCTTTGACAACTAGTCAGTTTTGATAATTAATTGTGACGCAGCAGGAAAAATGTGTCTTAAAGTTGGAAAATAAGGGAAATGCTGTAACAATTACGTAGGTTACAGGCTTAATTCTGCGTCTTTTTGACCCTTAGGTGCGAAAAACACCCGAAGATTCTATGTAAGGACCCTGTGACGGCAACTCAAAATTCGAGGTCGGCCAGCCAGGTTGGCCTAGTGGTCTGACTGTAACTCAATAGGTCCCGGGTTCGAATCCCGGTAGTGGTAACACATTTCCACGGAACTGCCGAGTAGGCCTGCATAGTAACATATTCTACTCAGCCGCAATCCCTGAAAGTTTGAAAGCCGAGAGTATGAATGTACCAACCCCGCGATGATGTATAAGGACACTAAATAGTACATATAGATGGCTGCAGGTTACGAATCGAAATACAAGGTAATACAGCACTTGAAAAAAAAGTTCGAGGTTAAAAACAAGGAATTCAGGAAAACTGCTATTACAGTGTCCCGCTGCTCTTGCTAGCTTGAGGAACGAGCCACTTTAAACTCTAAAAACATCATTAATTATGCAAATTACGGCCTGAAACTTTGACTCAGTGTTCTTAGAGTGTTAGCAAGTGATTAGCATGGAAGACTGGAAATTGATAGTTTTGATCTCAAACCGGTCTATTCGCTCTACTGAACAAAAATTTGGACGTATTTCAGCCAAACGGAACTATTTGCATTATGGCGTGAGCCCTGTTATGAATATATCGTTATGGGTCTCAGGGCTCATGTCTTAATGTACATAGGTAGGTAGTTCTGCTTGGCAGAAATATGTCCAGTTTGAGTTTTCAGCTTAAGGCACATTTGGCTTTGCTGCGTCACAATTATGTCGGTTCCAAAGTAATAGGTCTGGAAAAAGAGGGACGTTGGGTTAAAATTCCCACTAGCACGCTCTAAGCTGACAGTTTCGGACGAATGTAAAACAGATCGCCTTCATTTTACCGTGAAGGCAAAATCTCATTCTGTGAGGTGGAATAGTTACCTATCCGAACTATTATCGATGTTTTGAAGTCTCGGAGGTCGATATTTATTACTCAATGAGACTTCATTGTCCTCTGAACAGGATTCTTTAAATGATTTACATCATCAACATTAAAAGTTGAAACATGTAATTACAGTTAGAAAGTATCGAGAGCTCTTTGGAACTTTGGCAGAGAACTTTCCGAACAACAATTATTCCATTCGATAACTCTCAAATTGCTATGTTTTTGTTGATTTGTTTTTTTCTTCTATTTTCTGCCTGATTTATGTTACATCGTTCCAAAATGTATTATGCTTAGGAGCGGAAACGCTCGTCGGTACATTTACGCACCATAATCCCGTCGTTATGAAGATTCAATAACTGAGAAATTAGAAAAATGTATGATATTACTCGATATGGGTGCTACAACTTGACTATACTGCGTAAGTTTCATCACACTCGACCAGACTGAAATATATTTTAATTGGGCAGAAATACTATAACAGAAAAATATTAAAATCTTCCTACGGATGATTTTAGTATTTTGCAAATGTGAAATCAAATTACCTATTGTCAGGTGCTGCATGTTCTATCACCTCCAATGCTTTTTTCAATAATGGCATCACTATTAAGCCTCCACTTGCAATTCAAATAATTTTTATTTTGTTTTCTCAGCCCGATATACGCTCTTTTCTGTATAGAGAACAAAATGTTTGACACAAAAATCACAACGCCCTAGTTTATTTGATTGCATAGCCATGGACATGAAGGGAAGTTAGTTTTGCGCTGTATTTCCCATCGATTAGATTTAAAAAGAATTATAGTAGGTAGAGTGAACAATTGAACATGCTAAACAATATGATGTAATTTTGTCAAAGAGGCGATTTGAGCTTGTAAATTGGTTAAATTTTCGCAATCAGGTTTACAGTGTAGTAGAAAATGAGACTTGCAAGCAAAAGAAGAAGAATGTGAGAATAATGATTTGCCCCTGACTTTCAGTAACAACACAGAGACTGACAGGAAATCAACATTTGACTGGCAATTTTTGCACCATGTTTCTGTACAAAGGATTGCGCATAAAATGGTGCGTTCAACAACAAGCGACAAAAAGGAATTAATTATCTCTCCTCAACCTTTATCCTCCATAAAACGAATCAACTCTCAATATCTGAATCTTTCTCGTGTCACATTCAATAGAAAAGAAGGATAAAATGCTGGACGCGTAAAAACACTCTGAAATTCACGATGATAAAAATCTCGGGTGTGTTTTGTCCGCCCATGATTCGGACCTCGCCTCCCACCCAGTGAGAGCACAATACAGGGAGCACTCGTCGCTGAGGTTATTTATAGGGATGAGGGATACTTACACTATTTCAGGGATCCTCACCATTACGGTGACACTGGTCTGAAAGGACACTAACGCGACTTGGGACGGCCGAAGAGGGCATTTCCGTGGTCGGCAGCCCGCCCTTCGAGGACGGAGTCACGGCAAGCTCGGTTCGTGGAGCGATCTCGGTCCCGGACACTCATCCATGAATAACTGGGGAGTCGTACCTGATGATTTTTGAGATGAACCCGCGAGCCCGAAAGTGTGATTCTGGGAAATTGGTCGCGCGCGGGGCATATCGATCAATCAGCGTTGCCATGGCGACGTAACTACGCCCTTCGCGGACGCTTTCGACTTCCCACCGTCGGCGCGGGCAGGGGCGGCTGCTCCCGCCATTCGCTGGCTTTTTCCCGCTTTGCCTTTGCCTTTGCTTTTGCCTCCGCCGCGCTCGCCTTTGCGCGATCCCGACTCCCGCTCGAGTTGTGGTTCGCTCGCGCATCGCGCCAGTCTGTGGTCTTTTCCCTCCCTCAGCGCGCATCGTGTGTTTTCTTTTGTAGATGCTTGCTTTTTTTCTCGTCTACTGAAAATGGACCGAGTTTAGCAGAAACTACTAGCAGAAAACTTTAGCAGAACCAAGCCGTACTAGTACTAGCTATTGAAAAATTTAACTGGGCATTTAAATTTCCCACAAAAGAACGTTTGTGCGGATACTTTTGAAAATTTTAAGAAATTCGCTTCGTGCTATGCAGAAAATTCACTGAAATTTGCACAAAAATCCGCACAACCGTTCTCATGTAAAAAAATTAAATCGCCCAATTAAATTTGGCAACAGCTGATGTGGCTTGGCTCCTTTCTGTTTAACGCGGTCCTATGTTATGGTTAAATATATTGCGTATATATTGAGTGGCATTAGTGCAATCTGGCGTTTTATTTAATTCCTGTTCAAATAATCAGATTTTAATTTTAAAGATTTTTTAGGATTTATAAGTTATAATTTTACATTTTTTACGGATTTTCCAAGAATCGGAATAAGTGTCTTTTATGTTGCATAATTTGTTCTCACGTTTTATTTTTTTACTAGATACCTACCTAATTCAGCAATTTAAGGTTTTGGAATTCTGTGTGATTTTTTCGCAGAGAACAAAGGATATATTCACAGGGTATAAAGGATTTTGAAGTAGAATATTGCTCAGTTTTCATGTAAAAAAAATGAAACTCTGGAGGACAATTAGGCAATGTGACATGAAAGTTAGGTCCATTCTCGTTGATGCCGCTCATTAATTGGTTGAAACACCAACCAATCAATTAGTAATGGTTTAGTTAAAATTAATTGATACTTTCAATTTTCAACGATATTCTGTTCTGTTTAAGAAATGATCCGATTGATTTTTACATCACATGGATCAAGTTTATACTGCCCTGGTAAAAATTGGCAGTAGAATCTGTGTTCCAAAATACCATAGACCTACAGCCGGCTGTAAGATTTCTAATAGCTTCTGTAGCCGGCAACACAATTTCCTTTAGCCTTTTATAGCCGATGGCGATTAAGCAACAGCCTGGCGATAAAGTGTATGCTAAACGTTACTAATTACGGATGCTAGGACTTAGTGAGTTTTTGGACTACCGCTCTCTTTTTGGGCCGCAGTATCTTGATTTAATTTGCGAGGAAAGCTCCGTACTTTTGAAGGATGCCTGCCATTCCTAATATGTTGGAGCGCCTTCAATTTCGTATGATACTGTGCAATACCTCTGGTGTGAAATAGGTGCTTCAAGCGCCGCGGTACGCTGTGGCGCGGCGCGGGCGGGCAGCCAGCGCTGAACGCGCATTGGCGCCTACAAACATAACAGGGATACTTCACGCATTGCGCAATGCGTTTGTAGGCGCCAGTGCGCCGCCGCTCCGCTCCGCTTTGTGTTAGACTCTAATATTTAATCTCGCGGAGTCAGCGTTTTTCAACTCATGACTTTGAAATGTTTGCACACTCTGTATGGATTATTCTCATTTTAATTGATGAAAAAAAAATATGTAGTAAAGGAAAATATAATGTGCGTTTTGTAAATATTAAGGTGATTCCGTACAAACTTAAGGATTTACAAAGTACAAGAATTTCTGCACAATTTCTTATAGCCTTTTATAGCCGATGGTGAAAAAGCAACAGACAGGCGATAAAGTGTAAAGCCCGGCGATAGGAACTATAGCCCGGCCGTTTAATTTTTTATCGCTTCGTGTAGCCCGGCCGTATGATTTTTTCCTCTTTCTACAACCAGTTATACAGGGTGTCCGGAAGTTAACGTACTTAACTTTCAGGATCGTTTTTTCGGCTCAAAATAAGACTTTTTTTTCCTATACACATATGCCCGAAAACGCTTCATACGTGAGCTATGCGCTTACAAAGTTGCCATTTTTTTTCGTTCAAATTAATATAGCTCCTCGTCATTTTTTCATAGGTGGCTGAAACTTAGTTAGGGGGGGTACTTTTTAGCGCTCTATTCATTTTTTGTGTTTTCAAGGACGTGCGTCTTCGAAAAATGACGTCACAAGCGTTCCCGAATTTGAAAATTGCGATAACTTTTTTGGTAGATGATATTTTGAAAAACGGATTACGGCACGTGAAAGAACGTAAAAAATCAAGGGGTCAAAGTACTGCACAAAATTTTCCAGAAACGCGTTATTTCGACGCAAAAGAACTTTGAAAAATTTTAAGATTTTCGAAGCTCCTTGCTGTGTAGGCAATTTTTACTACAAGGATTGAAAAGTTGCCTACAGAGCAAGGGGCTTCGAAAACCTCGAAGCTATTGAGACGGCTCTTGACCTTTCCCTCACACTTTTTCCAGGCTTGGAACTGGCCCGAGCATCATCCTACGAAAATCGCGGTTAGGCGGCGATATTTTTGGTATCAAATATCCACCGAAAAATCATACTTGGAGGCTTATCGAAAACATGGTTTCAAAGTGTGGAAGTAATTCGGTTTTCACATCCGAAGTACTTCGGTTCTCACATCCAAAAAACTTCCGTTCTCACATCTGAAATACTTTAGATGTAAGAACTGAAGTTTCAGATGTGTGTTCCAAACCTCGGCAGCTGGACCTTAAGTGTTCCGATGCTCAATCCGAAAACTTCGGAGATCCATATGACCTAAACTTTAGGTCCCACGCACGAAGTTTTTTTCTCCGTGCAGTATCTCATGCAATCCGTAGTGCGTGCTTTTCTCCATGAAAAGAAATAATTTGACAAAGACGAAATTTGATGAAGATATTCAAATAGTGAAACAATGATAAGACATTGATTGCAACTGCAAGATTATTGATGTGCTGCGAAATCGGTGTATCAACATGTGAGGAGGAAAAAACCACCAGAATTCAATTTTTAATCTGATCGAGAGCTCATAACGCTGCCACGTGCTATGGGAGGTTGTGAGAGACCATAATGCACATGTGTGGAGTGCAAATGCAGAATTTCTACCCACTGAAAAAATTATTTAAAAAATTCGGCTGATGCGACCTCTGAAAGTTGATCAATTGGCCTGAAATTTTTTACGAGGCAGTTCTTTTACTAATGCAGAACACCCCCTCCCCCCACTCGCTGGAGGTAACTTATCCGCTTTTTTTTCGGTTTGTTTTCTGTTCTTTGTTGTTGCTTTTTTTTAATACGAAAAAATCCGCTTCTTAGCTATTCTCGCGCTACTGTGTAATCATTTCGAGCGACAGTACACACATTGGCAAGCATCAACATAAGTAAATGAATTAAATTTAATCTCCGAACCTTTCACTGCACCCAAAGTACTTACAAGATCTGCCATTGAACATGAAATAAGAAATTCGATGAATAAGTGCAGAGCAGATATCACGAATCTCTGCATTGAGAGGAGCGGCGTTGAACAGCCCCGAGCATTCACAAGTAATTATTAAGGCATGACTTGTTAAACTTATGCTAAGAAATTACCACACTTTGAAACCATGTTTTCGATAAGGCTCGACGAAAAACTCAAGAAAAGCGACGACAACGTCTCTCTTGAAAAGATACAACGTATGCGTTGCTGTAAACGGCTCCCATTTTGAACAAAACCTGTGATTGAACTGTTTCATTCAATTTTACTGTTGATATCGTCCATTTGTTATGCAAAAAAACGAAACAAAAAAACAAAAAAAAACCTAATAAAAAACAAAAAAAACCCCAAAAAACCTTTTAAACCGCCCCGAGCATTCACAAGTAATTATTAAGCATGACTTGTTAAACTTATGCTAAGAAATTACCACACTTTGAAACCATGTTTTCGATAAGCCTCCAAGTATGATTTTTCGGTGGATATTTGATACCAAAAATATCGCCGCCTAACCGCGATTTTCATAGGATGATGCTCGGGCCAGTTCCAAGCCTGGAAAAAGTGTGAGGGAAAGGTCAAGAGCCGTCTCAATAGCTTCGAGGTTTTCGAAGCCCCTTGCTCTGTAGGCAACTTTTCAATCCTTGTAGTAAAAATTGCCTACACAGCAAGGAGCTTCGAAAATCTTAAAATTTTTCAAAGTTCTTTTGCGTCGAAATAACGCGTTTCTGGAAAATTTTGTGCAGTACTTTGACCCCTTGATTTTTTACGTTCTTTCACGTGCCGTAATCCGTTTTTCAAAATATCATCTACCAAAAAAGTTATCGCAATTTTCAAATTCGGGAACGCTTGTGACGTCATTTTTCGAAGACGCACGTCCTTGAAAACACAAAAAATGAATAGAGCGCTAAAAAGTACCCCCCTAAACTAAGTTTCAGCCACCTATGAAAAAATGACGAGGAGCTATATTAATTTGAACGAAAAAAAATGGCAACTTTGTAAGCGCATAGCTCACGTATGAAGCGTTTTCGTGCATATGTGTATAGGAAAAAAAAGTCTTATTTTGAGCCGAAAAAACGATCCTGAAAGTTAAGTACGTTAACTTCCGGACACCCTGTATGATTTTCTATCGCCCTCTTCAGTCGGCTATAAGAACTCCTATGGTATTTTGAAACGCAGCTCCTATCGCCAATTTTTACTAGGGTGGAAATATTTTTAATATGCAAAGCAACTCAAAATATTTAATGCGCATAAAAATTATTGTACCTAACTTTTCATTTGTTAAAAAATATGCCATTTATGGTAAACTATATCATGTGTTTTGCTTGAAGAACGAAGTAAGGGAATGATGTCTGATACCATTACCAAACTGAGCAAACAAAAATGTGTTACGATCTTTGAACAACACGAATATACTGTGTACATAGAGTGGTAACAAGTTCAAATTCTGTCAATTTATACCTCTCATGAACTATTGTCCTTGTTTTTGGAAGCGGGGCACATTTTTCTCTGAAAGAATTTGATACATTGTAAATCAGTTTGCAACGTTAACGCACATAACAATGATATCACCATAAATGGAACAGAGCAGACCAGCTGAATTTCTATTCACAAGTAAAAAGCCCAATTCGTATTTATCAAGGACAAATTATTTAAATACGTAATGTAGATATTTGACCAGGAGCAGGAACCTAAGTTAATTAGAAGGAAACATTCCGTAGTTAAACTTCATAATAAATCATTTTCAAATACGACAAAAAGACACGCTATAAATTTTTCGAATTTGGCCGAGATATTATTCTTAAACTTTAATCTCATAATTCCATCCTCGTCAAATCGTGATACCCTTGGAATATTGTAATTTGTTTCTAAAATGTTAAAACTTAATTGAGGCGTTAGGTATAGAGGAGACACTTTTCGGTCGTAATGTCTCAGAATCTCTATTAAAATTTCATCAATAATGATGAGAAAGTATACTTAATTCCTCAATACTTTCACTAAATATTCTTCGTGATTTTAAAATGTCTTAAATGAAAACTGTCAGAAAAATTAACCACTAGTTTGCTCCATAAAATTTAAAGAAAACACCCAGCGCTTCGATTTCTCTGCTGTTGCCGAGATGAAAGTATTCAAGCAAGTTACCTATACTATGGTAAAATCGGCCTAAAGAAAAATCCTAACCTTCAAGGCCAAATATTATGGTCACCAATCGCTACGAACGACAGTTGCCTCACTGTACTACCCTTTCGCCTCTTATCATGGGCGGAATTGGGTGATTCTGCACTCCAAGAAGTCTACTCGGCTCCCTTCAGAAAATGTGAGGATTTTTCAGGATATGTGCGAATGAGGTTTCTGCCGTTTTTGAAATTGCATTTCAACCAGTTCTGCGGTAGGAAAAGTCCAAAATTATTGTTTCGGCTGCGAGCTCTCAAATGGTCGATAAGTATTATCACTGTAAAGTGGCACGCTTATTCGGAATGCACCCAGCTTTTTATTAAACGGGAAGAGAGTGCTTCCACGTGACTTCAGTCACGGACTTCTCGCTAGTCGTGCAATAACGACGCTTTACTTTAAGAAATTAAAAATGGAATTTGACAGGAAATATGTAACGTTACACACTAAGATCCCGAGTCTTTTCTAGTTTTGCCATCGATGTATGGGCAAACTTAACCTTTTATTTCCTGATCGTATCGTCGTTTCTTATATTGATAATCGTTTCAATTCCAGCACCAGTAAATGTACGGTCGGATATTGAAGAAGAAGAAGAAGGAGAAAAAGAAGCACCATGAAATGCACTACCTTTTCTACTAGGAAGAAATAGAATCGACTAGGTACTATTGCAGTTTTGCTATGATCGTATAGCTTCCCAGTTTATAAAAAATTAATTGCAAAAAATGAATCCTAGATCTATAAAATCTGCTGAATCATTCAGGTTTTTTGCAAGGTAAAAATAGGGTACAATCTCAGAAGAATTTCAATTATTCTTGCAAAATGAAGTCAAAGTCTAGAAGAAATACGATCCAAATATTTGAGTGATACCTGTGGATTCAACAGCTCAACGTCATTCAAGACTACTGGCGCTCTCTTACTGAGGGACGTGGCACTAAAAATTGAAGGGGTGTTAACTCTAGGGAGAGAAGTTTCGGCTCACTTCGGTAGATAGCTTGACTGTTGACATCAAAGAGAGCGCTCGTTGACTAAGTTTTATTACATTCCTCTTGCCCGAAATGGGAGTGAAAAGCGAACAGGAAAAGATTTATTATTCTTTTCGCCTCACGCTAGTTGTTGAATTGTTGATGCTTCACTGAGATTTTCCTTCGTGCGTTTGTAAGTTTAATCTTCGGGCTGTTCTCAAAATTTTATTCAGAGCAAATTGAAGCCCGATTGAATCTCGCCTTTCTTCAGCTGTGTTGCTCAAATGGCCCTTGAAACACTACTAGAAATAGGACAAACGGAAACAAACGCAATTTGAAAATTGAGGAAAGGAAAGGAAGCGCGTTGATGACGGCGCAGAGATACAACTATTCGTGCTTGATGGATGTCCGTGTTGCGTCTGACAAATTGAAGGCACTTTGGCGCGAGGCATGAACTCACAAACTTCCGCTCTATGCTGCTAATGTTGTGTCTCTCAGATTCGGAAGAAAAGTTGAAAAACGAGTCCCAAATACGCCTATCCTATCTTCGGCTGTGTTGACACCCGATTTTTTTTCTCTTTTTTTCAATCAACTATCTGATTTTTTTTTTTTTTTTTTTTTTTTATGTATCCGGATACTTACAAATATATCTACAGCTCGTATAATGTAGATATACCGGCCCCATTCGACCCGCGTGTACCATATGTTTTTAGCAAGCCTCGGGTCAAGTTGACCCGGCTTGGAAATCTGTAAGGGTTCAAAAAAGCCGTTCAACAAACGACCATGAACGGCCATGCTGTGCCAAGTAAAAACGCCGTAAGAGCATTCGAATGTCACCAAATTTCCTCTCAGAAAATATTTATTTTTGAAGAAAGGTATGAATATTTCTCCTTGAAATTTTCAGATTTTTCAGATCAACATCCAAACAAAATCCTCCGAAAAATTTAACTAAAAATATTCACAAATTTTCCCGAAAATTCGTTGTTTTTCGAAGAAAATTAGACAACGCTTGATGGCTTTTACGGTACTCTTCCTTAGCACGACCCTTAGGACGGGCGCACGTTTCTCTTGCCTCGATCGCACGTGAGCTCTCGAAGATAGAGCACTCGCGATCCGACGCATCACTCTCGACGCGCGAGTCGATCGCGCGCGGGTCGTTGGAAGGGGGAAGGGGGTGCTCGGGGGGTAGTAGCGGCGCAGCATCCCTGCGAGCGCGAGTCACATGATCTCGGGATCGATGCTCCCCGAGTCTGGAGCGCGGACTGGAGGGAACGGGACTCCGGGAACGATAGCGGGAACGGGACACTCTCAGTGACTCCCGCCTCCGCGCTCCACGCACCCGTCGCAGCCCGCGTCTCCGTCCGTCCCACTCCGAAACTAGGTGAGCACACTCAAATTCCCAACGATCCCGTCGGGGAATCGTAACGCTCCTGGATTTAAACCCCTACGCAGTATGTATGTAGCACGAGAAATAATTGTCATTTAATAAATAGAATGTTGAAATCCACGTAACATCCGGAAACAACTGCTTAAAAGTATTACCTCCATGTAACGATTAGGATTTTGTTATCACTAATGGGGGTCTAAGGATCTTGATTTTTATAATTTTTTATATTTTTCGTTTCCCTATTTAGGTATATTTTATGTTTTGAAGTATATAGAATGATGAAATTCAAGTAACACTTCAGAACAAGTTGCTTAAAAGTATTACCTCCATGTAACGATTAAGATTTTGTTATCACTAATGGGGGTCTAAGGGTCTCTATTTTCATACCTTTTTTTTATTATAATTTCCTTATTCATGTATATTTTATGTTATTAAATATATAGAATGATAAAATTCAAGTAACACTTCAGAAACAGTTGCTTAAAAGTAACTCCGTCGTGTTACGATTAAGATTTTTTTATCACGAATGGGGGTCTAAGGGTCTTGATTTTTATACGTTTTTTATTTTTTATTTCCCATTTATGTATGTCCCATTTATGTATATTTTATTTTATAAATACATAGAATGTTGAAATTCAAGAAACACCTCAAAAGCAGTTGCTTAAATGTGTTACCTTCATGTAACGATTAAGATTTTGTTATCACGAATGGGGGTCTGAGGGATTTTTATAATTTTTCATATTTTTGATTTCTCGGTCAAGGAGGGGGTTGAAACCACCCCAAACGTCCCAGACTTTATGTTTGTGTCTTAACCTCGGTCACCCATTTTCTTGTGTTTTTAGTTGAATTATTCGGAATTTTTTTGTGTATTGTTGTAACGATTAAATATCTGAATTGTAACCACGTATTAAATATTCGCAACTGACTCTTTTGGCTAACGAATCATTACAAAGCCACAAGTACTAAACGTATTAAGCAACACAACAACACACGTATTAAGCAACGGTTATGTAACCATGAGCCTTTAGGTTTGCAAGCGTCACTGAGGATGTATTAATCAACAATAGGTCACATTTCGATACTTAACTGTGGCTCTAAAGAAACACAATTTTGACAGTAAAATAATTGTATCTAAACTGATTCTTAACATATAATTTTCCGTGCTGCATGGGTAGCATCTCACATCACGCTATTCCCTGAGGAAATTGTCGAGGGTTCCCGCGAGTAATTTAGTGATATCGCTTATCAGTCAAATCGTGCACAGCTCCAAACCTCTTTTACCCCCCCCCCCCTTCCTCGGAAATCATTTGTGCCGAATTCTGTAGAAAAGACTTTACCGTTTATCAAGGTGAAAACAAAAGTTTGAAGTTGCATTGCTTCGTTACCTACAGTTAGTTTAAAAAGTAAAATCTAACCCCTATTTTCATAAACCCAGCTATCCCTCGACTTTTAATTTAAGTTAAAAAAATTTAAGTTACCCCCAGCTCAAACATTTAGGTTAGTGCCTCTCAGTTCCACCTACTGGTCCATTTGAGCTGTAAACAGTAAATAAGTTAAAGTTTCCTTGTAAATAATGAGGTTTACCCGTCGATTCAGTAAAATTCACCACAGGAGTAAGTCAAACATTTTATTTTTTTCGAACTAAATTTCGTTTATTAGAAATTGTATGCAAGAAAAAACTGTCGCCTAACTCTTTTGTGCAATTTCACACCTCTCGCTTTCCACACGACCCACCTTTTGTGGCCCTGTTTCCAATCCGTCTCTTATATTTTACTCTCTGAGAATATGACAAGAAACTAACCTTCATTTTGCTCCTTCCGCAATTAAATCCGGCTTTAAAGCCTCTCAACATGTCAACAACATGACACCATGTCAACATATTTTCATCAAACACAATAAACAATTTTTGATTTTACAACCACATTTAATTCTATTGTGAGAAATCATAAGAGTAAAAGAAAGTAGAAATCACAACAATAGAGCATAATCAACTCCGTTTTCAGGACTAACACCATTGGCGGATCCAGCAGTTTGGCAACACCGGATTTACTCCATTTAAACCTATGGAAATTAATCGATTCTTGGAAGGGCCAAGTGCTCCGACAAGAATCGATTATTTTGCTTAGGTTTAAATGGAGGGAATTCGGTGTTGCCGAATTGCTGGTTCCGCCTCTGACTAACACAACATTTTTTCATTTTCTTTTAAGAAATAGACCCCATCAATAATTAAGGTTATAAGCACGGATTGGATATAGTCAGTTGAAAATAGCAAGCGTGAACTCTCACCGCAATTTCACCAGTCTACGTCTTGTTATGCGTGCAAATAGGTGAATACAACTATTGCAGCTCTCGAGTGCCCGCTTTTGCCTATCTTCTTAATTGAAGGAGAAATTGCAGAAAATGCTTCGGCCCTTTTTATCTTCACCTGAGTACATCAATATTATTTTCACACAAAAATAACGAAGAAAAACGTGCCATTGCTGCTTTTTCCATGGATACAGCCAGCAAATTAGTTTAGTTACAGGAGCTTGAGTGGAAAACACCGCCACAACTGCCGGCAACCATCGTAAGCACGTCTTGTCAATCGCTTAGAGTGCGAGTACTGATATTGTTCCATTTGCGGACCCGTCTGATTGTGAGTGTGTTCGCTTATCTTATTGCCAGTACTGCCGTGCTAAGGGAGAACGCCGTATGAACATTCGAGAGTTGCCAAATTTCCTCGGATTAAATGTTTATTTTTAAGGAAATTATTAATATATTTCCTTGAAATTGTCAGACACTTTAAATCAAAGTACAAATAAAATTATCTGAAAAATTGGCTGAAAAATATTCCAAAACTTTCCTGATTATTAGTGATTTGCTAAAGGAAATCTGGCAACGCCTAAAGGCTCATGCGGAGTTTTTCCTTAGTACAGCTGAGTAGGAGGCAGATGTGATAGCTTTCTACGATTGCGATATTAGTTGGAGTATTTATGTCGAAAGGGAGCCATGCACAAATAAATCACATCAAAATGAACCATGCAGTGGCGTGGCGTGCTTTGCGATATATCGATCGATCTGTCAATTAAACCTATGGAAAAGGATCGATTAACAGGGTGTTCGCAGCGAGCACCTAAATAATCGATTCTTTACCACGGGTTCAAATGGGTAAATTGACCATTCACGCCATGCCACTGGAACCATAAAGCATACTATTCACGTGGTTCCATTTGCTTCAATTTACATATATCATAACATTGTTCCTCTGAGCATGATCACGTCCAGATAAAAAGTTAGTAAATGTTTTTTACCATTTCGAAAATACATATCTATGGCCACTGAAGAAAATTAACAAGCCAACCTCCCGTTTGAAGATGTATACGATTTTCCTTGTTTACTTCGCATAAGTGCCCTCCAACTAATACGATAATGTCAGACGGGTTTTCGACAAAAAATAAACTACGAACAGAAACTTGAAAACGGATCAATACTGATACCTGCAAGTTCTTGAACTTGAACTATCGAGTTGCCCTTTCAAAGTGCAAACCCGAAAGGTTTTTACCTTCCAGCTCCATATGAAAATGAATCAGGACTTCTAAAAAGGGCAGAAGTCCAATTTTCCAAAATCTTTTTTTTTAATAAAAATTGTTTTGCCTGTCTTTTACGTAACATTTGTGTTCCTGGCAGGAGCGGATCCAGCAGTTTGGCAACACCGAGTCTCCTCCATTTAAACCTATGTTAAATAATCGATTCTTGTCGGAGGATCTGGCCCCTATAAGAATCGAGGCATTTCCATAGGTTTAAATGGAGAAAAATAATGTTGCCGATTTGCTAGATCCGCCAATGGTTCCTGTGCGTCTTTCACTCGCGTTCTGAGAAGCAAGCCACCGCTACTTTCTTGAGTAATATGATAAGGGCAATCGGAGGGTTTTAAAGTGCAAAAAAAAAAAAAAAAAAAAAAAAAAAAAAAAAAAAAAAATTGAAAATTATACTTTTGCTCTCTTTGAAAGGACTGATTAAAGTATAATAATGATTTTGCAAACTTTAATAGGATGGGTAGCACAAGAACATCGTAGTTTGTACATGTAAGCGATTGCCTGAAAAAATAGGATTCCGACCCTTAAATAAGAGTCACGCTCAATTAAAGTAATTGCAACTGCAAATTCCTGAGATCATGACTTGATCTGACACACACAAAAAGACGGCAAAAGCATATGGCTCGCTTCCATAAGTAGCTTTGAAAGTATCCGGAAATCGGCAATTTTTCACCGAACGGAGCTAATCTATCATCGTGCGCCATTTTTGCCGTTCCTCTGACTTAAGGGCGTATCTTCATTTGCACATGAACCCTGAGAAGCGTAGAGTCATATGGAGATCAGGGCTCATGCGGAAATCGAGGTACGCCCTTACGTCAGAAGAGCGACGTGTTCTGCTTATCAAATTGAACACGCGGCGTGAGTGTAGACATCTCAGTGATGCCGTGCCTGGTGCACATATTTCCGTTATTTCGCTTCGCATAAGGGAGGAATATCAGTCGGGGAGGGAACACCTGAGATCTCCTGCTCTTTGTTTTACAGGTAGTATATTACTTAGTTCGCATTGAATAATGCATTTAGGAGGCGCGACATTTACTTTTCTGCGGGATAGAACTAGTGTTGTCGAGCTTTCAAAACATAGTTTTGCGTGTAGTATGATTGACGGAGAAAACTGGTGTGGTTTGTCTTCGAGTGTGTGAAGTTGCATTATCATCAGGTGAAATAAAATCAAATTTTGTTGCAGATATCAAGTGTCGAATTGGTGTCATGTGCTCCTGCCAAAATTACACTGGAAAAAAAGACACATTGGATCTAGAGTCCAGACTCTTGAAAACATTGACAAGAAAAAATACTCTTGATTCAATCGGATTTTTGCTTGAATCAAAACGAAATCCGCTTAAATTAAGAGGCTTGGTTCTCGATTTAAGCTAGATTCTGATTGAATCAAGAGTACTTTTTCTTGTCGATGTTTTTAAGAGTCTGGACTCCAGATCCAATGTGTTTTTCTTTTTTTTCCAGCGAGGACCTAGGAAGAGAATTTAGGTGTCTCCAAGACAGCAAAGCGAAGGAATTTGAGAAAAAGAACCGCACACTACAGTGTTGGTATCGCGATGTTCTGAGCATGATTTGTAGAGCAACTATTTATGGCTGATCGTGTTAAGATGTATAAATGAAGAATTGAGGGCGTTGTCTTTTTAGATTCTTGCAGCAAAGCCCACAGCACGATAAAACGAACCTTTTAGAGAGGTTGGGTATTAAATTTTCGACTAAAACTTTAAATTTTGATGTTAATTTCTTCACAATATAAATTTTATAGGGTGAAATTTGAAGGAAATATTACTAGAAAATCAATTAAACCACTTTTAAATCCTCTACCTTCCAATCAACATTGATAAGCTTTTAATGTTTCCACATTTTGTCTAACTCCTCTCATTGACTCGCTCCACTGTGCACCGCTGGCGAGGGCGAGGCGGTTAGTGTTTGAAGTCAAAACGCCTTCACTTTCGTGCATATGCAACACGAACATCCATAGAGCCCGAATAGTTGCATCCAGGCGTTGTAATGAAATGCGTTTAGTGACCGTCGCATGCGACACTAACTGAAGCTTTAATTTATTGTTTTCTTAACACCTGGACTTAATTGCAGCGTTGCCTATTATGCCGAAGCCGTAAACGATTACCGATTTGTATCGCGACCTTGTCAGTTATCCGATAAATGCATTATTTAAATGTATTCCAATATTGCCGGCCCTCGAAATCCCGGGGGAGAAAAAAACATATGAGGTATTTGAGCATGATATGTAGAGTTTCCCCGAACCTACTTTGACAAGTCTTCCTATGTTTGGATTTGTTTTATTTTCTTTCTCCCTCTGGAAAAACTAATGTTGACATTTTATCGCGAAATTTTCAATGACTAATCCTGATGAATCGCATGGAAGTTGGGACAAAAACGATGACCAATCGTCTTTCGAAAAAATGAAATGCGACAGGAAATCTGCAACATCCCAAGCTTAAGTACACGATTGTTTATGATTTCCTGTAGGTGCCGTGGTAAAACTGTAGTTTATTTAAGTCTGGTAAATATATTAGTAAAGATTGTATTATGTTCTCCTCTTGCACCCCTGAAATGTGGACTGCGTCTAGTCATATTTACTCCTTATCGACACTTAACATTATTTTCGTTTTCACATTCAAACATGCGGTTCGGATAAACTCACGAAGATGTCGTAAAATATCTATTCTAAAGTTTGTAAAGTTCTTTTTCTGCTCAGTGGATGCATGCGAGTAGATAATTTGAAAAATTTCATGAAGCAACAACACGTTGAGAATTATTACCATGCATTGTTATAACATAACATTCTGAAGTACTTTTTTTTAGTGATGGAAGGAGTTGAATTCCGTTTCATTAAAACAGATTTTCCCTCTGTTGACAGACTATTCTGAATGAAAATGGGAGAATGAATGGCCAATCATGGAGTTCTCGGGGTCCCTGAGTGAGTGCTTCAATGAATATGCAGTACCTGTGCCAATACAAATCTTCTTATGGCAGCAATCATCGTAAGCACACATTTTTCTTGTCACATGTCACCTCCTTAGCATCTCTCCACCCGTTTAATCTTTTTCAGACCCCTCAGGTTTGAATTATGGGCTCTTGTTTTGTGCCGAGCAGTGATTGAAATTATTGGAATTTTTTATCACTCAGTGGAACACACCTCTTTTAAATGAGTTTCCTACGAGTTTATTATTTTGTTCGAGTTCAGAATAAAATGGTGCAGTGTCAAGTTAAAAACTTTCCATTGCTCTCCATTTTTGCACAGATTACTTGAAAAGGGGAGAGTAAATTTTAACATTCATCTCAGACAGGGGTAAAGGGCACATCATCCACACTCTTAAAATATTTTAAGGTCGAATAAAAAAGTTTTAGTAGATACAGAATGTTGATCGAAAAGGAAAATGAGTTTTCTCCCATAGCTTTAGTACCTGTAGGGAATAGAGTCCATCCTCTCAATTATTGTAGGAGAGAGCTTTGTGCGCGGTATTTTGCACTGCAAATCTTATTAGGTATTTAGTTCCAAATGTCTGCCCGGAAAGTTCTCCTTTGAGGCGGGGGCTCCCCCTTTTCCTCAACTTTTTTTTTTCTTTTAATTATAATTCCAACCTGTATACTTTCTTTTCCTTTATACTTATTTCTATGTTAATTTTTTAATTCTTTTTTCCAGCCCATTCACCAGACCAAAGCTTGGCAAACATCATGAAGCCACTTGTACGATTTGTCAAACCGCACCCGGACATCATGTAAGAGTGCCATCTGTTTTTTAATCTCTCAAAAAGAATTGGAGTGAGAGGGCTCGATTTTTTATTTTCTTATTCCTCTGCCGAAAAAATGAAAAATTGCGCAACGTAATGGTTCGGTTTTTATTTTTTTTTTTTCGTTTAAATTCACCATGTTGTTCATTCAAACTGTTAAATACCTACGTTCTCGTTGCTTTCAAGAAAGTAAGGGAACATGCAGTGAAATTGAAGGATAAATATAATTAGGGTCACATCAATGATTCAATAAATCTACTGATTTACTCTACCTGAAAAAAAATCGGGGCAGCAGGAACAACCATACTTTCTTCATTATCCTTATTTTATTATTAATGTATTGATTGTTTTCTAATAATTTTTCTTTGTTTTTTGCACTCAGGAATTGAAAGAAGCTTGCAAGGTGTGTATTGCTTTTGTTACTCGTAAAACAGTGAATGATTAAATGGATAATTGTAATGCTAAACAGTGTCTGCTGTCTTGCACGTATGAGCGTTGTTAGGCAAAATATTCATCTGCATCTGCTAAGTGTGAGCAAAAGGCCCTCTGGTGAAAATTACCAGTCAGTAGCCATGTAGATATGAGCATATCAGCATGGGTCGAATACATATTTCACGATCTGAATCAAACATCGCGCATTGAAAAATTTTCGTTTGAATTAATCGCATAACTGTGCATTAAACTCGAAACAATTTCGACACGTCCCACCCTTTACGTATCACTTTAAGAACACAAACGCTGGATTTCTGTCAAGTTTACTATAGCTGAACAAAAATATTTACTCGATCATTATTTTCATTATGCAATTTGCAAGAGCCCCCTTGTTATACCGGGCAAGTCCTGCATTTATACATTCCTCCCAGTCCTATTCAATCATATTCATGAAATCTCATAGCTTACCATTCATGGTTTTTTAAAGTTTGCTGTTTTAAAAATATTGTTTTAACATTACAGGTTTTAGAGAAAGTTTTGGTACAAAATCTTCATTTTAGGCTAGATAAAAGTTTGACTGACGCCATACGCTCAATCACAAGATGGAGACTCATCCAGGCTTCTTTCCCGTATATAGTGCATTGCACTGCATCAACTTTGCACAACAGGTACGGACATTTAATATATTTTAGATGTCCTTTTCTACAGAACAACTTTTAGAGTTGGCGCCTTCAACATCCTAGATATACTTCAAACGTTACACCGTCATGCTTAAGTTCTGATGTGTCGATTACTTACGCCTATATTGCCATATCAAGGAAAAACGCCGTATGAGCCTTCAGGCGTTGCCAAATTTCCTTTGATAATACACGAATTCCCTGTTAAATTTATGAATATTTTTTGTCCAATTTTTCAGAGAATTTTGTTCGTATTTTGATTTAAAATTCCTGAAAATCTCAAGGAAAAGTATTCATAATTTTCCTTAAAATAAACATATCATCAAAAGGAAACTTGGCAACTCTCGAAAGTCGAATGTTCATATGGTGTTCTTCCTCAGCACGGCAGTATATCTCTCTCGCCGAATATACCTACAGCGTGTTTGAACTAACTCACGTGCAATGTTTCTCGGAGGCGGACACATTCCACCAACTTGTCCATGTATCAGGGAGCAACACCTCATACTTACAAATTCTCGCTTTGACAATTTCAATAAATAGATTACAATTTTTCATACTGGCAGGATAACTATTACAATTCTGAAAGGATGTCCTGTCGGCTTTTTTTTATCCTTTGGGGTCCGCAATTTGGCGGCACTGCTTCCGGAGGCGAACAAATTTCCCAAATCATGAAAATTGTACGGAATATCATGGATCTTTTACTTTGAAGGTAACGAATTTTTTAGTCAGTTTATCCCCGTATAAGGTGCACGTCGAAATCTGCAAAAATGACCGATTTTATGCTAGTTTTGCCAAATTTGGCAACTTTCGAGCAACAATTTTTTTGACACAAATTTTAAATTTGAATTTAGCGCCAAAAATTACATGGGAAATCCTAAAATCACAACTAAAATTTCTATTTTCCTCGACTAAACAAGTGTCGTCGCTCCAATAAAATTGTCGTTACAAAAATGACCATAACTTTCACGCAAATCATTTTCATGCGATATATAACATGGGTATCGATGGATGCAAAATCAAACAAACTCTGGTTGAAACAACCTTTTAATCAAATCAAATTAAATGTTTTGTGAGAAATATGCAAAGTTGTACAAAGAGGGTTATACAAAATCGGCGATTTTGCCCCCCTCTTGGATTTTGCCCGGAGTTGGATATATTGTTCCCTATTACATGACACGTCTTTTTCCGCGAAAAGCGCCGATTTTGGTGTCTTTTTTTCAGTTTGCTGCTTGTCGCGCGTTTAATTTTGCCGTGAGCAGAAAGAATTTGACTCAGCTTGTAGAAAGTTCGACGAGTTCTAACTGTGGATTAACCAATTTTGTCGTCTGATCAACTCCTGGCAAGTCACTGGCCATAATCCGCCAAAAGGCCGATTTTAAGCCATTTTTGCCAAATTTGGCAACTTCTTGATGACAATTTTGTTATGAAATGGTCAAATTCAGATTCAACGCCAAAAATTACATAGGAAACCATGGAATTAATTCTACCCTGTGTTTTTGGAGGCTAAAATTTCTATCCGCCCGGACTCAATAAGCGTCGTCGCTCCATAAAGCTGTTTACAAAAATTATGATATCTCGCGAACCAGAAGTTTCCTTGCGAGCTATAATATATCGATGGATGCGGAATCAAACAAACTATCGATTAGACAACTTTTTATTCAAATTTGAAGATAGTTTTTTTGGGTATTTGCGGATTTGTAAAATTTGTCGAATTACAAAATCGAAAAATTGGCAACAGTGCATGTTAAAATTAGTGCGACATTAAAAACACGGTCATTTCCTAAAAATGTGCAATTTTTAGACAATTTTCGTTGAAACCGCAACTTCATAGCTCAATTTTTATGCCACTTACGGAATTTGCCTGTTTTCAACTTGGCAACGCTGTAGCGCGCGGGAAAAATTTCGGGTGAACTTGCCCACGCCGGAAAAAGACGTGTCATGTGATAGGGAACAATATATCCAACTCCGGGCAAAATCCAAGAGGGGGGCAAAATCGCCGATTTTGTATAACCCTCTTTAAACATTCAATAATCGGAAAAATGGCAACAATGCATGTTTAAAATCTTGGAACATTCAAACTATGAACACACCCTCAAATTGCGTATTTTTATAATCAATTTGTTGCAAACCGTGACTTCATAGCTCATTTTTTTTGCTCCCCACTGAATTTTTGCGTTTTCAACTTCGCAACGTTGTAGCGCGCGGGAAACTTTATTTCCAAACTTGCAATGCCGGAAAAAGGTGTGCCTCGTGATAGGGAACAACACGTAAAACTCTGGACCGGATCCAAGCAGGGGGCAATTCGCGTTTTCGAATAATCCTCTTTTACCGTTATGTACTCATTCGATCCGGCAACGCTTACTACAAAATACTACGTGGAGTACTACGATGAGTTCAATGACCTGACGATGACGAATTCTTGGTCTCTCATTGGTCCGTCCTTATTTGGACGGTTCATTCATGAAATCCATGGTGCTCACGGCGCATGCGCAGCACTTGGCGCCAGCACACACATGGTTCAGTTAGTAAACAAACAAAACAATGCTTACGGTGAATCTTCTCAAATTCAACGCGAGTTTTTTAGTGATCTAAAATAATTTGTATATCAGAAGCAACGTAATTATGCAGCAAAAGTGTCAAGATTGTTATATTTTCCTTTAAATTTTAGTAAACATCAAAAGAAGGGAATGTATCGTCATGTGTGAAGAATTACTTTTTCGAGCGTGAAGTTTAGATAAGCCGGAGATATTGATAATCGATTCATCAATCAAAAATGTAGTATAACTTTATCTCTCATAATCATGCCACAGCTGGCTTTAGAATTCACATCCCATATAGACATGGGCATGGACAATTTATTGTCAAATATATACACTGTTTTTAAATTTAGTTGGAATAAACTCTTCAGGTTAGAGTACGATGCAGGAAGATTTTCCTGAACTCGTTAGTTTCTTAATACTATGGCGCTTAAGTAGGTAGGTAAGCTCTATAGTCTTGTAGCATTTTGACAGCGTAAGTCGGCAATCACATAACCCGGTTTGCAACGTCGCAGACCTCCTGTCATACTTTAATTTTTAAACAGAAAACTACTCAGCGGCAATTCTTTAAAACTGCCGTGATTTTTCTTCTCTATGCAAAGACAATTCGGCATAAACCTTAAGGAATAATGTCAATTTGTTCTCCTTTTAGAAAATAACATTGAGGCATAGAATTTCAGACACCGCAGGTGAGATATGTGATTACGGACTTACGCTGTCGATTGTCCACACAAATCCATAGCATATTAATTGGATTGCATTTTGCAAAAAGGAACCACTAGCATTGCAATGTTGCTAAGATTGTGCAACTTCTTTTGTCCTGGAGGAAAAACCCGATTATCCATTAATAGTTTCTATTTTACTCGCTACAAACTGTAAATTTAAGACAAAAATTACCATCTAAATTTCATAGTTTTTCACGATTTCCGCAATTTTATTACAAAAGATGAAGTTGCACAATCTTAGCATCATTGCAATACTAGTGGTTCCTTTTTGCAAAATGCAATCCAATTTAAGACCAATATGCAAATTATTCAGATATTTCTAGAGATTGAAGCTACATTTGCCCGAAAGGGACGCTCAGTGTAAGGGTGGTAACATGGGGTTTTAGAGGAAATGAGAAAGTGCCAACTCCCTGAGGGGCTTTGGGAGGATAGGGGACTTTGGCGGCTAGGTGTCGCAGCTGTATGAGCGGCTTTTTATGTATGTAAGCTACATATTCTAAGCTTCATAAGCTACTCTATAATCATGGTAAAATGTATCACCAAAGGTAGCACGAGACTCAAAAGACCATTTCATTATGGTCTTGCTTCACCCATTTCACTGTCTATTTTACCCTATTTAACTCTGATCCTCTTCTATTTTCTGGTATTCTCAGGAAAGATATGAATCTCCAGAATTTGGGAGCTGTAGAAACAAAATTGTTGTACATACTGCACTGGATTATTTTAGACGCTGCTACAGAGTGCGCAGAGGAAGATTACGAAAAAGACAATTTTCACTCTTCGCCTTACTATTATACTTTTTCTATTCCTGCATTGACGGTAAGTCATTTCAAAGTATTATGTGTGGGAAAGGTTTTTTCATGTATATGTTGCATTGAAAGAAAGCCGTGCAAAGTTAGAATGAAAAAGTTTTTGAATTCTAAACACAGTAAATACCTATGGGAAAAGCAAAGTGAAATGCAAAGTTTGCTGAACCAAAGTAAGTTTAGTCTTTAAAATTTTTCTTTAAATTTACCGAAATATAGTGGTAAGTACAAAACGCATAAAAGTGTTTCAAAATTACATTTTTCTGTGAAGGAAAAACCAAGAAAGGTTTCTCATTTCATACGTTGTATTAATAGTGTTAAGAGTTTTTCTTTCAAAATTTATAATTTTTTTTGAACATTCAATGCTACTTGGGAATGGCTCTTAGTACTTCAGTATATTTTATTTTAGTTTTTTAATGATAGATTGTGTTCAATGGTGCCTTTGATTGTTTCATCAGTTGTGGGTAAATCTCCCTGGCCTCTATGTCTTCACTTAATATGTAGAATTCTCTAATACTTTGTGTAATCTGTAGCTGGAACATCTCAAACTATAGCCATTTGCAGGAATACAAAAAGTAAAATTTTATCAGAGCTGATTCGGCAGGATATTTTCTTACTGTATCTATGGCTTCCATAGTGAAGCATACAGTCCCCTCCTGAAACTGTCCGTTTTTCAAATAGATCTCAGCCAGATATCATTTTATGATATTATCAGAACTTTATATATCTAAGGTCCATTTTCTTTTTACATTTTTTTGAATGACTACCTATGTTTTGAAAATGATCGTGATCAATCCATTCTAATGATTTTCTTGAAATTTATTTTGTTTGCAGTTGTTCATGTATCTTTTTGCTCCGTTATGCCACCAAATCAAAGAGTCAGATCTGCAATCTTTCAGGCTAGAGAATGGCTTAAAAATCTGGCAAGCATTATGGAACTATCGCCATCCTGACGCACCTTGTTTCACGACCCGCTGCAAGCCCAGACCTCGATCATTGTGGGGTAAAAATTTTCGTAGCAGCCAAACTCAGTGTGGAGATGTATTTTTAGGAAGTAAGTTTCCATAGTAGACTGAATATATCACAGGTCTCAAAGAAAATGCACTATTAAGCCCCTTTCTCATAGAGTTCAACTAGCAGAATTGGTCATTGTGTGAGCCTGTTCCATCAAAATAACCTTTGTGGCTATCAGAGTTCTTGAAAGATTATCAGAATTTTAGAATCGTTTTTCAGGCATTTTTATTTGATTAAAATTTTCTTCTCAATTTCTATGTGCAGCTCATTATTTAGTTTAAGCACCTATTTGAGATCTTCCTCACACTGATATCTTGTTTTCCTTCTTCATTAGGAAAAGAATCTCAAGATGAAGCCCATCCCGAAAGTCCGCATAGTGCCTGTCCCAGTATTTCTTTCTTTGACCAGCAGCAACCAGGAAGCGGCGTTCTTAAACAAGATGATGAGGTACATTCTTCCCCTGAAGTATTATTTTTTCCGATGTATCATTGAAAAGGATGTTGTGTTGAAATTTGTATCAAAATTTGTTTCACTTTATTACAAATAGTCGTGGAAAAAACATCCTCTAAAGTATCCTCAAAAATAAGTTTTTTTGATTTGGTCCAATTTGTGTGAATTCGTGGTTTGATTCAACTCATGAATTATTTCTTTTCCTATGTTTACACCATCCCGGAAAATAGTTATCAATTCTGAATCTTTTATTTTCATGCAAATGTGAAGAGTTTTAGAACTGTAGTAGAAAACACTTCAGCATGTGATAAAGTTTTTTTTTTTATCAAATGAAATTGAACATGGTATTGTTTCCAATGTGATATTATTTTCTCTGATGGAAATCTTTTTTTGACAGAGTAATTGGGTATCATCTCCAAAAGAAACTGTATTCCCGGAAACCATTCCAGAAGAAAGTTCCAGCACTGAGGAGGAGCACATGGTAAGTTTTTTTTCAAACTACATTTGTATTTTTTTTTTCTTTTTTTTTTTCTTCAAGATATCAATCATTGCTGCAGGATTAGTCTGTTAGGTTTCTGCTCATGTTGAAAGAACCAATTTAGGAACCATCTTCATGATGGAATTTTAGTGGGTGGTACTAACAACATGCAAAATGATGGAAACAGCAAAGCTTACTTAGTTGAGGTCAATCTTAGTCAAGTTCAAACGGACTCTATTTCTTGTACTGCACTCTCCTCATTCTTTTAATTGTATACTTAGGAAGCATCATTCTTTTTTCTAATTCGATTATCATCGTTAATTAACATAATCTCTCAACTTTTTCCTGGGGCAACATATTGTTGGCTGAAGTGGAAATTGCTTAGATTGCGACATTGTAAATTTCCACTCTTTTTATCTTTTAACAGGAAACAAAGGTAAACCAATCTAGTCAAAGCTTCTATTGAAGTTTCTTATCAATTTTCTCGACTCATTCTAAAAAGATGTTGCAAAATTGTAAGGGAACATTTTCATCAGTATTGTCTTAATAAATATAAAGGATAATCGAAAATTTTTAAATGTTGCAATTGAGATACAGTAAGACCTCGATTTATCAGATTTTACGGGACCGGAGGCCAAATCTGTCAAATTTTGCTAGTGGGTTCCGCTGAAGGGACTGGAGGATGGATCTATTAAATCTCGGAATCTGTTAAATTGCGATCCTACAATTCGAGGCTTCACTGTATGTCTTTTTTGCATTGAGCCAAAGATATTTTATTTTTATCAGTAAAATAATTTTTTTACCTTCAATTACAGGTTATATTCAGGTTACCATCACTGGCTGAATCTGATGAAAGAGAACCTGCTACCATTTTTTCTGTAAGTGAATAATCTCACTTTTATAATCTTTCTCACTCTTTTCACTTCTTTTTCTAACTTCTTCACTCTTCTTCTTTTTTATAAACATTTTTTAAACCTGTGTTATCACTGGTTTCCTATAGAAATCGGAAATGGAAAGGCCACAGACTTTTTGTATTTATTTTCTTCCAGCAAAATAATATGATGTAAAAAACGTCCCATACGCTCAAGATCTACCTATTTGTGATGAGTTAAGACTCCAGGCTCATACTGGAAAAGCGATGCAATGTCTATTACGGAATGATTTAGATACAAAAATAAAGCCTCAATCTGTTACAAATAGATTAAGGTCCTAGTTTCAAGCAAAACAAATGTAGCACTGTAGTCATCACATTTCGGATTCAGCGTTCAACATTCTTCACAAATTTGGAACAATGCTAGGTGTTGATGCCTGAAAAGTGAATATCAGAACATATAGTGATCACTTCGTTCATCTACAAGGCTGCATGACTCCACAAAAAATCTCTGGAACAAGTTTTCTGTTTAAGCAATAAATTACAAATAGGTACTCATTTGCACTTCAACTGTCCCCTAGTTTCAGTTCAAATTGCTGTATGATTTCTGACTTCAATCCAAGTATGAGTTGAAATGTTTTTTAGAGATGCTGTCGGATGCAGGCATTTTCATTGCACCAGCCTCACAATCATTTTAGCCAAGAAGCACAGCTTTGTTACTGTTTTAAAATGTCTTGAAGTTATGCAGCATTAGCTAAAAGTAAAGTGGAAAACAAAGAGAATGTTAAAGCAGCCTGAAACGGAGCCGACAATCGAAAACACAGGAAAAAACGGAAACAAGGCTAAAAAGGCTTTTAGCCTTGTTTCCGCTTTTTCCTTTGTTTTTGATTGCTAAAAATAAACTGTACATGTACCCAACAAACCTCAAATACTCACAGGAAAGCTAGGTAAAAATGACATTTTGACATAGTATGTTGAGCGACAATTTTCCCAAGCCTAGATTTTTTTTTAAAAGCTTTGTTACAAAATTATCACGATTAAACCACAAAGTTGAAAAAATAGCACCAGCTGCTTGCAGCTGGCTATCGACACACCTGTTGCCTAGTTGTTGTTTAAATGTTTTTTTTGTTTTTGGACATTTTTGTTAGATATTTTTGGAACCTGTTAATTTTCTAAAATGTGCTCTTGTAATATTTATATGTCCAGGCTGATGCAAGTATTTTTCAAATGCCGGTTAACCGCAATGCTGTCCTACACAAACCATCCTTAAGCATCGATCCAGGGACTCAGTCAGGCCTTTCTGACTCTCATCAACAATCTTCAAAGACACCAGTCCAAGGAATGGGGTAAGATGTCAGTTTAACTTGTCCTCTGACTTTTCTTCGGAAGAAATTTTCCACTTCATCATTTTGAATACTTGAAAATATTGCACTGTCTTCCTACTTTTATTCAATCAAGCTCTTGTTTACTGTGCTTCTGAATTTAACTTTGCCTTGACAGGCAGTCTAACATGAGTTTGGTTATTGCTTGAAAGTACCTAATTTTCTTTTTCTTTTCAGGTCCTCAACTGATAAGGACTCTGTAGGTAGTTTGAAAGATGGGCCTAACAAGAAAGGTTTTCCGGTTGACTCTACCCATCCAGATTTCTTCTCTGCGACTTTCATGGATGTGGCTGTACTTCGTTGTCTATTTATTTCACAGTGGTCAGAAGAAGGAATATTTTGGGCTTTGCAGTTTCTCTATCACAGGTAAGTGTTAGAGGAAAAGGAATTCTCGAGGTGCTCACTGATAACAAAGTAAGGTGCTTGCAGATAACTTACACCACAAAATAACTTGCATTCCAATTTTTGTCCGTCCCTGAAATAATTAATGCGTCAAATATGAAGCAATTTTGCTTTTTACTAGGAAACTACAATGGTATTCCAAATTCTTGAATTTTCAACTCTGATTGGAAATTGGCACCTCCAAACTCTGACATCTCAAATCTCACTTACATAGTGGCGTGGACAACTTCAAAACTGACAGAAGGAATTGACTTACGAAAGTCTCTCCCTTTTTTAAATAATAACACCTACATCCAATTAGAAAAAATAACGAAAAGTCAAAGAAAAATGGGTACAGCTAATGCAATCCCAGCAAGGACTCCTCAGTTTAAGGTGAGCATTCTGTGTAAAAATCTGGTATGACTCCCTGTTATACACTCTGTTTTTCTTTAAAGTGCAGACTACCAGTTTTTATTTCTTTTGCTGCTTTGTTTCATCAGCTTCTTTCAATTAGGATGTCAATTTTTCCATGTCCTCTCTTGGGAATTCCTCAAAGACGTTAATTTTCTTTCAGCTACATTTTCCGTTAAAAAGTTCCAATTTTGTGGGAAAATATTGCTTAGAAATTTTGAGCTTTCAAGTATGATAGCTCAAACCTACTTGTTTGCTTACCTTTTTGTTTGAAAGAATTTCTCAATGGTGCGGCAATTTTTTGTCAAAGGAACTTCAGTATTGACATAAAAACTTTCAATATAAACTTCTCTCCAAATTCTTCTATCTGTACAAAATTGCATTAAATTCTCACTATAAACCACAGGTTGAGTGTCTTTTAGAAAACCTTAAATTTTTATTCCTTTATTTCTAGGTACATACAGGTTTTTAAATGTGTGCTAGTGGCTTGTAGGAACCAGTAATTTCTTTTGGAGCTACTCATTGTTCGTATCGTAATAATTTGTTAGAGTCTGTGTTAATCTTTTCAAAAAGATGTGTGCGGGTTATTTGTCAGTTTCTAAAATTTTTAAAGATTTTCTCACCAGTCTCTCTCAACTTTCAGATTACAGGAGCTTAGTGAGGAAATGATACACCAGACGCAACCAAGGAGACGAAGTAATTCTTTACCAATTCCCAAAATAGAGATATCATTGTATCAGAGTCCAGAAACTATGAAGAAAGAATTGAAAGATTTCATAGAAGTGCCTGAACCTAAAGATGCGTCAGTGCTGTTAGCAGGTTAGTTATTGTTTCTTGTTTCTTTTATTCAATGTTTTTGCAAGTAAAAATTATCACAAGCTCATGGCTCCAGCCATGCTTTGACATTAACAGCTCAAACGCCCTTCTGAGTGATAAACTTGAGAACTACTCCAACTTCAACAATTTTCAGATTAGAGGATATTAGATTAAGAATCACTTTACCATGTTCTTCGTACTTCTGGCGACTTAAAAAGCTTTGAAAGGATATGATGGCGAATATTTATGACTTCAGAAAATAAACTCCGGACCAATTAACTGAGATCATGGTATATATAAAATGAGAGATTTATGTAACTAACGGTGTAATTTTTCAAGAAGCAACTGACACTAAAGGGAGCAGATTCACATGAAAGAATCAAAGTGCTTCTTTCATCATTCTTTTTCTATTTTGAATTTCAGAATTGCCATACACTGGTCGCAAGCACGGTGGTGACACACCTCTTAAACATTTCCGCCGAGCGAGTGAAAAAGCTAAGCGAAAAATGAAAATAACTGATTTTCGACTCTTCGTTGAAACTGCTCTGCTCTCCAAATCTGAAAAAAATTTGGAAAAACTTGGCAAAGAGGATCAAACTGAATCTTTCAAACAGGTTTGCATTTTTATCGGGTACAACTTATTTTCTTAGCGTTGTAAATTTGCCGTAGTATTTTGTAATACATCTTCTGGTCAACAGCCAGGAGCAAAAGGGAAATAGACTTATGCAGTGATTTATTCACAGATAACAAAATTATAATAATTCCATCCTTATAAGTGTATCAAATCCTGATAATTTTCTTCATTAAAAAGCACCAATTAAAATCAAACAAAGGTTTTCATAAAAAATCTTCAAATTTTTCCGAAGGGAAAAATTCTGTCTCAAAAATCCTTTTTTTGATATAAGTGATTAACAATCAAAATCTCTAAACCAGAATTCAACTTAAAATTTCCATTCTGCAAAAATATCATGACCTTAACTGTTCCAGGATCTGCACCGGAGTTTTGATGCTGAAGACAGTCACATAAAAAAGCCAGCATCTTCATTAGCAAAACTTCTAGACCCCACAAATGATGCTTCTTCCATGATGCCATCAACTAATTTGGTAAAAGGGAAAAGTATGCCAAGTTTAAGGTATGTATTTCATTTGTGTCGTTCTGTCTAGCTGTCCTCTTTATCCTTCTTCTTATGTCTGTCCTCTATCAAAAATGCCTGTAAATGAAACGCATCTCATTGGATTGCTATAGCCTCATTCTCTAAACTCCCTTGAAAATTCAACCATCCACTTCTTGGTTCCAGCAACACTGCCTTTTACTCAAACTCTCTTGAAATTACAGGGTTTTTATTGATCGTAAGACTATCTTGTTAGAATCATTCGGAGTTGTCCTCCTCCCAAGACAAAATATTTAAAAACTTACCAGCGAGTTGTAGGTCAATTATTGAAATTTTAACCATAAATATTGAAACATGTAAAAAGCCTAGTACCTCTACTTATGAACCATGCTTAACAGCAATGCACCAAGTAACATCAAGTCTAAATGGAGGAAAAGTTTGAAGTTTTATTCCTTCATAAAACTGGATGTTAAAGACAAAGTTTAATGATTATTCCCCATCTCAAAGTATTTTTTCTTGACCTTGACTTATTGACAGGAGAAAGTTTGCAACCGGATGAATTCAAAACTAACCCCGACTTATTTTTTCTAAAATTTGACTGATTTCTGTTAAACTTAGTCTGTATAACCTTTAGTTGTGTAGTAAAGAATATCGTATAGAAAATTTTTTATTTTTATTTTTTTTTCTTAGAAAGAGAAATAATGGATATTGTATACATTTTCATTCCAATCACAGTCTTTTTATGTAAATTTGTAAAAGTATACTAGGTGATTGCCTTTCTTCAGTACTAAATTTCCCAGTTTTGCATGCACCAGAGCCCTCTGTGTCAAAACAATCACTTATCGACGGGCCAAAATTTTTAAATGAGTATAGTATCATGAAAGTTTTCAGTTGCTTGCTGTTGTTGGTAATCCTCTTGTAATCGAAAGGACCTTTTTACACCTTTTAATTATGGTGAAAGAAAAGTGCGACTTGCATCTCTAATTTAATTGTGCTAAAACTGTAATTTGTGGACTTGAAAGATGATGTCTCTGCCTAATAACTTGTTGTCTATTACTCTATATATGGTGAGCGAGAACTTTTGAAAAGACATTTGAAGAAAATATGAATGAATTTTGATTGACCGAAAATTGTGAAAATCAGTTTGGTCTCGCAATCTTACTGGACTTATTCATTAATTCTTTTGTGCACCTAATCTTGAATAGAACAAAAATCAGACAAACAAAGCGCACTCAATTGATTAAAGAATTGAAATTAAGCGTAAAACTGGTTTTATTATTTGCTTTGGTCATACTCAAACCTATTAAAAAGTTACATTTCGCCAACATAGCAAGCAAGAAAGTGCATACATGTTTTACATAGGGTATTTCAGAAATATATTACGTTTCTTTGTTTTTGAGCAAATGGGAGCAGCTATTATGTAGTTTTGTCTGGGCACCTGGCAATATAAATAATCATATATTTTAAATCCCCCATGATGCTTTTTAAGTTTTCAGTGCAAAGGTATCGACTCTATCTACTTTAATCATATCCCAAAAGTTCTTTCCATATATTTGAAGAGCAGAAATTAACAGTACTATTGGAACACCTTGTGTATATTATTCTCTTTAGTTAGGTACATCTTTCATACCTTGAAATCATATTCATCTTTTCTTGTTCGCATTGTTGTATCTCTTTTCTCTTACATCCTTCAATGTTTTGAGACAAATTTAGCCTTCAAAACTAAATTCTGAAATAGAAAATTCTCCAACTCTTTCTATAAACAATAACTTTACCTACTCTTTGTTTTCATTTTCTTCCTTCTGTACGCTTACATGTCTGTATATCTGTTCTATGCGTTTTGCGAACCTCAGCTGTATACTAGATGAGTTACAAAATGAATCTGGGTAAGCTGTAATGACAGTCTCTGTTGGATCTTTGCAAATGGCTCATTTTAATTTGAGCACTTTGATGTGCTGGAATTCACGCTGGAAAAGTTAATTGTAAAGTTATTCCACCATTTCCTGATTTTTTAACTTTCCATGTCGTAAGTCACGTTTTGCTGCTCCTTCAATGAGATGCAATGTCTCAACACTGATGAGACCCCTTCTCTCTCCCAGACGCACTTACAATCAGTTATATTCAAAGAGCTTCGAAAGGCGATTATCCAAATAAAGAGTTAAAAGCTAAGGCTGACATTGCCTCTGAACATAGTTCATTGCAGCATAACTTTGTGTCAAATTGAGTAAATTTTGATTGAACCGATCAATAAAAAAATTACTTGCTGCAAAACATTATGCCGCCTTTCCCAAGTAGCAGTGATCGCGATAAATTGCGATTTAATTGGAGAATGTATCGCGATTTTATCGACGTCGCGATTTATTGCAATATTATCGGGAGAAAAATCGCGATAAATTGCAACAAAATCGCGATATTATCGAACGCGATTTTATAGAGATAAAATTGCAATAAATTGCAATTTTTCATCAACGCATGAATGACGCATATGAAAGATGTTTCTATTCCGCCGCCGCCGTTTTTACCGAGATCCGTTGGTAACTTAACCATCTCATTTTTTTTTATCAATTATTACTATAATGTTACAAAGACAGACTGGTAAGCTTACCTGAAAACCGGTATTTTTACTGATTTTTTCAGGTAAGAATACCACTTTTATTGGTAATCAATCCCTGGTAACTTTACCATTTTATCTCGGTAATTCTACCACAGTCGATAAAAACTATTGGCGTTTTTCCCAAGGTCCATCGGTAACTTTGCCATCTCACTATTATTGGTAATTTTACAGAGACAGAATGATGAGATTACCAATAGAACCTTATTTTACCAACCGTATTTCAAGGTATGAAATAAAATACAGAGGAGGGAAAATTAAAAAAAAAAAAAAAAAAAAAAAAAAAAAAAAAAAAAAAAAAACCCAATGAAAAATCGGTGTCAGTCAACGCAAAGACATAAGTTGTGAGGCTGCGAAGCGCCGATCCATGTATAAGAGGCTTCAATTCGCACGAGCAAGTCATATAGCGGTCATAGCATAGTGACAATGTGCTGGCCAGAGACAAGAGACCCTCCACTAGTAACTTGGCCATGGTGGAAGCTTTTACTTTCGGGACTTCAGCATTCTACTGTTGACTTACCTACATGGTTGATGTTCAACAACGTGTTGGCAGTTTCGTTT